GACGTAAATAAATGTCAATTAATTAATTAATTAAAGCTAGCTAGGCCAAAAGACTATAGTATTCGCGACTTTGTTATGAATATACTTAATACCATATATATACCTGCGTCTGTACGTTACGTGCAGCTTATATAATGCATATTATAATTACTTAAGTAATTTAATTATTTATTACGTGGTTTATTTTATTAAATACTTTTCTTTATATTATAAATATTATTAAATTGTTTTCTTTATTATCTTTTTTTATCTTTATTATCTTTTTTATTACTTAAAATTCCTCTAATATTACTTATTATACTAGTAAAATTTAATATAATAATTATCTATTATTTAATATATATAACTTTTAAATAATAAGTTTGAAATATATATATATATATAATTTATTACTTAAGTTATTTAAGTATATACTTAATAAATATTAAGTAAAGTATAAGTAAAATATATTTTGGCTAATAGAATACAAGTAAAACCTATTACTTTACTTTATTTTATTTATTTAATATATTATAAATAAGCGAGATTAATAATAAGAGAATTATTTTATTTTTTAAGTAATTAATTTAAAAGAATTAAAAAAAGAATTATAAACTCAAATAAATAAACTCATATATTTATTATATTATTTTCTATATTATTACTAAATTCTTTTAATATTAATTTCTTTATATAAATTTCTAATTATATTATATATTAAAAACTTAAATTTATTTATTTTTATTAAAAAAACTACTTTTAAAATTATAATTTAATGTTTTTATAAATACTAACTCGGCTCTTTTATTAATATACTAGAAACTTAAACTTTGACTTCTATTAACTATTAATTAAAAGTTATATTATATATTAAAAACTTAAACTCTTATATTTAATAATATATTTAATATTATAACCTAAAGTTTTAATAAAATACTAACTCGAACATTTTATTAGTATATTAGAGACTTAAATCTTAAATTCTTATATATATTAATTTAAAGTTTTTATAAATATTAATTCGATATATAATAGAAATATTAAACTAGAAGTAATATATAAGCTTTTATAGCGTGGGATTACAAACATATGAGCGAAACGTGATTAGAGTAAAGATTAGTTGATTTCTAAGACGAGAGAAGGAGAGAGCGGGGTAATATATATGCGAACTAAGCACTCCTCACGATACATAACCGCGCCACGGGACCAGGGACCTGAAACCCCCACCCACAGGAGCTTCGTCCCGAGCATACTACCAAGAATAAGAGCCTAAAGACCCATCCATAAAGCATTATAATAATCGTAACTCGTACGCTCTGTCTTGTATATACCCTAGGCTTCACAACACTATGTTTCCGGCCTAATTCGTCGTCGTCCAAGCACTACTAAATACTCCATTTGCAATTATCGTACAAACCGTATCCAAGGCACACATTCAAAGTGGATCTCAAAGCAATAACCTAATCCTACAAATCATATGTGCCAGCACCTCTGCAATTACCGCCGTAATGCAGACATCACTGGTCTTGGAAGTAATGGTGCCTGTACTCTGTAAATTGTTATTGCAATCGCAGGAATTGCTAGTCTTGAAGTGTAATCCTGCTAGCACTTCTGTAAATTGCCGTTGTAATGGCAGGAATCACTAGTTTTGGAGAGGGCAAAGTGGTTCGGAAGATATCGCTTCGTGGGAGGGAATCGTACGTCGGAAGTCGGAATCATGAATCGTAATTAGGAGAGGAGGTAATTGTAGTTTAAAAGTGTAAAGGCAAATCGTAAGTCGAAAGTGTGCCAGTACTTCTGTAACTGCCGCTGCCATCACAGGAACTGCTGGTCTTTTAATCGAATAGAGAGAAGGTAAAGAGCTTCGAAAGTCGTGGAAAACGTACGAAATTGTAATTGCCCAAATCGTGCACTTCTGCTTGCCAATTGCCCCAGTTTTGCAAACCGCATATTCTAGCGCTTGAGTAATCTACGCAAGCATCTCTACCTCGTCGTCTTCGGTATTAAATGAAGATTCGTACTCTTGTAACAGTATAAGAGGAGAAGCTAAAGGCGGAGACCCTGGAATCTTCGTAGGAAAGACTAGTATTGGAAGGGTGATATTATTGAGGAGAAAATTATCCATCTGCCTAAATACCTCCTGGAAATATGCTAGCTGTAAAAGCACATTCGAATCGGTTAGATATTTGTTTCGTGCGATATAACTGATCTTATCGGAGCAATCTGAAGCAGTTTGAAAGGCCTTAGCCCTAGGCTAATGAAGAAGAGTTTGAAGGGAGACAAGAGGAGTTGATATTGCGCAATCCGAGGAATCGATGGAAATTGCAGTGAGCTATAAAGTAGTCTTAATTGAGTCGTAAGAGGAGAGCTTTGAACTAATAAAGGACACCGTTGTCGTACAAATAGATGATGTAATTAAAGCCTGAATTGTGAATCTTGAAGCTTGGCAAGGAGAGGAGAGGAGACGAGAGGAGACGAGCTGGTGGAGACTGCGCACAGACAACATTCTCTGGTTTTGACAAGTTGCGTTGATTTAACCCTTAACCAAAGGGTCACAACCCTCACGAAGGTCGCAGAATGAGAGGCTCATTCCATTCTATGCTCTTACTCGTTAATGTGATGAGCAGGTAGTTCCACCAGGTACACGGACGGCTATACCGTATTCGAGTCCCTTACTATGCTTGCCCCACTTGCCTCGCAAGGAAATCAAGTCTGGACAGTCACGAGAGCCGCGAGGTCTTCGTACTAAGAATATTAATAAAGGAATAATATAGCTTAAGGCCGTTTTAAAGCTAAGAATCGATTCGATATCGATACGTATCGATCCTTGCGATACCTAACTAATACTATCTAGTATCGGTAAGGTATCGATACCTTAGGTATTAAAGCCAAGTCTACCAGAAATTAGTTTTTCGGAGCCCGCAGATTCGGTGGGAGCTCGGGACGAGTGGTGTAAAGAGGCTCAGTGGAGGATGATGTGCAATTAGCTCCTTTAGTTTGCTCTGAATTGTGTGCCCATCCCCTTTTGTCAAGGGCACAATCACAAGAGAATGTTGTAAAAGTTGAGACCGGTTCTTTTTCGGATGTCTTGGGTTTGAACATCATTTCGGTCTTGTGCTGTACTTGCAGTTCTTCTGAATCCATTGGTTCGAGAACCTTTTCGTTTGAGAAGCTCGCTCCTGTCTACGTTCGTAAGCCAAAATTTGCTTTGTCGCAAGTGTGCTAGGATGTTTGAAGAACTAAGTACCTTTATATACTCGCTTGCAATGAAGTTTGAGTCCGAGTTCTTCCAATTGTACCTTCTGGGTGATTAATGTTGTGAACCTTCCCTTCAGTGTTGGAAATGCTCAATGAATGCATTCTTATATCTTATATCTAGGTGGGGGGAGGGGGCGTAGTTGAGCAGGGACCTTGAAGTTAGCCATACGGGCGTCAAATGTGGACTCAACATGGGTACAATATGCCCTGGCTGCGATGCTGCACACGGTGATTTGGAGTTGGTTTCTCGTTGACGCGGGGCTGAGTGGAAAAAGCAGGAGCACAATTCATTTGAACTGTCCCCAAATAGGAGCACTCAGGACGGCTTGATTTCAACTTCCATGTAGCAGTGGACTTAAAGTTCACGATTCGCCAAATCTTGCTTCCTTTTGACATCCTCTTCTCATTCTCTTGACCTCACACAACTCTGATTTTGATTCAATATTTACCAGCTTCGAATCGACCCCCAACATCTTCTTACGATCGAAGATGATTTCGTCTCTCAATCGGTCCCATCCTTCATAAGATATAGGGTCAAATGGACGAGTGCGTGCCAGTTAGATCACAGATCCGGGAATTTCCCACTTTTGAATCTAGGACAACTTCAGGGGTGATCCCACTTCAATCTGGGTTCTCGGTTTCTCTAAGGTGTACTTTTCTCCAAGAATCCACCAAATGCAGGGCTGAGCCAAGCCCTCTCGTTTTGTGGCGTCGCTTCCCCTATTGGAATCCCCGACATCGCCAAGCAAAATCACAAGCGAGTTTAAATCCGTAGTATTGCATCTCAGCCCTTTCAGCACCAGGCTGCAACTTGCTCGTTTCATTCTCCTTTTAACCTGGCGATGTGTCGCGAAGGCCTTCTTTCTCGATGTCCGAAAAAATGCAGGCCACACGCCCACGACATACCCCAAAGTTTGTGGAAGGTCGCTTGAAGTTGAGCACTTCCTGCACGGAGTGTCACAGGAGAAAACAAAAGGTATGGACTTCAAAAAAATTTGATGGCGTGAAGGTGGGCAAGAAAGCTAATCAGAACCCAGTGTGACCAAAAGCAACCTTGTGGACACTGTGCCAGGAGATATCCTCCTCCGCCGTGCATATATCGAAGCTTCCGGTGAGTATGGTTGTTGGCTTTCGCAGGCCCAAGTTAACGAGAGCAAAAGGGAAATCTCTAATCCATCCAAAGATCAAGCTGAAATTCTGGGATGGCAATTCTTGCAAGTACATGAATCCGGAACTTCAATGAAAGCGGAGTTTGCTCTCGGTAGCAACCAAGTCAATTATGAAGAGGACAAAACTCTGTCATGTCCTCTCACGCAGGAAGTTGAGGAACCCTTCGTCTACGAAAAATCAGAGTTGGAACCGCCTCACGTTTCCTTCGACACTCTAGAACAGTTCAGTTCAGAGAATTACCAGCAGCTTGTCACTACTATGATCTCCCACCTTTCTACAGCTGTACTTGGGGAGTCGTTTGCTGCGGAGGCACTTTTGCCGAAAATGTCGAAAAGAGGTGAAAGCCGGCTACCCTCTTTTCTCCAAAGTAATTCTAGAGGGCATAGGCAACCAAAAGAGAACCCCCACTTCAGAAGTAATTTCCTGCAATGTCGTGCGGTTCCGCCGCCGAGCCATTTCAGTATTAGTGCCGTGGAGCCACTGCACTTTCTAGGAATAACTCCTACAGTCCAGAGCGCAGAACTACTCCAAGTTTGTAAGTTGAAAACGCCGAATATGATGAAATAAATATCAACTACTGATATAGTACAGTTTTGAAGATCATATGCAAATATGTGGTATCCATTGATGGTAATCCGGCGCCAAACTGCTATAACGATTACTGGGTGCAATGGTCTATAAAATCGCCACTTTTGGCCCACCTAGCTATCCTCACATCTGCCATCTATCAAGCAGAAGCGCAAAACGAACCTCCAGGACAGTCTCCAATCACACTTCGTTACAAGGTCAAAAGCATTGAACTGCTCAATGAAATGCTCGGGAATGAAGAGAGCGCTACTTCTCCCGAAGCCATCGCTGGTGTTCTCTATCTGATGGTGAATGAGTGGTATTGGTGTAATCGTGATGTTGTGCAAAGCCATATAGTAGGACTGAAAGAGATGATTCGATTGCGTGGTGGGCTGCACAATTTGGGACTGAGTGGATTTGTGAGGAAGATGGTTCTTCAGTATGTGCGGAGGAGTTCATCTAGCAATCTGTTTTGCAAAGATTCTAACTTCTTGAGCAGCATTGACTATAACGTTGCGTGCTCGTACGACATCGAGCCTGCTTTTTCGCATGTGGAGCCCACTCAACCTCGACACCCAGTTGAAATGAGTATCCCATTTGTAGCTGCGGAGCAGGACTTCTGCAGCATCACTGAGGAGCTTCAAATCGGCAAGGAGACAGCGACAATCCTTGACGACATGCGTTTCGTGATTTTGGCGCTCATAAAACACGCCGAACAAGATTCTGCAGAGCCAGAGCAGATGAAATTAACTGCTACTGCGACATGGATCAGAGATCGGATCGCCTCACTGCCGGACGGCTCATCACTTGCTTCACCTTTAGCAAGTGATTTCATATACAAGAGCTGCAGAATTGCTGCCCTCATTTACTGCAAAGCCATCGTCGAACGATCTTCACTCACAAAGGTTTGCACGTTGAAAGAACTAACTCATCTCTGGGCGACTATGTGGCGAGTCAAGCTTTCCCGGTGGAAACAGATTCCCGGGATCTTCCTCTTCGTCATCGCATCTGCACTTTCGGCGGCAGAACTTACTCCACATGGAAGATTTACGAAAGCAATGTTCAAGACGGCTACCTCGTTCATTGGGTTGGACTATTTTGATTTTGTTGACGCTGCTCTGATGGCTTTTGTCAAGCTGCAGAGGTGGTTGAGGACTGGAGGTGAGGAGGTTGAGCGATCGTCGAAGCCTGTACCGTTGGAGTTTATTCATATATACGAATCTTAGAAGAGAAATGCAGTTACGAACGAGCAACCCTTTTTTCCCATTAGGGGAGTGTCTCGTGACCACTTTCGGGCCGTCAACTCTCGCCAAAGCCCCTTTTGAGTTTGAATAGGGGCTTCGCTAAAAAGTAATTGCCCCACTCCCTTTAAAGGCCATGCGGCCGCAGCTACCTTCCAGAATTCCAGCACTGGCTGTCAAACATAAAGCGTGTTGAGTTGATATGGTGAATAAAAAATCTTCTATAATATAATAAAGACTTTGGTCTTTTGATTTATCTTTGGGCCTGCCGAGAATAGTCTAGTGGCGCTGACTAAACTTCGGTACCTGCTCCGATGTTCTAGAACTACACCATTTTCAGCTAGCAAGGTTCTCCAATATTTGGGTCCCTGCACCTCGCAGCGCGCAAGGGAGTCTTCATCCTTTCTCCGCGTCCCTCGCGGCCTCGCGGACACCGCAAGCACCACTATCTGCGCGGCTGCTCCTGCCCCAGAATTTCACCCAATTCTTCCCAAAGTCTCGAATCTACACGAACCTCCCGTTGATCAATTGCTACATTTCGAACCTCTCAATCTGGGACGCTGCTGGCAGCCCCGGAAACACTGGACAATTCAAGATCGCTCTGTAGATGCAGTACTGGCCTCGAAGACGCATTACACAGGAAGAAGGTTGAGAACATGCCGAACCAATAACACTGGTAGAAAATAGGGATCTGCGGGCCGATGGGCACAATCGACGCCATGGCAGACGCTGGGGGAGATGGGACTCTGCGACAGCTTGAACCACACTGGAATCGCGGAATGATTGCTGCCTCCATTGTTATCTCTCTTCTTGGTGCATTCACATCTACCCAATTGCATGCTCCCCGTTACCGTTGCCTGCAATCGTAAAGACTAACATTTGCTCCAGGATGTGCCAAGCCAGAGCCTCAATTAGTTTCAATGCCGTGCTTGTTTGGGTATTACTTGCTAGCCTGACATTTGGATTCTGTTCAATATGGAGTCTTCATTTTGTGGCAACGTTGGCATACGAATTGGATATTTCGATTGGGATCAACACAGCTTTAACAATTCTCAGCTCTGCGCTGGCTGTCGTTTTCACCTTTGCAGCTTTGGGGTCTGACCTGCTATGGGAAGTCTACCGCCGAGAACGAAAAAGGACAAATGGGAAACGTAGGAGGAGGAAGTTGCCAAATGGCTTGGGAAGTCGACCACGAGGACAAGCCTCGGACCTCGACTCCAGACCACTCCTCACTCAGTCAGAGGACCTCGATGATTTCTCGCCAGGGCCCACCTCCGGCCCGAACCCGTTTGAGCTGGAGGGAGTTGAAGTGGAGGACAGCGCACCCGTCCCGGAAAATCACCAATTCCCGCCTTCTCTCGCACGACAGAATTCAACAGGCAGCACATCAACAAGAAAGATATCTACTTTGCCAGTGCTCGGGTCTTCCAATCATAGCTTGATCCGACACTCAGATGACAACCAAGAACTAGGGAACGCGGACAGTACGACAGATTTCACAGACTCGGGCGACCACTCAACTTCAGGGCGGTCTTCCTCATTGTTGGGTTCCAGTTCTGCCTCTACGTTCGCGCTTAGCAGTATTGTGAACATTGCGTATCTCACCACATCTCCAGCCAAGAATATTTTCTTTTTGACTGGAGAAACACTGTATTTGGGCTGTACGTGGAAGAACATCACAAAGGGATTTGTATGGTCTCTCGCCATTACCAGCATGCATTACGCTGGGATTAATGCTCTAAGAATTCCTAGTGGCTATTGCACACTAAATTACGCCTTCGTGGCACTATCTGGCATAATTAGTTGGCTTGTATGCATCGTGGGGTGTATCCTGATGTCTCAAATGGAGACGCATTTGGGCCAACAATTCCTCTTCTCCATTGCAGCAACAACAGGAGTTGCCGCCATGCATTTTACTGGTAAGTCATTGCGCCCGCCATCTGATGTTCTCATACTGACACCACCTAGGAATGGCAGCTGCAACATTCTGGACTAAATCACCACCGACGGAAGCAAGAGGCTATCCACCTATCCTAGCAACTGCTGTAGTTAGTATCGCAATTGCAACTTGCATTGCGGCTAATGGCCTCCTAGCCCATGCTGTAACAGTTTCTCGAAACAAGCTGGCAGAGGTCGTATCGACACGCAAGAAGTTGTGGAGGACTATTGCCCAAAAAGAGAATGCTGAAGCCGCAGCCGCAGCGAGAAGCGATTTTATTGCTTCTGCATCTCACGAAATCAGGACTCCGCTACATCACCTCCAAGGATACAGTGACCTGCTCTCGCAGACGGAATTAACCGAGGAAGGCCGTTTGCTACTGCATTCCATTCAACGAGCTACTAAAACTTTATCATTGAGTAAGCTACAAAATTCCCCTTGTTGCTAGCATCTTTTAACCCAAACCCAAATCAGTCACAAATAACGTCTTGGATTGGTCGAAATTGGAAAGTGACTCTGAATCTATAGCCCGCCCTGTCGCTCTCGACATCAGAACCGTCTGCGAAGCAATTCTTGTGTTGCTACCTAATAAAGATGATGAAGCAGAGGTGGAAACAATGGTCGTTGTCAAGCCCAACGTTCCAAAGTCAATCTTCCTGGATGAGACTTACATTCATCGAATCTTGATGAACCTTCTCTCCAATGCGCTAAAATTCACAAGATCTGGTTACATTATGTTACTAGTTGAGTTTGAAGAAGGCAAGCTTGTGGCTACTGTGAAAGACACTGGGCCCGGGGTGCCTCCATCTTTTTTACCTCAACTTTTTGAGCCATTCAAACAAGCTCAGACGAGAGGCTCGCAGAGAGGAACGGGGCTCGGCCTGAGCATCGTCAAACAGTTGCTCCATAACATGAACGGCAGCATTACTGTCGAGAGCAGACATCCCGAGGTCGAGGGAGTCGAGCCAGGACGGACTGGCAGTACATTTGCCATATCTATTCCCGTGCAATCTGGTACGGAGGTTAACTCGGCCGACGTGCAAAAGCCCGCGAAAATTGCAATTCTCCACGGTGGCAATGAACGAGCTATCGAAGGGCTTCGAATTGCCTGGGAGAAATTCGGATTTGAGGTCGTCATAACACATAACACTGCGGCTCTAGCGGGTGTTGACTGGAAGTATATATGGGCAGATCTTCCGTTCCTGAAGGCCAATCCGGCTTGTCTACAGGCCCTTTTGAAACAGGATTCATGGAGAGTCCTCGTCCCATACGATACTCTCCATCCGATACATCAGATTCCAGAACTTGAATCTGCTCTACAATTTGTTCCACTACCGAGGCCATTGATATGGCATACGTTTTCACATCGTATGGCTGCAGCAAAACAAGGGCCGATGAAAACCGAGGTTTCAAGGACGGTAAGGTTCGCACCGACGGTCAATTTTGTAAATGAAAATGACAAAGCACAAACACCAAAATCGACTGCAAAGAACTTTGTTATCCTGCTCGTTGAAGACAACCCGGTATGTCGTTTCTCCCATGCTTATCTTCACAAAACCCCTTACTTACTCATCGCAGATTAATCAAAAGCTCGGCCGAAAGATGTTGACCTCCCTTGGATACAGGGTCTGGCTCGCAGAAAACGGCCAAGAAGCGATCGGTCAAATCCTAGAGAACGACTCTGCCATAGATGCGATACTTATGGACCAGTCTATGCCTGTGAAGGATGGAATCATGGCCACAAAGGAGATTCGAGAGATGGAGGCAGCCGGTGCCCTTTCCCGACGACATCCGATCATTGCTCTGACGGCGGTCGTGAGTTCTGAAGCACAGGCGTTGTTCAAGTCTGCTGGCGCTGATGACTTTCTTGCTAAGCCACTTTCTTTGGCTAAGCTCGAGCACACGTTGGCTATTCATCTGCCTGTAAAGCGGAGGTGAACTAGCAGGTTGACAAGCAAAGGCCGAAAATTTGTCATTCTTGCGGGGGCTTACTATGGCAGTACCGCTCACGTATCAGGAAATTCCCTGCGAGCTGGTTGAGTAATGTCTGCCTTGAAATGATAAATCCCAGTCTCAGTACTGGCACAACATCAGCCATTAAACGGAGGACGCGGGGGAGGCGTAGAGCTTCGAGATGTCCGAGGTAGAGGAGCCTTTTCAACCCTTATTTCACATATCAAAAGCTGACATCCTCCACAGGACTATCGGGTAAACTCTATCACATGAAGAAGTTGACTTGAAGATCAAATATGAGTTTGTACATAACCTACACACAAGATAGATGCGGCTGACGATGTAGGCGTAAGACGAGGATGAGCTTTGGGACACACATTAGATCTGTAGACTGTATAGATATTCTCTTTCCAGCTAGTTGCATAGAATTGAGCATACAGACACAAATAAGATCTCTGGAATCAAATTCCTGTCTCTCCAAGATCTTCGAAGATGGTTCGAGCATATCGGACATTATCTCGTCCGAAGTGGACGATACCAGAGACTGTACCACTTTGGGAGGCATAGCATTCGGGCTTACACAAGATTAATCCACTGAGACCCCACCGAATCTATAGGATTATAAGCTTAATTTGCACATATTCGTATCTTCGCAAGGTGTGAGTTCCCATTTCACACTCGCTGCTGGGGTTAAAAGCACTGAGCTCGGATTTCATACTTCGTACCGCCGGATAAGGTTACACCTAGAATTTGACGCTCAGGCGCTGGTGGCGCTTACGCTTTTCCCCACCACAATGTCTGCTTACACAACATGTGCTTTTTTTTCAGCCTATGGGATTATCACCGATGCGTGTGTTCACATTGGCGTCGCCGTTTGATTGAGAATCTGAGAGTTGTTTTCATAAAATTAGAAATTGCTTACTCCTCCGGAATCCAGATTTGAGTGAGGTGAGCGCTACAGGCCCCTATCCGAAGCGAGATTAGCTCAGGTACGGGCCACAGGGGTTCGCGTTTTGGCTTGCCGGTGGTACCTGAATCTGTGCAACAGCGCCCTCCCTTCACCACCGTTCACCCATCTGCAATCAATATCTCTCAAACGTCTCTCAACACGTCGTCAACAATTGAAGCGGTCTACTTGATGCCCATAAGAGAGTAGAACGAAGCAGGAGCTAGTTTTTGTCATCGTCCAAGATGCGCGCCTCCGTTGCTCTTTCCCTGTCGCTGGGAGCAACAATTGCCAGCGCCCAGCTTCAACCTCGACAGACCACCAGCATTCCGGATTTCGTCACGAATTATGGTAGATTAAGGCTTTTCCTATTAACCATCCATCACTAACATCCAGGTAGCGCCATTAGTATATCTCGACCAGAACGACGTCTACCTTCCTTCCGACATTCAAGCGCAATTGAACAACACTTACCCCGCACTCAACTACACAGCGCTGCCCAAAGCGGATGTCCCTTCACCACTCCTCCTTTCAGATCTCGAACAACTCAACATTCTAGGAAATTGCGGGCAGAACTTCGATGCATGCCCCATCTATCTTACCTCCAAAGACAATGTGGCGACGGACCCACCTTGGCTTTATGGCGTCCTGCCTGATCCCGTGACCGGCAAGACTGTCGGCGCGAGATCTTGCGCTATCATTGTCAATGACCATGGAGGCGGACTTGTCGATGCTTATTATATGTATTTCTACGCTTTTAACTACGGATCGGTTGTTTTGGGGCAGCTCCTTGGGAATCATGTTGGAGATTGGGAGCATAGCATGGTGAGATTCAAGGAAGGAATCCCCATTTCCGTCTGGCTCAGTCAACATGAAGTAAGTTGCTCCTTCGAAAGGAAATGCAACCGCCGCTGATGGTGGACAGTATGGACAAGCTTTCACATATGACGCGCTATTAAAAAAGGGTCCTCGGCCCATCATCTACAGTGCATTTGGCTCTCACGCCAATTTCGCAGTAGCAGGGACGCACTCCCGAAACGTATCCGTCGTAACAGTAAATGACTACACTTCGCCTGGCCCGGTATGGGACCCTACTCTGTCAGCATACTTCTACACCTATACACCATCGTCAGCCACAAACGGCACATTCGTGCCTTCCGACGCTACGACTCCCACAGGATGGCTCTACTTCGAAGGCAGGTGGGGTGATGAACAGTATCTCGACAGCGACCCTAGACAAGTGAACTTCCTGAATGCCAGCATTGCTTGGAAGTACGAGACTGGGCCAACTGGACCTTTGGACAAAGGCTTGAATCGGACGGATGTGTGCCCGAATGTGTCGGGGACGCCTTGCACAACTTTGAGTGTGTTGCCTATTACCAGTGGCTCAAGTATCCCAGTCACGGTCACAAGAACAACTTCAAGCCAATATTCGGTGCCTACGGGAACGGGTGGGGGAAATAGTACTTCTTCTAGAAGTGCGGGTCCAACTAGCTCGACGTTGACCAGCGCAAACGGGGCCAAAGGTTTGAACGTCAAGATTGGGTTTAGTTTCTGGGGAGTTGTGGTGGCTTTGCTAGTTTGGTGACTTGATTCAGTCACCGATGAAAGCTCATCGTACTATCTAATGGACGGATTTACCGGCCAGGCTCGCGTTCCCTGATCTCGTCGTCGACGAGCATCGCCCTTGGACCGAAACACAAATGACAGCATTTGGCAACGCCTAGGCACATTTTACAAGCTTGCATGCTCGCCCTTTAAAACATTTTGCCCTGCATGTGATTGGTAGAAAGTGGCGCAGCCCATCCTCGTCCCCATGCGCAATGATCAAGCCCCAAGGCTCCAGCCTTATCGCCTTGACCACCAACTTTAAGCAACGGATCACCTGCAAGAAAAGACGACGATAATTCACCCTACTATTACCAGTTTTCATTAAATATTTGAATGATGAAGATATTAGTGCACAACGTCCCAGACGAGATTCTCCTCCAGATCTGCTCAAGTCTCACCAGCCACGAGCTCTACCAACTCTCACTGTCATGTCGAGCTTTATCTCGAGTGGCTTTTGAAGTGTTCTCCCGCGCCATCAAGCTCGACTACGCATACCGCGATGATGGAAGCCTCTCGCATCTGAACGGCTTCATAACGAAACTCGAACGTCGCTCTGGCGGCTTCCTCTCAGGCATCAACATAGCCCACCTCTCATGGCCCATCGGTAGCGAGCTTCGTCGCCGCATGCATTACATCTTATCCATTCTCCCCAATATACAGACTCTGAATCTAAAAGAGCATTTTGGCTCGCTTCGGGGGTTCTTTATCGGGAGTGGAGGACTGGATGAGAATCTGTACGATATTTTGCTTCAAATACCGTCTGCATCTACACTTCGCAGTCTTACCATCTCGGATACCAGGATCACGGCTCATGATATTCTGAAACTATTTGCAATGAAGCAGCTAGAACATTTGTCTCTCGATGGCTTCAATTATGCCATGGGTATAGAACCTGGTGAAGAGGTGCCTCACTCACAACTGCAAAGTCTAACCATCTCGACTTCGGCGAACCCCACTGGCCGCCATATCGACATTATACTTGCACGAACACCCAAACTGAGGAAATTCACCTGGAATTTCGACCTCAGCTCAACGTTGAATCAAGAGGCAATCCGGCGAGCACTGTCGCCGGCAGCCATGGGCGAGGCTCTCAGCCCTCTGAGGTCGAGTCTCGAAGAATTGTATATTTCCATGGCTCCTAGTCGGTTTCGAAGCGATTCAACAAGTCTGAATCTTTCCAACTTCTTGAAATTGAGGATTTTGAAAGTCCACGAGGAAGTTCTTTTCCCGTCGTATAATGAGCTGGGTTATGTTGTCTTCTGTCGTGGTCTTGAGGCACAACTCTGTGAACGCTTGCCTCCGAATCTGGAGATGTTGGAGGTGAGATGTCAGAGACATATATAAACCCTCAAATATCTTCTGGTGCTTGGCTGACTCATAAAATGTGCATAGATCGTGTTTGACCGCACTGGCCGAATCGACTGGTGGGCTACAGAGAATCATAAGTTGGTTTTCTGCTCAGCAGGTAGCAAGAGAACGCGTGCTAAGACGCCAAGACATATTTCAATCACGGAGAGATCATGTGCTGCTCTTGGTGAGAGAGAACTTGAGGACTGCGCGTTAGAGCCACCAGATGAAGTGAAGTGGGCTTTCGATAAAGCAGGAGTCACATTCAAGGTTTTTAAGAGGGCAAGAGAGGTACCCCTTAGCTAAAGCAATGACCCAATCCGAGATTGCAAGATTCACACTCGTTTCTAGAACCTTGGCTGAGGAGACTTCGAGCAAAGGTCTTCTGCGTCCTCCTACAAATGTGTGCTATCTCACTCTTTATACCGTATCAACCTTCTCAATACCCAGGCTCTTCCCTCCCTCATCGAATACTTGTTTCACCCACCCAATCCCATCATCAAGCCACCCCTGCCTCCCAGGTCTCATTCCCTCTATCTCCGCACTCTCCTTCTCAAGCGTCCCCAACGCAGTATCAAAATACGGGCCCCAGTTCTCCTCTTTGCTCATCTCGTCACCGAGGCCCGAATACAAAAAGCTTAATGGCGTTCCGCAGCGCCCACAAAACGTCCTGTGCGCCTGCTCAGAGCTATCAAAAACCTTGATATACGTCGCTTCCTCCAACTCCTTACTCGGGCGGAGAACTTCTGCCGTTGTCTTTGGAGTGATACGCTCTTCACTTGTGTTCGAGTCGGAACTCGTGTTGCGGGCCAGAAGGGAGAAAGTCACCCATCGCTGCGGGCAAATAAACCAAGCCTGAATAATCGCGCCCGAGATCCGACGACAGGAATTACAGTGATCGAGACTGATGACCGGTAAGCGCGCGGCCACATTGGTCTGAGCACCGAATGCATGTTTTGGTGGGTGGCGGTCGGAATCGAGGAGCGGGCGGGACTCGAAGGCCGGGATGGAGATTGTGTAGGTTATTGCTTTGCAGAAGCAGCCGCCGTGGACTGAGAAGGGGGTTCTGGGGAGAGAGGACATCTTGACATGGAGATGGAGTTATGGAGAGGGAGGATGCTGGGCTGAAGACAGAAGTGGGGGAGGAGGGGGGTTGAAGGCGGGGGCGGGGTGATTATTGAGGCGTCTGACGTACACTGGGTATCCTTGCTTGTTTGTGAGCCCACAGGAGAGAGAGATTCGAGTTCGCTTGTTTTTGAAGCGGGTGAATTCACGGGGAACATCTCGAAATTTCAACGTTTCATCGATGCCGAGATTTCTTGTATGTATATTTATTAGGAAATCCAAAGGCACGAGCTTAGGTTTCTAAGCACCACTGGAATAGAAAGCCCGTTGTTATTTGAAGAATTTGAAGTGTTGCGAGGGAAATCTGATCCTTGAGCGAACATCCTCTTAAGGGATTGCTTTGGTAGCTACCAAAACTGTTCACATCGGCTGAACATGAAAAGAGGCTCCAAAATCACTTTAAAGCCTTCAAGCGAGTTGCACGTGAGAACCGCGCCAAAATTTTAAAAACGGTATAACCAAATGGAGTGATATGCCGCGGCAAAACTGCGGGGAATTTTAAGTTAAGATTCTTAATCTAAGGTCGCGGGATTCGTCCCTGTTCAATTTCATCTGCTCGTGCGACATCAGTAGATTTCCCCGAACACCAGCTGCACAAACGGTAGTTAATGCACGTAAATTGAGCAGAGTAGGGAGTTGCACTGAAATTAAAAGAATTAATTAAAGCTAGCTAGAATAGAGCTCAAGGTGAGGTGTGGAAGCTCTGGAATATATATTCAAAGAGCTCGGCCATGCGAAGCGATCGCGCTACGCCCCATTGAGAAATCCTAACTGCAACAGTAGTTAAAAGCTTAGTTCATCTGCTCGTTCAGATCTGGCACGCAGCGTCATTGGGTTTACGTTTTAACTAATAATATTTACCTTGTATTTCATTTGATGCTGAAATTCAGGTAACAGACAACAGCCGATGGCCACTCTGTTATCGGAGTACTCCGTAGCCAGTTTCCTGCCTTGCCTGTAAAGATATAAGTTCCGAGCTGCTAGCCAAGGGCTTGATAGTGAGATCTTTAATTTTATCCCGTGTCAATTCGAAATGCAGTATCTCTAAATAGTTATTGAATTAAGATTATAAGGAATTTGTTTATCCGAAAGAACTCGGCAGGAGTAAACAAGGCTAATTCCATATAGGAACCAAACAGGAAACAGGAAACAAACAAGGAGGTTAAGCACCAAAATATTCTCATTGCCTGTTTAATAGCAATTGGGAGATTTGGAGAACATATAGTTAGTCTAATCCAAAAACAATAAAATAAAATAAAGTTTACTATAATACTAATTAATATAATTTATATTAATTAGAATTATTATATAGCTTATAGTAAATAATTCCCTGTTTCCCGATTTTTAATATTTTTAATATAGTAAAAGTTATAAAGTATATATAAATTTTTATACTTTATTTTATTTAAAAAATTATATCTTTTATAATATATATAATTAAATATAACTAAAATAATATTTAGTTCATAATTAAGCTTTATAATATAAAAGTAAAATAAATTTAATTTAATAAAGGTTTTATATACTTTTATAATTATATTAATATAATAAAAGAAATAATATATATAATAACTAATATAAAATTATTATATCTTTTAATACTTTATATTTTCTTTAATAATAATTCGAAAAATTTAAGATTTTATTAAGCTTAGTAAATTTAGGAATTATATATTAATATTATAATATTATAATTCCTATTTCTAAATATTAATTATTTTACTAATTTATATACTAGTATTTTATATATATTATATAATAGTATTATATATTTCTAGTAAACTAATACTATTTAGTAAATATATAAATTAGAAAAATTTAAGAGCTTATTATTAAGATTTATTTATATATATAGATTAGAAAGAATTAAGTTATATTTATTTAAAATTCGGTTATTTAGAAATAAAGCTATTATTTAAATTAAAGAAAAAATAATTATTAAATAAAAAAGATATTTAATCTTATTAAAATCTAATTATATTATATTAAAAAAGAAAATATTTATTAGTTCTATTATTTATAATATTATTAGTATAGCTATAGTTATTAATAATTATATAATATAGTTATATAACCTAAAACTAATTAGAAATAATAGAATACAAGTAATAATTATATAATCTTATATTATATAAGTAATTTAATAAATAAACTAGACTCTATTAGATTTAATAGATTTAAAAATTATATATTAATATTATAATATTATATTTCTTATTTCTAAATAAGAATAATTTTATTAATTTATATAAAATAGTATTATATATTACTAGTAAACTAATACTAATTAGTTAATATTTATAAATTAGAAAAAGACTTAGTTAATTAGAAAAGTATTTAATAGCCTAAAATAAGTAATCTATTTCTAGTTAAAAGAAGAAATTACTATTAATTCCGGAAAAGCATTTAATAGCCTAAAAAGAAAATACTAGCTTTTATTAATTAATAGATAATTAGCTATTTAACTATTTATTTAACTATTTAATTTCTATTATTCTTTAAAATTAACTTTTTTTAGTCTTGAAATTACTTTTTTGGAAACTATTTCTTCTATTTATATAATACTTATATTTATAAAATTCTTTTTCCGAAATATATATCTTATATATATTTTATATATATTTTATATATATCCTTAAAGCTCTTTAATTATAAACTTTAATTTTTCTATTAAATTAAGCCCTTTAAGCTTTAGATTCTTCCGGAATTATAATATTTTATTTCCTAAATTTCTTATTATAAACGAAATATTTAAATACTAAACTATATTAGTATATTTTATATAGAACTTTTAATAAGAACTTATAGAATTTATTTAAGAATAACTTTAAGGATTTTAATAATATAACCTTTAGTTAATATAATTATATTAATTTATAAATTCTTTAAAAATACCTTTAATATAATAATATTTATATTAAATAAAATTATATATACTTTATTATAATATAATTTCTATTTAATATTATTTAGAAAAAAAAATATATATTTAATATAAAGCCAATATTATTAAAAATAGCCCGATTAGAATAAATCTTTTAAAATAATTTATTATATTAGTTTATTTTATTTTAGAAGAAACTAGATAAAAGAGAATTAAATATTTTTAGTTAATTAGCTAATTAAATTAAGGCATTTTTTTATAAAATTAAAGTTATTTACTACTTCTACTTTTACTATTATTATTACTAAATCCGAACTTTTATTAATTAATATTTACTATTATTACTAGAAAGCTTATTAGAAAAATAATAAAAATATATTCTAAAATATAGAAATATAATAGAATTAATAATAGTTTTAATTATAAACTTATTATTTTTCTCGATATTTATTAATATATAAAACTTTTAAAAAAGGTACTAATAAGAGCTTTTTTATTATATTAAAAAAAACTAGTATAAAAAAGCTTATATAAATATCTATAGCTTTTTTAAAGGCCCCGGTTTTTATTATTAAAATTTAGATAAATAAAATAGTATTATTTTAGTAATTATATTAATTAAAGATTTTAAGAAAATAATATTCGAGTTTATCTAAATACTAATTAATAATCTATATAAACTATAATATAGCCTTATTTTTATTTTATAAAATATCGAATTCTTATATAATAAAATTATTATTTCCTATTAAGATTTACTAATATACTAATATATAGTTTCGAACTCTTTTAATAAACTCGGCTAGTTTATTAATAAGCTCTAATTATTTATTATTACTTATAAAAAGAAGTAATAAATTAATACTAAATTTTATTTTACTAATTAATAATACTATTTTTAAAATTCTCTAAGCTATTATTTATTCGGAAATTATTAATATAGATTCTATTATAATTTCGGGATCTATAATAATTACTTTAAATCCTATAATTATAATAATTATATTTCGAAATTATATTTTATATATAAAAAACTCGAATATTATTTATAGAAAAATATATTAGAAAAATAAAAAACTAAAAAGGCTTAATTTAAAAATAGAAATATTTATTAGTTTAGATTCCGAAATTCTTATAATTTTAATAAATATTTTAATAGTATTTATATATAATATATTACTAGAATTAAAAGAAAAAATAATAATAGGAATAATAAAAATAAACTAGAAAATAATACTTTTAAAGTTTTATTAATAGAAATAAATAAAAGAGAGAAATATTATTTAGATTTTCAATTTATTTTTATTAAAAGCTTTTTAGCTATTTCTATTATTTGCATAATTTTTTTTTATAATTAATACTCTTATAAATAATCTTATTTCTCTTTCTTTTATATACTAAATAATAAATAAAAACTATATTTTAGAACTTATTAAATAAATAAAAAATATCTAGATATTTATAAGTAATAATATATTAAAATATAATTTTTATTATTTTTATAGAATTGTAATTAATAATACTATTAAAAGTCAAATTAATATCTAGTTTAGTATTAGATCTATATTTTCTATTAAATTTATAATAATAAAAATACTAATTAGGTAAATATAATTCTATATTGTATTTATAAAAATTCTATTTCTATTTAGCTTAACTAATATAAATAAACTAGAAGTTTATTTTAATAATTTTATTAATAATTTTATTAATAATTTTATTAATAATTTTATTATTTCTATTAGATATTTTATATTTATAATATAATATTTTAAATACTTTTTCCTGCTTTAGAATATTATATTATAAAGCTTTATTTCCGAATTCTTTATTTATAATTCCTGCTTTTTTATAGAAATTAAATTATAATATTTATATTACTATTTTAGTTATTTATTTATTAGTAAATTCCGAAATATACTAAAATAAACAGGTTATAATATTAATATAAAAGCTCTTAAATACCTTATAAAATACTATAAGTAATACTAGAAATTCGGATAATTACTAAAATAATTCAAGTTTAATTTAAGAAATAATATTAGCTTTAATTATTCTATTATTATTAATATTTTCTATATTTCTAGTAAACCTATATTCTATATTATTAATAAAGGTATTTGATATTAAGCTAGCTAATAACTTTAAAATATTAGTATTTTATATATTTGAAATACCCTAAAATAGTATTAGATTAATACCTATTTAGGCTCTTTTAATTAGATTATAGTAGATACTAGAAAGTAATTTACTAGTAAAAAGTTTATTTAATTTATAAATATTATAGGAACTAAGATTAAGATTATTTCTATAAAAGCTTATAATTCTATTAAAATTAAAAAATACTATTATAGCCCGATTTAATATATTTATTTTATTATTATAGCTAAAATTAATAGAATTAATAAAAATATTATATTTTAAATAGCTTTTAAGGCTATTAATAATTCTATAGAATTCGATAATATTATTTTAATTATTTTAATTTATAATACTTTATTTTAAATACCCAAATATAATACCTTATTATTAATTATATTATAGTAATTAGTAATACTTAAAATAATAATAATAGAAATTCAAGAGCTTTAAGCTAAATACTAAATTATAAATATCTTTAATATTCGAAATAGTTCTAGTATTATTAATATCTATAAACTTCTTTTAAATTCGGATATTCTTATATAATATAAAAGAAATACTAATTAATCTAATAATTAAAATAAACTATATAAGCTAGTAATTATTAATAAAAAGAATTATATATTAGCTTTATTATATAATAATACTATTTTCTATTTAATCTCTATAAAACTCTTTTATATAAGGGATATTAAGGTTATTACTAATAGCTCCGAACCTGAAACTATTCCCGAATTCTATAATGCAACTAAAAGTAATATAAATATAATTTCTTTTATTATTTCTATTATTTTACTAAAGTATAATAAAGAATATTCTTATAAAAATTCAGATATTATAGTATTTCTATAAAATAATAACCTATATAACTCCTATTAAATTAAAATTACTAGTATTTTAGAAAAGAATATATTTAAGATTATTTTTAAATTTCAAATACTAAAAAAGATATATATCTTTAATTCCCGGTTTATTAATAAGATTAAGAATAAGAATATAGAAAAAGAGTTTAAAAAATCGAGACTAGTTATCTAAACTTATAATAATAATAAGAAATATATAATATTAATATAATTATTTATTATTTAATATATTAGCCAGAGAATTATTTTTAATATTATTATTATAATAATAAATATTATAGAATTATATTTATATAATATCTTATAAGCTTATATCTAATTAATAACTTTATTTAATTATAATTTTTATATTGACTTATTTTATAAATTTATTAAAGAACTAAATCTAAAAAATAATTCTATTTTAAAAATTATAAAACTATTATATAATATACTAAAAACTAGAAATTACTAATTTAAAACTTATTATTTCTATTATATTAATAAGCTTTTTATAGAATAATTAATTTATAATTCTTGTTTTTTTTATAATAAATCATTTTTCGGAATTATTAGTCTTTAAATTAATAATATTCTATTTATTAAAACTAATAATTTTATAAAAGTAAAGTAATTAAAACTCTAAAAGACTAAATTCTTAGCTAAGAAATATAAATACCTTACTTTTAATTATAATTCCAAGTTTAATAAAAGTATTATTTATATAAATATTACTAGAATTACTTTTATATAAAAATATTAATATAAAAACCTTTGAATTATTTCTATAAAAAATATTATTATTATAAATAATAAAAGTATTATTTATTAAGATCTTTCTATTAAAGACTAATATATTATATAATATACTAGAGAAATATATATTATATTAATCTATTAATTACTATTTAAGCTATTAAATCCTTGGAAACTAATATAAAAATACTTAATAAATATATTTAATAGCAAATTAAAAATAGTATTAAAAAACTAAAATTCGTAAAACTAGTAAAAGAATTCTTATATTTAATTATTTTTATAAATACTTCATTTATAAATAATAGAAATCTCTTTTTCTAAATCGGATATATTCTAGTTCTAGTAAATAGAACTAGATATACTAATATTATTTACTAGTTCTTTATTAAATATAAGAGAGTTATTAGAAGTATTCTAATTTCGGAATTCTATAATATAGCTTATGGCTTTAATATAAATACTTTAATTAAATTTATAATTAATAAAATACTAGAAATAAAACTACTATTAATAATTTATATAAATTTAAAATTATTATATAAATATTTTATTAAATTAGGAACTATTTAAAAGAAATATCTAATAATTAATATAATATATTTTATTAAATATATAAATAACGAGAAATTATAAAAGTTAAATAAATTAAGGGAAAATCGAATTCTACTAATTCTATAATAAAATTAAAGCTAATAAATACTCTTAAATATCTAATTAATATAAATATAATATAATTAAATATAGAAAAATAAATCAAATATAAATAAAATAGAAAATAGATATATAAAAAAGAGAATATTATAGAAAAGAAAGTTATATATAAAAGGCTATAGCCTTTAATATATAACTAAAAATCTTAAAAGTAATATAGATATATAAACTATTTGGAAAATCTAATACTAGGCCAAATTAGTAAATTAATATATAATTAAAAAGAAATACTATTTTTTATATTTTTTTAAAAAAGTTCTAATATTAATATAGCTATTTTCTTTTAGGAATTATATATATAGTTATAGAACTCAGAATACGAGATATAATTATATAATCTTATATTTTATAAATAACTTAACTAGTAAACTAAATTCTTTTAGGCTTAATAGATTTAGAAATTATATATTAATATTATAATACTATAATTCTTACTTTTAAATAATAATAATAACTTTACTAACTTATATAAATAATATTTCATATTTATATAATAGTATTATATATTACTAGTAAATTAATAATTAATATAAAAATCTTTAAACTATTTCTATAAAAAATATTATTACTATAAATAATAAAAATACTATTTATTAAAATCTCTTTATTAAAAACTAATATATTATTTAATATATTAAAGAAGTATATATTATATTAGTTTATTAATTAGAAACTTTATAAAATCTATTAATTATTATTTAAATTATTATAAACTAATATAAATATATTTAATAGTAAATTAAAAATATTATTAAAGAACTGAAATATATAAAACTAGTAAAAAGGTTTTTATATTTAATTATTTTTATATATATTTTATTTATAAATAATAGAGATTTCTTTTCCTAAATCGGATATATTTTAGTTTTAATAAATAAAACTAGATATATTAATATTATCTATTAGTTCTCTATTAAATATAAGAGAATTACTAGAAATATTCTAGTTTTAGAATTCTATAATATAAGTATTTTAGCTAAATCTATAATTAATAAAATATTAGAAATAGAACTATTATTAATTATTTATAAAAATATCTTATTAAATTAAATACTATTCGAGAGAAATATCTAATAATTAATATAATATATTTCTATTAGAAATATAAATAATAATAAAAAATTATAAAGGTTAAATAAATTGAGGAAAAATTAAATTCTATTAATTTTATAATAAAATTAAAATTATAAAATACTTTTAAATATCTAATTAATATATATATATAATATAATGAAATATAAAGAAATAAATTAAATATAAAGATATAAATTAAATATAAAGAAATAAATTAAATATAAATAGAATAAAAAACAAATATATATAAATATATAAAGTATTTGGGAAATCTGGTATTATACCAAATTAGGAAATTAATATATAATTAAAGAGAAATATTATTTTTTTACATTTTTAGAAAAGTTCTAGTATTAGTATTATAATAGGAATTTTGCTTCTATTAGTTATATAGTTCTATTATATAACCTCCGGATATCTATATAATTTATAATTCGCTTATATTACTTTTTTTTTCTTTTTAGTTCTTAGAAATTAACTAATCTTTATTTCTTAATTCTATGTTTTATTTATATACTATAATCTCATACTATAGAAGCCTATTCTTTTCTATATATTACTATTTGTTTTATATTTCTATTATAATATAGCTATTTCTTTAGAAGTTATATATATAGTTATAAGACTCGAGAAATAGAATATTAATAATAGAATATAAGTAATAGAATATAGGTAATAGAATATAGAATATAAAATATAGTTATATAACCTTATATTCTATTAGGCTTAGCAGATTTAGTAATTATATATTAATACTATAATACTATAAGTCTTACTTCTGAATATTAACCACTTTACTAATTTATATATTAGTATTTCATATATATTATATAATAGTATTACGTGTTCCTGGTAAACCGATACTTATAGAAACTTAAAACCCTTATAAGTCTAAGCTTAATATACTATTTACTTATATAAGTATACCTGACTTTTCTAAAGTATTCTTGCGTTTTATATAATTAAAAATCCTCCCTATCCCACCCCCCTCACCCCCAAAAAAAACTAACAAATAGAGCATAGGACAAATTCCGTTGTATTAAAGAAGAACCAACTAAGGAGGGAAGTAAGAGCTTGCGAGAGAAGCTCATACTTAAATGTTTAGATGACACCAGCACGTTACGTAATATTGGCTAAATCCGGTACAGTTGGGAATGCGGTAAGTGAATGGGTGACATGCAACCGTGACAAAAAGTATAAATTGTCCGTGTACTTTAAAATTCGATCACTAATTAACCACAAAATCTATTAGAAATTGGGTTAATAGGTTTTATTGACCTGGTTCCATCCTACAATTTCCCCGCTCAGTATTAATAAATCGGGGCTGTAACTAAAAAGTTGTTATGGGCGCAAAAGGGCAACCGTTTTGCCGTTTTTGGATCGGACCGACTGTAGTAGTATACATTTGAATCTAAAAATCCCTGCGAAACATTGATATCAATATGAAAAGAGTGCCGGCAGTCTCGTTCCCTCGTTTTTTATCTTTCTAAACTCGTGCTATTCTTCGTTGATATCCGTTGCAAGGACTCATCAGTACGGAGATACTTGATATTTATTCCCTCGGGTCAACATTCATCATACTAGCAATGCGTCTTTCAGTCAGTACTGTTGCTCTGCTGGCAACCGCGGCCAATGGTTCAGTACTTTCGTGGACAGAATCTGTCAGCGGAGTACAGTATAGCGTGGGCATCCCCGAGGTTGCAGCAGCGCCGTTCGACATATACACGTCCATTGTAGCCCCAATCGACATGACCTGGGCTGCCATCGCCTACGGTGGGTGCATGCTCAGGAGCCCCCTCCTCGTCGCATGGGCACACGGTACTAATATCATAGTGTCACCTCGTTGGGCGACGTAAGTCTCACAAAGTAAACAATTTTCTCTCAATTTGGACACTGACGATAATAAAAGCGCGTACCATCCACCCGCGCTCTATAACGGCACCACCGCGAAGGTCCTCAAAACTTCAACCGTCAATGCCACACACTGGAAGGCGGACGTGGTCTGTTGTGGGTGTAGCTCATGGTTCGGTGGCGCTGCCTTTGTCCCAGCCATGGGAGACACCTTCTTCGGATATGGCGTGAGCAACCTTTCCATAGCGAATCCAGCCTCGCCCAGCACCAACATCGGATTCCATAATGTTGGGAAGGGCCACTGGGAGCTCAATATCACCGGTGCTCGCAACTCGGCTCGCGACTTTACGAAGCTCACAAAGCCGATGTGAGGATGGGCGGGAACCATGGGTAGTTGGTCTCAATATTGTACGAAGATCACGGAATAAAGTGACGGGATTACAGGGCATAAATTTATGCAGTCCACTAAAGTGCCCTATAAGGTCTCACTTGCCCCCTGAAGGGTTCCAGTCGTTTAATTAATTAGTATATAGCGGGGTAAATCAGCTGACCCAATCAGTAATAAGTGAAGATATACTAGCCATAGTATATTACTATTTTCTCCTGGCCCTTTTTTCGTCCTTCCTTATACTTATTCCCCCCTTTTAGTCTAATTACCTCCTTTATATAATTAGGAATTGCTTTAATCCACTCTTGAATCTTATACTGAGATATGCTTTCCCAGTATTTCTCCAATCTTACTCTCAGCTTCTTTTTATTACTAGTAGGCCCTTGCCTAGTAGTTTCCTTCTTTATCCAAAACCATAAACGCTCAATAGTATTTAAATCAGGTAAGTTACTTGGCCAGATTATTTTTATAATCCTCCAGAGATTATAAACCTCTTATTAATAATGAGATTTATAAGCTAATATATTATTCTCTTAAATAAGTATCTTGAGATAATCCTTTTAATACTTTTTTATAAAAGGTAAAAGCTTGAGAATAAGGATCTTTTTTTGGTAGTAATACTAATTAATTCTTCCTTATTTATCCTTTACTATAAAAGCTCCAGTTTCCTTATTATACTTCTATACTTTTCTTACTCTACCAGGCTTTCTTTTATATACTTTTGTCTAATCCCTTAGCCACTTTCTTTATTACTTTTCCTATTTTTACTTATTTGCCTTCTTAATCAAGGAATTTTTTATATTCAAATTAGTCTTTCTCTCTCGCTTTTACTATATAATTTCTTTTTCCCATATATAATATAGCCCCTTTTTATTATATAAGAATAATTCCTAAAATATAAATTCAGAAAAGCCTTTCTATTACTTCCTTATATAATACTTATTATATGCCTCTCCAGGAAGTTCCTATATTTTTCTTTTTCCTCTTATATTTCCTAATTATACTATTATCTTATCTATAAAAATAATATTTTTCTAGTTCTCAAAACTCTAATACTTATATTCTAAATACTAGTCTAGCCTCTACTTTTTACTAAGCTTATTCAAACCAGGCTTTACTATTAATTTATATTAAGAATAGCTAGCTATAATAAAAATCTTTTAAATCATTTATATAGCTATCTTATAATCCTTTCTTTTATTTCCTTTATAATTATAGTATAAGAGAAACTATATATAATCGAATTTTAAAGAATAACTTGCAAAATATATTTAATAATATTAGAAGAAATAGCTAGTTAATTAGAATAAAATTAATTCAGGATATAATGTACTTCTAGAGATATATTCTTATTCTCTTTCTACTCATATTACCTAGTAAGGCTTATAAGCTTATAAATATGCATTCGTAATACTCTAGTAATTTTCTTAATATTACCTATAGATTTCCTTTATTTAAGTATATGAATGGCCTTAATTCTAGTACTAGTTAAGTATTCTTTATAAATAATATCAGGTATTATAAAGGCTATAGAAGTAGCTATAAGAGAATAGAGAGAAAGAATAAAGCTCAATATAATTAAATTATTATCTTTATTTTCTGAATTAAATAATAAATTATACCAAATATCCTTTTTATCTTTAGTAGCTTTAGTATATTCTAATTTGTCTAAATCAGAAGAATTAGGAGAGAAAGAAGCTCTAATTAGCCATTTAATAAATCAGGGAAGCTAAATAAACTACTAAAAGTAGCCATACTAGCTTTAGATAAGAAGAAAGTAAGTAAAGAAGAAAGTAAGTAAAGAAGAAAGTAAGTAAAGAAGAAAGTAAGTAAAGAAGAGAGTAAATAAAGAAGAAAGTAAGGAGCCTTAGTAGGGGGCCCAAGAAGGATAATAAAGCTTACTTTATCTCGCTACTAATTACGGATACAGGCCTAAAAAATCAGAGGCTAAGGGCCTATAGAAAGCCTATAGCTTAATATAGCCTCCTAATCGGGCTATATATGGTTTTAGTAGGCTTTAGGGGCCTTATATCTCTAATTCAGACTAATTATAGGGCTTATAGGGCTCGATAAGATATTATAGGGCCTATTAATGGCCCTAAATTTATATATATACCTGTAATCCCGTTACTTTATATTATAATCTTTATATTAGAAGAGTTAATAGCCAGTATTATAATATTAAGTAAACTATTAATAATTTCTAAGTAATACCCGTTTAATTAATAAGACCAGGTATTAGTTTAAAACCTTATCTTATTATTTTATTAAGTTTTAATAATTATTTTTAAAAGTATAAATAGGCTTTATTTTAGCTTTATATAAATATAATAGATATATATAATAATATATAAGCAAATATTAAATATTATATATCTGGTTTTTTATTTTAAGTAATACTTATATTAGAATTATATGAATTATACGGAATTATATTTCCTAATTAAGTAAAGGGTTTTATATATTTAACTAAATACTAGGAAATATATAAAGAGATATTTATAGCTTTAGAAAGAGATATTAATTAGTCTTTTATTAGAATTACTTCTTGGAAATTAGTTATATTTACAAATATTACTCTATAGCTTACTTGCCTTAACTACTTATATATTACTTTACTATTACGTGCCTTATAATAAAGACTATTTAGCTAGAGCTTAGTTAGGGTCAAGTAATAGTACGCTAGTAGATTAATATTTATATATAGTAAATGGAGGAGATATAAAGCTCGTTTCTTCTTTTCTCAGCCCCAAATAATAGTAATTGAACCTCTCTTACTTGCCTTCGAGGCCTTGAATTGTGATTCGTAATATTAAGAGACCCCCGCAAATAACTGCAATATCCTACTTTCCAAGAGAATACATAATAAACAAGTACGGTTAAATTAGGAAAATCCCTGAAAGCTCCCGGCCGAGGAAGGCGGATATGTTCCCACCATGTTTTTGGGACTTAAAATATCCAACTCGCCTATATTCATTGTCTCTCCCAGTGGTCCGAGCAATGAGAAGCCCCTCGAGATCAGCGATGCCAGTCCAGTCTTCATTATCCGGTCTCCAGACGAAAGGCAGAAAGTTGACATCTGGAGGGCTGAGCAGCCCCGGAATAGAAGGCAGGAACGTCTTCCGAGGCTTGAAATCGTTCATGTCGTCAATGACGCAGACCACAACGTTCTGAAGAAATCCAGTAAAAGCGTACAAGACGTTATATTTCTTCTCTGATTGCGTCTCGAAAAGCCCGTACCGGCTCCAGAAGAACCGATGGCTCGAAAGCAACGTCCCCCGAAGTCTGATGTAGCATGCGTGAACCTGGCCGTATGGATTTTCTATGTTTGTTGGTGAAGCAGATATTTCCAATATGTCTATTAGAGGGGAATATTTGTTGTAGACCTTAGAGATCTTAAAGTCCCGTAATATATGCTCTATCTTGCCACGTACGGAGGCCCACGACCAGGATGGCGCTATATAGTCCATGGATTCACCTACCGCGGATCTCTGAGAGGGACTGCCATCGCCTTGCTTCCCATCACTAACTAACCATAGCAACGATGGAATGAATTTGCTTTGCCAAAGGCCTGCAATGTATTTGTCGTCTGTCTCTTTCACCTCCTCGCCAAACATCCGTGCGATGCCAGATAGAGCAATAAGCTTGTCCGACTCCCTGGTGATTCCGTAAGTTGAATAGTTTTCAATAACTTGGAACCAGAGATCTTCAAGGAGGCCCCGCGTGCAACTCAAATGTTGAAAGTCCACGCCGTAGGCCGATTGACTGAAAGCAGCTGAACCTGTTGCCTCTGGTATTCCCTTCGGAAATGTTTCACATGCAGTGTGCATCTGACATCTCCAGAAGAGCTGGTGTTTTCCAAAATGGATGACCCGGGGGGGTAACATACGTTCTTGCATCACCCAGGCCCGGCGGTTGAGCGGCGTCCGTAAGATATTCTCTTGCAGAAAGTCCTTTCCAAACACATAAAAGGTACCTCGAGCCTCCATCCGGTCGTAGAAGCTAGAGATCTTGCTAGAGATCTTAGGCCAGTTGAGTTCAACCTTACAAGCTTGAACAAATGAAGCGTCTCTCTCGCCGAGAAGTGGTGAATGGCTGTTTTTTGCCCCACCAGCGGCTATGTTCAGGACTGATTTTCGGTAGATCTGACCCATAACAGCTGCTTCTCGTTGCCAGTCTCGTATGTCATCCTGTATAATACAGAATGCATCGATCCAGAGATAGCGATATTTCAGTTTGCGCATCGCTTCGACTGTATCCTGAAACAGGCGAGGAAGAGTAGAGAATGAAATTCCTCGGGAGAAAGTTTCAAGAGTACCCTTCCTTAGGAGGGGCAATTGGTCAAGAGACGGATTTTGACCCCACGTATAGCTGAGCGTTACGTATGGAAGTGGCGCCCTTCCTTTAGGAAACAAGCTCAAACGTATTTCTTGACCCGTGTCTCCCGCCCCTACATCAATCAATCTCGAAGGGACTTCAGAAGTTGCCAAGCCAACAAATTGGTGGCAGCACCCATGCCTGTCGTGGGATGGACTGCACGAGTCGACCCAAGACCGTATTAAATCCCAATTGCTGGGGGATTCCATGCTCTCTGTGGCAGGTCCATCTGCCACAAGATCTTCAATGCTGGCAAGCTTATAAATCTCTCCCCGCGCTTCAAACTCAAGTGTACCTATACCTCTAATAAGCAAAATCTACACAGCAAATATCGAATGGAAAATACGCACGATTAGCTTGCAAGAAAAATATATCAATAATTTTGGAACCCCAACTACCGAATTGGAACCTCACTTGACAGCCGTCGCTGGGGGAGGCTTTGTATATGGTCCATCCGTAAAAGCTCAGATCCGGTTTCGCTAGCCCTCGAAGGACGGCCAACGGATGCCACGGGAGGCGTTGGTTCTTGGTTTGGCGCACAAGCTCTCTTTCCGCATCCGACAACCTGTCCCAGAGGATTTTGCATATCTCGCAACCGCCTTGAGCTGCGAATTCAATCAAATAAGCGAAGAGGTGATGGTAGAACAAGGGCTTCCCGGGGTTAGTGCCAGCGAAGGGATGTAATATGTTAGCTTGACCGTCTAATATCTTGTGACATTCCTGACACAACATCTTGCTTGAGATTGAGGATAGTATGAGATAGCGCGCTCTAACTATTATGCCATGCCCGACCGTCGTTAAATTATGTTTTTCCTTGTTTTTTTTTGGCTTTTTTGTTGCCCTAGCTAGGGCGGTTCAGGATGACCGCGATTGCAGAATATTCTAACCAGTTAGAAGTATCCACTAGCCAACCGCGGGGGGGAAGGCGCACATTCTGCTTGTCTTGGTGAGCTCCCCATTGTCGCGATTCAAGCTGGCTCCTGCACGAGATAAACGTGAGGGTGTCTATTGGGTCCACTATCCCCTTCATAAAAAGAAATCAAACGTCTTGTAATAGCTTGATTGCTTTGGCTGAAATCTATTGATTTGGCATAATTGCGCCACTTGACGCGACGTGCTTGACTAGGTGACCGTGATCGACTCGGGACTGTTACAGACTCTGTTTGAAGAAACCACAAGTCTAGAAAATTGGAGCTCATTCAAGGATTCTGTATTCTTGTATAGACGAAATGGAAAGCCGCGCTTGATAAACGACGAAAGCGCCTGCGTAAGAAGAATTCTCAATTGTTCGTGAGCTTTAGTCCCACCACGTTCCTGTTGTCTGAACATATCAGCAGCCGCGTTTCGAGGAGGATACGTCTTTGGCATCTCAGGTTGTCGAGGCTCGGTGATATGAGTAATGGGCTTTCATTTCATTCCGTCTCAAACTGTACTATTTCGAAATCTCCTTCTTCCGCAGTCGAAAATGATTGCCGCGCAGTGACAAAAGAAACGCCATCCGTCAAGGACTCATGATCCTGTTCATGCGCAGAAGCATGCGCCAGTGAAATATCAGCGTCGGAGGCATCCACGTTATCGATATCTGAAAGGCCCAGCGGCCTTCTTCGAGATACGTCTTGTTCCAGTGTTGAACCAAATGGCAAGCCTACATTTGTGGGCAACGCAACGTCGACCCTCTCACCCAAGTCTTCGTCGTGGGGCATTAAAACAAGCTCAATCATACCTTCTTCGAGCTCTTCCATCCTTAATTGTATTTGCTCTTCAGTATGCTCTTCCCCAACCACTGGCGTCTCCTGGCTTGGAGTTGGATCCGAAGCTCGATTGATGATGGCCGCCATGAGCATATTCTGCAGTTGGACGGGCAAGTTGGAAAGTTGGTTCAGCCCGTTCACCATCTGATTGATGGCTTGATCTGACACATGGGCGATTCCTTGTGCTTGAGATGTGAGACCAGACTGGACTATACGGGCCGCAGCTGTTGTTGTGTCTACTACTGTCTGATTTGCTGAGGCGGTAGCAGCTCGTACGTCGCGAGTCACCCTGTTGTACGCTCTCAGCGTTCCGATGATGCCAGGTCTCGTCTGCGATATAACAAGCCTTCCACCCCGCACAACCACATATCCAGTGCCAACAACTGTCGCTCCAGCACCAGCGGCGTAAAGACCCATGGTGGCAGCACGCGCCGTTGCTAGAAGGAACTGAAGTCCGATCCCACCGAATCCTCCAGTAACAACAACTCCAGTCACGGCCATAATAAAAGAGTCAAAGGGAGTAAGCCCACTTTGGCCAGAACTGTCAATATCTTCTTCGCGAATGTGGTTTGACGGATAAGTTTCAGGGAGGTAAGGCTTAGTAGGGAAGTGTTTCTTGTCGGTCGAGTCGTAACGATTCGATTTATCGGGAGGAGAGCGATACTCGGAAGTGGGATAGTATGGAGGAGGCTTTTCGGTCTCGCCATAACCGTAGGACCTATTGTGTTCGGAGGGTGCACCGTTGTACCTCCGATTGCGATGCTCAGACGATCTTCTGTCTTCGTGATACTGTGACATCTTGGTTGCCTTAATAGGGGGGGAAATCGATATCGTGGCGTCTTTTACCAAGAGCAGTTCTTGCTAGAGTGTTTAGATTGTGAGTGTTTCGATTGTGAACGGAAGAGAAGAAGTCTTCACTTTCGTGCGTATGACGCCTACCTGCACGCCCTGTTTTGTCTACGGATAATGCTGAGCCCGGAAAATTTCAACAGGTTCAACAGATCACGTGCGCGCACAACGCCATAGAGATGTGTAAGGCCCTGTTTCGCAACCCTTGAATGCTGGTATTTGTCAGTATTCAAACACCAGCTTTTGTTTATTACAAAAACAAGGGGCCGCATAAGCAAGTGCAAATGCAAAGAGTAAAAGCCAGATTTTCCCACTTGAAGAGATTATATTGTGATCTTGGAGGAAGGCCCCCAAAGCCCCTCAAGGAAAAGAGAAAGTAAAAGAAGGCAAGAAGAGTCTTCAATTTTGGGAAAGGATCTGTTACGATTCAGCTTTCGACCTGGTCAGCTGACAGGCGTTGCCCATATCCTGCCATGTCCCGCTGCCTCCAGGTTATATAACTGCGCACGTGATGCGGCCGTATTACTAAGGAAATATGCATGGAATGCACTGGAGATATTTAGAACGCTAAGCCCCTTATGGGCTAGCGTATTATAGGATATATACTTACTTTCTCATAGTCTTCTATATTCTAGTTTTCCCTTCTTTAGTTTTGAATCGTTTTTATAAGAGATCTTTTACCTTACTTTCCAAGCCCTAAATATTATACTTATAACAAGATCCCCTAAATCCTTTTTTAAGCTTCTAGTAGCTAGTTAAATATTTCTCTAAGTTATATAATAATGCATTTTACTCTAGATTCCTTAAAGTAAAAGAAGTCTTTAATTTTAAGAAAAGATTCCCTAAACTTTTCTTTAGCTTTCTTTAAGTTTTTTTAATTTTATAAATTATATAATAGTAATATTTTATTATATTAGCCCACCTTATATAACTAAAATCCAACTTCTAATAAGTCTAAACCAGGGGCCATATTAGTAAATATAAATGCAAATTATAAAAGCCAGATTTTCTTTTCTTAAGAGAATATATTATAATTTTAAGAAAGCTCTAGTTTCCCTAAATTTTCTCGAATATAAAAGTATATAAGAGAATATATTCTTTTAATACCTTGAGAGATAAAATAATAGTTTTTAATTTTAGAGTAATTTTCTAATTTCTTTCTTTTTTAAAATAAAAAGAAAGTATAATAAAATAGAAATAAATATTTAATCTTAAGAAAAGGCCTTTTAAATCCTCTTTTAAGCCTCTAGTAACTAGTTAAATATTTCTCCAGGTTATATAATAGTAGTATTTATTATTATATAAACATTTTTCTATACTAGCTTATTATATATAATTAAAAGCTTTGCTTTAATAAGTTAAAATCTTACTTTTAATTAAGCTTTTAATAAGTATTTCGCATATTTTTATTTACTAGTAATAATTACTAGTATTTGCTTTTATACTAATCTTAGTATTTATAAAATTACTTATTTTAAATAATTCTATAAATGCTAAGTATTTAAATAGTAGCTTTTATTATCTTTATAAGCTTTTCTAGAGCATAAATTCTTTTTAAAGCTTTATATTTTGCGATTCTAGTAAAATATATCTTATATTAATTTATTTAATAATAAGTAATATAAGATATAATTGTTTTATTAATTACTTTCTATTTAATAATAAATAAATCTAGGCTTTAAGATATTATAATTATAAGAAGTAATTACTAATTATTAGAGAAAGAGAAGTGCGATATTAGTGAAGCTAAAGTCTATAAGGTTGACCACGGGCTTACAACACTGCTAGATAAAGCCGATTCTTAGCACTCTACACCAACCGAAAAGTCATCTCCAGAAGCCCTTCCCTCTTCAAAGCCTCACCCTTCATAATTCCATGAATATAACACTCCCCAACAAACCTAAACCCCTTCTCCTCTCTCCTCAATACAAATGGTACCCTTCCCCCATGCAACAAGCAAATCCTATCCCCTACCTCCGCGGCATCGGGCACGAGGCCCACAAAGCGCTTCTTCGTAAAGCAGAACGCCATATTCCCTAACCGATTGGAGAATGCCGCAGCAGTCTGCCAGTATTTCGCCACAATCAGCTGCTTCTGCAATGGCATCCTTTGGTATCTTGACGGATCCTGGTCGTGACTAACAGACAGGACTAATCCCCGCAGGTCGGTGGGCCATTCTTCCGTTAGCGAGTCTTGATTTCTGGCTGATACTTGGTAAGAATGTAACTTGTCAATTGTAGATTCAAGTTGAGGACCTCTTGCGTTCCCGATGGGTAGTATCAGGAGAAGGTCATCTCGCACCTCTCCCGTTGGATAGTCGCCAACGTAATTAATCAGCCTGCGGAAGTCCGCCATGGCATCGAAAAAGGATAGCACGCTTCCCGTCCCCATTCTTAATGGGTCTACGCTGGCAATGACCTCGATCGCATAGCCTTTGATTTCCAGGACGCCGTTTGGTTGGTACGTTGCCATGGGTGGGGTAGCCGAACCCGCACTGAAGTAGCCGTCAGCTGCTTCCCATGTTGAAATCGTCTTGGGGAAATTCCCTGTAGTCAATCGAGGAATCCATGAGCAGGAGTGGTAAGACTTAGACGCTCCTGCCCTGTATAGCAGCTCAATAGCCTGGCGGCCAATGACAAAGCCCTTAGCATATCGTAGCAAAACATCATGCATGGGCGAATCGTAGTCGGGATTGAACAGTTGATTTCCAGAATCGTATGCAAGGCCAAGCAAAGCGAAAAGCTTGTCGCGCTCCATAGTTGCCTTTGTATGTGCAAATAGCTCCAGCAGGTCGAGCAGGCTGTATTTCTTGGCTACCTCTCTAAGCCTGCGTCGTGTAAGGCCAAGCGCATACGCTGGCCCTAAATCAGGCAGAATTTTGATGTCTTCCTGGCGACCCTGGAGATTGAACACCTTTCCACAGATTATCAAGGCCTCGAAGAAGTGGTCCCAGTCCAACTCTGATACACCACACAAGATGAGAACCTTTGACGGGAGAACAAGTTCTTGGACGATCCAAATCCGTTGGAACCAGTTTCGTTTGAGAAGTAAGTTGACCTTGGTCCAAATATCGTCGCTTGCATCTGGAACTTTCAAAGGCCATGAATATGAAGTATGAATCAGGTCTTCGGCCAAGTATTTTGGTGCAAGCGAATGTTGAAGGCCAATGTTGGCAAGGGTTTTAATGGCTTCGCCACTGCCTTCATATTCGTGACCAATCCAAGCTATGACTAGATTGGCTGTCTGGTATATCTTATTCATCAGCCGGACTTGGATGGCTTTCTCTCGAGAATCATCTTGGTTGATACATATCCAGTCTGCCCAGAGTATATTGGAATTGCCTCTTTCCCTAATCTGCCTCAAAGCAGCGGCCAAAGAATGGGTGAGGTGAATTTTACCGCCGGGAGTTTCGAAGTATGTGGGAACCCAGGTGTTTGGCGCCGTACCCCAGACGTATGAGATGGCTACGAAAGGGCCTGGGTCTGAGATAGGAACATGATGAATGGTTCCTTTAAGTGGCATGTCACCAGTTCCCGGTTCCAGCTTGAGAAGCCTGATTTCTCCGTGCTTCAGCTCTCCATAATTGAACGTTTTGTCTGCCTCATTGGCTTTTGAGAGGCGCCTTGCATTTGCCGTGCGGTGTACATAAATAGCAGGGGCATTTTCACCAAAACACGCCTGGTACTCGCTGTACGTCTCGAGAGATAGAGAGCGTTTGCAGTATAACTGCCATGGGTCGGCAAATAGTGCAATTCCGGGATCTTTATAGAGGTTGAAGACAAGAGCCAAGATGAAGATGGACTTGTATTTACTATTAGAGTTTTCGGAAATTGTAAGATTCTCTGCCTAAATTGTTCACCTCAGCAATGGGACAGTAGGAAATCACTCTGCCTGAATTCGACATAAAGAATTCGAATAGAAAAGGAATCCGGCGCTCTACTAACCTTCTTGATTTGTTCCGAATCTATATCAAATGTTGAGCTGACAGGTCCAGCTGAAGGAACTACTTGTATGTGAAAGGTAGGACTTTCGTTTAAATATTTGACTTGCTGGAACCCTTCCTGTGAGAGAATCGCCGCGAGCCGCCCACTTGTATCCTGGATAGTAAATGTTGAGACGCTCAGATTCGGGGGGTCGTAGGGTTTGTGGCCGGACCTGCTTCGGAGGTAACTCGTCCAATGCGTGCTTGGCAGATATTCATCTCCTAGCGCAACCTTCAAGAAGCCTGAAACCTATTTCATTTTCCTCATTAAATATTGCAAAACACAAGAGTCAATGAGAACGTACATATAGTTCAGCGATAAACATGCTATCTTCACTTTGACTGTTGCCGCTTATTGATGGAACAGGCATCGGCAAAGACATTAGGCCACGGGCTGCGGAGTTTTGTCCTCTTTTCAAGCGTCTTATTTTGTTGGAAGGCGGAAGATTTGCCCAATCCGTGGTGTTTGAATACGAAGTAAATCCAACTGAATCATCAATGTTGTCAAACATTGCCACTTCCGAGCCGGGCAGTGAAGATTGAAACCGGTAATCCTCATTCATGTTGTAGGTTTTTTCACGTTGGATGTCCCGAGAATCGGGGGCCAGGTTGGCGTGCAACATTGTAGTTTGGTCCTCGGTCCCGTTGGTTAGATTTAATCTGTCTATGGCGGGGGGGTCGACTTTGCGAGTGATATTCCTTTTCGAGCCTCCTATCGAGACACGCATCGAGAGGTTAAGCTCTAATAATTCCTTTCCAAGGGGTTTCTTGAATCTTGGGCCCTTGGGCGATTTTCTATCAGGGTGTGATTCTGGTTGTGTCACATTATCGGAGTCTCGAGGAATTGGCTTGGTTACTGGTAGGCTTGATTCAGCGTCTGGACGGTTCATTTCAAAACAAACAAATAGAACGGGATAGAGCTTACGGTTACCAGTGCCCAAATCTCTCACTGTATCCGCAGGAACATTATCTGGTATTTCTCGCTTTTTTAGGTCCAGTGCAATTCTTCTCGTGTCCTTTTGTACGAGAATATGAGTGAGCAGCTTAATGTGTTCGATATCTTTTATGCCGCAGAATGTTGCAAGTTCGTCGGTTAGTTCAAGTGGAGGGCAACCGATTTCCATGTCCTCACATATGAGATATATCTTCAAGATATCACCTTCGGTAGCGAGCATTACACGGCCTTTTTCTGGGCGCCCAGAGATCATTGTTCCCCATGAAGTCAAGAATTTCCATGAAACGGAGACTCTCTGTGGTTGGTAAACTTCCATGTGGAGAAGTTGTTTCTGAATGGTCCTCCAATTTGGATTCGTAAGAGGAACAAGCCTGGAATATTTAGTAATATACTTGCAAATGCATGTTTTGGAAGGAAAAACTCACCGTGCAATGTATTTCCATTTACCTTGGAGAGATCGGGTGTATTCCTCATTAGGCCTTTCCCATCCATTGATACTTGCTTCTCTTTTGGCGAAATCGGATAATTTTCTCTTGTCACATCCCGTGTGCTTGATCAAGAGCTTGATGTCCTCGAGACTTTGGCTTTCAAATGCCAGTAATGGAACGATGCCTTGGAAGGAGTCGCATAGATGCTGAAGATCTGCAATGTACCATGAATTACTTTCAGTAATAGATCTAGCAGACTTCAGGCAGTCAAATTCAGGACCCCTCGCGTTAGTCCACACAGGAAAGATCTGGAAAAGTTGAAGGTCGAAGACACCCGCCTCCCTTAGCTTCCATTCGGAGAGGCCATATGACATATGGCTCAGCTGTTTGAAAATGTCACGAATGTAGGCCAAGGAATCGGTGGATTGGATTTGCTTAGTCTCAGTGACAACAGTTTTCAGAGTGGCATTTCTAACTCCAAGCTTTTCGCAGAAGAGCACTTCATATTCGGGATAATAGTCCTTCAAACGGGGTGTTTTCCGGAGGCATGCCAGGCCATCCCAGACACACTCTGTTGTATTCACCCACCTGGGGAGAAGCGATTTTTTATTACTATTCATAGGTATTAAAACAAGCTTTTCTTCTCTAAAATGGCGCCTAACAATGTGTCAGTGTACGGTTCCGCGATGCCAGATTCACTCCTAACTTTATAAGGCTCGTATCGCCCTCATTTTCACCTGTTTGCATTCTCTCATAAAGCCGAGTAACCTGTTCCGGTGATGATGCGTTGCGTTGGAGCTGCTTGAGGCGAGCAATTAAATCCTTGGCTTTCAATGTGATCACAACACCAAGCTTCTCCAGGAAGTCCCAGTCATTTTGCTCAGGTTCCGGAACGGCAAGGAGTGGAAATTTAGACTTGGGTGTATCGATGCCCGTATTTTCTGATGGCAGATTGTTGTCCGTTTGCTCAACTTCTGGAAGTTCATTTGCGGTTTCCATCCCATCAGTAGATGTTGGTCCGTCTTCGGACATGGTTGTATTGCTCTTCAGTTCAGCCTTCGATATATCTAACCCCTGCAATATTGTGCTACGGGGTAGATATGTTTGATCCAGTGGAACGAAAGACCCATCATGACACCGGACATTCATTAACGAAAGAAATGCCCGTATTTTGCTGTGTGGCGTGTCATGGACAAGACTGCTTGGTTCGGTTTTTGTAGTTTGAAAGTTCTCAGTCAGAATCCATTGGCGATAGTGATTCCAATGTGCTTTAAGGAGCTGCAAGACTTCCGACGACATGCAAGAGTCAACGAGGAAACGGAAATCGTTGCTGAGACTGAATGTTCCCTCGGATGAGAGAACAACCAAGCGAGGAATTAACCCCACACCAATATTTTTTTGAATCCATTTCCTATCCGCTTGCCGAGTGAAGATTGTCGAGTAGGCCTTGTGTAGAAATTTAAAACGCTTCTTGTGGTTCTTGAAAACCTGGCCAGCGGAATGCAGCTCGCCAGTGTCCATATAGACCTGGTTGCTACGATGACGATAGTGATCTTCTGTGACGACCCATATGTATGCGTCTGGCGAGTTGCGAACCCACCGTGCTTTGCAGAGAAACTCTGCATGAGATATCATATCTCGCAAAAAAATATCCTTGGAATTAAACCGGGGACTCATGTGAGACTGCATGATAATACTACACACTTCGGCTTTGGTTGCATCCCGAGCCTGGAGCTTGCTGAGAAGGGTCCTACGAGAGGGATCGTTTGCAGCATCTGGGTGAATAACAAAAGCATTGATATGTTCAGGAACAACCAAATCCCCAGCTGCTAAAGGAAATAACAGTGGGTCCGAATTTGCTGCTGTCCATTTCCCATTTCGCAGAGGAATGATGGGAAGTGAGAATATCAACTTCCCGAATTTCGCCGTCAGAGGGTCCAGAATTTGCGATAACCGGGAATGCCATTCGTCATCCATGGACTGAAACTCAACGGCCGATTTCTTGATAAAGTTTGAGAGGTCATCTAGGAAATCTTTAGCCGAGATGCGTCTTACACCTAGAGACTCGAGGGCTTCGCGGTCCTCGGCGGGGTAGTTTTGCGATACGTAGGTAAAGATAGAAGAGACCGGGGGAATGAGGGGATTTCCAATTCCATAAGTATATTCTTCTGGGACAATTGCTAGGTCTGAGGGGACCCGTTTGTCGCCAGTCATGGATTCCAAGATGGGCCTTGTGGACAGGAGTTGTTGAACTTCAGGCCAAAGATCATGAAAAAAGTCATCTCTGTCCTGCCTCAAAGGGAAAAAATGGATCCAATAGAAACGAAACTCTCCTGTATTGAATTCATTGATGGCGGCCACTGAATAACCATGAATCAGCATTGCTCGGTTAGGAAATTCCCGACGGCAGGGACATTCGGACGACGGGATTTGAATGCCTCATAACTCGTGGGACATTCAAATAAGGAAAATGAACTTAAGAAAATGCATACGTAATGCGTGGGGCATAAGATGCAGCAAGGCTTTGTTCCAAGCCGAGTCAGATTCGATTTCCTCCCGGTTGGCGATGAGCACGAAATCAGCCTGTAAAATGAACTCCACCAAGTTTAGCAGACACGAATGATAAGTCTTGATTCTGGTTGATATAGACATACCTTGAAACCATAGTCACGAATCGGTAAAAAAGCGTAAACCTTATGAGTCACGAGAATAGGCAATCTGCGTGGCCGTCGGGAGGATGAAGTGGGATTAGATTCAATTGATGGAAATGCTAACACAATTTCTGAAGTCGTGCGACCCTTCCGTTTTGGCTCTGGGGGAAGGTTGGAGACCAAGTATCGAAATAGGATATAGGGTGAAGAGGCATCCGGTTCTAAATGGCGGCAGGGGAGCCCTATGTATGCGCTCATAACGTCATGGCGTCGTAGTGTTACATTCGAAGTCTGGTGGTCTGTAAACACCTCAATTTCCACTTCTTTCAGGTTTTGAAGGAACATTAAGAGCCTTCCATCTAATGCGTTCAGCTCCTGGACCAAGATATTGAAATCTAGAGTTGGATGGAGCCGGAGGAAAATGGAAGTGAATCCGGCCAAAGGTTTTTCTGGAAATCGTGCCCAAACTGGAGTAAGCCTTCCTAGTGGCTCTTTATCGGTGAACATGAACGAGTAATGACCTGAACCGATGAACACAGAGCTTGAAACTCTGAAGACTGATTTGAAACCAATACCTTTCTCGCCAATTCGTCTCTGGTCAGCTTGGGATTCCACTTTTGAGCTACGCCCGATGCTGCAAATTGCCTCAACATCCGTCTTGCGAAAGCCAATTTCATTTGTATCGAACCGAAGAGTGCCGTTGCGGTAAGTAATTTTCATTTTAGGCGTGGCCGATGGCTTATATAAGTTGTCATCAGCGTTTTGGAACAGTTCTAGGAGGAAATGCATCGGTTTCTGGTATAGATCCTTTGATATCCTGGTTCATTAGCTGACTTGATTCACTGGACAGAGGCGTACCACTTACAAGTCAAGGGCAGCCTCCAGATCTTTTGCGTTCCTGCCACCGCCATGCTCGCGCTTCTCACTTCTGATGGCTTGAATATGAGATTGGGCTTCTGCTTCTGTTTCTGGAATGTCTGTGGATGAGGAGACTATTCTCCTGCTTGCCTGAGTTGCGGCTTTCGCAGGGTACTCTTCACTGGAAATTGACGTGTTCTTTCTCCTAGTACCCTCGTGTTGAGATCTCTCAGAGTGGTTCTGGCTTTGGTTTTTCCTCGAAGAGCTGGGACTCGAGAAAAAGGAGTTCAGCCGCCTTGCGTGTCCTCTTTCGGGGTTGTATTCGCTTTTTGTATCTTCGCTTCTCAAAGCTCCTGGCGTTTTCCAATTATATGAAGCTGTGTTATCGTTGGGAAGGCTGCCTTGAATTTCTTCCTTTCCTTGTGAGAAAGGCCTTGGATCTTGTACATCATTCTTCGTCACGTGAAAGGATGGTTGACCAATCATATCTGGTGCAGCTGGCACAGTATTGTAAGTAGAGTGTACTCTCGAACCTCCCGAAGCCGGATTGAATGAACTTTCCAGCTCTTCTCTCAAGTTACGCGTTAAAGAAGTTGAATGCCTGACGGGGAGAAGTGGGGGGCTCGAAAAGGATTGATCATTGTGAGGGGGCTTCGGTGAGGTCCACATTTCGCCGCTATAGAGAACTTAGCTCAATTAAGGTTCCTGGCTAACCTAGTAATCACCTCCGTTAAAGATAGAATAACGAATAGAGTGGGGGAAATTTTTTGGAGAAGAAATGTCTAAATAACTTCTCAGCCCAGCCTTATAACGAAGCTTGACCTAGCGCGCTAAGCTTCTTGGCTTTGCCAAATCTAGACACCGAGTATGAAGAAGGGGGAGTGACTCAAGCGAAAGGCAACTTTGCCAATAAGGCGCACTGAAACCCAAAACTTGCTAATTCCCAATCGAGCCCGTTTCCTCTCTAGCGAAGAACAATGTCACGTGATATATTTCCTTCTCCAACGATCAATCCATCGGAGCCATAGAATACACACAAATCGCTATCAAATTTGAGAGAAATGAGCACTGCTATTGCCAATATTCCTTCTACGCCATCGCTTTGGGGCTCGATCCTGCCCTCACTAGCGCTCGCCAGAACCATTTTTAGATTTAGAGTACTACAATTGCGAACACGTGGGGTTAAAAGACTGTGCCTCGAAGTGATTGCGTCTAAAGTATAATACCTTAGAACACTACAAGATAGCATATGTGCCTTCTCCGTACTTCCAGCTAAAGAAGTCCGAATTACAAAATTACAACTTGGACTGCTTGGTTTAAGGAACACGAATTCAGCACGGTCTAAATTAGCGCCTCTTACACAGGTCCGGTAGGCATCGCATAGAAGCAGCTGGAAGATATATCACCGTGTCACTAAGGTTCTCGCATAGGCAGGAGAAGCAGCGAATGATAGCGAGTTATTATTTGAGCATGTAACTCCGTGGCAGGCTAATTCAGCCTGAACCCCCCAAAAAATACGGTCCCAGCCCAGTCTGCGCTAAGCCCCTCTACCCCTAGCCCCCCACCCCCCTGCTCCCTCACCAACTGGCCGCCCGCGCAATCCCCCCCTCCTCCCCCACGCCCTGCACCCACCCCAAAAATTATCGTACGGGCCTAAAAATTTGAGATTCTGAAAGCGCATACACGGTTTCGCAATCCTAGAACCAAAAATCTGTTAAAACAGCCTGTGGGGGCGGCCAAAAAGTGCTGCTTTCGCGCGCGCACATTGCGCTGGCGGATAGCGCCGAGGGCTTCAGGGTGCTAAGCGAGCCCTGTAGCAGGCGCTGCACCCCTCTTACTTACCCCCTCGTCGCGCAACCATAACTCTAGCAATAGTAGTCGTAAAAACAAAAGAACTTTAGATTCTGATAGAGCAAAAGCTAATAGTGATTTCGATATGCGGCTTCTACTTAATTTTATTAAAGATTAGCTGCCGTAGGCAGCCGAGAAAAAAATTCAGATTTGCACGCGCAGCACGCTTTAAGCGAGACGCGCCCCTTGGCCAGGTAAGTAATACCTTATCTCCGGCCCCCTAGCGTGTTTTGGGACCGTAATTTTCTTGTCGTGAATGTCCTTTCTGTGGTGGTGGGGCCCTTACAAAATTGTGGTGGAAAGGGCGTGAATGGAGGGGCGATCAGGGAAGAAACTTAGCATAGAGCAATCCATAATTCCGGCTGTGAGCCGCTGTAATGCAGGGTCCCCCGCCCCCTCCCCTAACCAAACCCCCTCCGGACACTTCCAAATCTCAAAACAACCCAAATATCAAGTCCCTCTAATATAACTTTGAAAGAATATGAGACATACTTCTATACCACCAATTCATCTCGTATTATTAGTCACAAATGTAGTGAGTATTTGAAGCTTTTGAAGTGTCTGAACTGAGGCTGAGTTACAGTAGAGATAACCGAAACCTCGAAATAACTTAGTACAGTCAATTTCAATTCTTCCCAGCACTCTGGGACAATGAAACATTCCTTCTCCACCAACTTTAAAATCACAAGTGCTTTAGCCCACCAGCAACTACCAAACTCTGCCCCGTAACAAATCCCGTACATGCGAACATACTCACCGCATTCGCGACCTCAACCGGCTTGCAAAGTCTCCCTAGCGGAATTGTCTTTACAACTCCCGGAACTGATGATTCATCCGGAAGCATACCTGTACCACCGACCATGGCGGGGGATATGCTGTTTACTGAGATGTTGAACTCCGCCAAGTGCGAGGAGAGATTCATCATCATAGAATTTAGGCCGCCCTTGGACGCTGCATAATCTATGGCAGTGGGTTAAAATTTTAGTTCATGGGATAAGAGTGCTGGAGAGGTACGTACGACATCCATTAATCCCGGCTCCATACGCCGCAATCGATGAGATGAAGATAATCCTTCCCCATTTCCGGCCCTTCATTCCCCCGATAACACCCTTCACGAGGAGAAATGACGCTTTCAAGTTGATATCCATCATCTTATCAAACTCACTTGTTGGGATATCCCTGCCGTCCTCAATTAATCGCCCCCCTCTGTAAGTCAAGAGAAGGGGAAAGAAAGGACAATCTCACCAGATCTCAGAAATCCTCATCCCATACCCAGCATTACTGACCAAGATGTCTATCTCAGCACCGTGCTTCCCTTTAACCTCCTCAAATAGCTTTTCGATACTTTCTTCTAGGGTTAAATCTACTTGATGAAATGAGACTCGAAGGCTGGGATAAAGCTTTTGGAGTGAGGTGGCGAGGGTTTGGAGGCTGGAAATGTTGGTTGAGTATGTGAGGGCGAGATGGGCGCCAGCCTCAGCAAATTGCGCCGCGCATGCTCCACCGATGCTGCCAGTGGTTAGTGGGAAGGGGAGGGAGGGGGGAAAGGGTATGAGAGCAACTGACCCTCCTGAAGCGCCGGTTAATAGGACGAGTTTATTTTTGATTTCGGTGCTGTCTATCATTTTGGGAATTTTATTAGGGGGGTTAGAACGGAGAAAAGCAAGGATGCGTCTCTTTGAAAACTTTGTGTTTGGGGTGCGTTCTCATGCTAAGGTTCTCTTTAAGTTGGAACCCGAATGTGGAGTGTACTTCGGGCCGACGGAGGGGGCCCCTCGAAATTAAGCGAGCCTCTCCTCGCCCAACAATACCACGTAAAGTCGGGAAAACTCTATCAATTGAAGACAAGATCTGAAAAACTGAATGAATGGCAAGAGACACTCAGTGTTGTCTGTTCTTACTGTTTTCACATAGACAAAAGTCTCCAAGTTGGAGAGGCTGGCTGGGCTCGTCAGTCTATGGACCCCCTTTCACCGCACCCCACGTTAGAGCAGTCGCCGTCAAACGCCGCTGAGGGGATGCGGTAACACAACTCGGTATGAACGTTCGATACAGAGATAATCTCTCACATAATCCACAGGCTGCGTGTCTCTCACATGATCAGTGTATCACCAAGTCAACTATCAAACTCCCCTTCACCAATCATTTTTCAGCTCCAGCTCGATAAGTCCGAAAACTAGCCATGGCATCTATTTTCCTTAAGCCCAACCATCCACCTCACTACATCGAAGCAATAGAAGTCTACCGCATTGCTCCAGACACCGACTCGCCCACCAAGCTTCGGATCGCGTCCGGCGGAGCAGGGCAGTCAGGCCTGATCCGCACCTTTGCAGAAGGGTTCATAAAGCATCATGTGAAGACCACAGGAGCAGCTCCATTCGCAATTGCATGGATGGCATCAGATACAACTATGTCCTTCAACTCCCTGGCTCTCAAAGCAGTAGACATGAGCATCACGTACCACCCCGTAGCCGAAAAGACTGCGATACAGCAAGGTATCGCCGACCGCAGAGAATATATTTGGCGAGATCACTGGATGCTTGTCGGTCGGTGACAGATTCCGTTTCTTTCTTTCAATACCAGAAATGCGAGTTGAGCTTACTTAACTCTCAGGTCCCAGATCTAACCCAGCGAATCTCTCAACTACCGGATCGCCTTCGATATATGACCTCTTCACCCAACTCTTCCGCGCCTGTATAGAAACCCAGAACGCAAAAATTCCAATAAGATTTCTCTCCAGATACGACAAATCAGCTGCCAATATCAAGGAATCAAATCTCTGGACGGCGATCGGCCAGACGCCTTGGTCTTACCCGCATTCTAGCTGGTATCATACTTATGTCGACTTCCCGTTCCGTGCACTTGAAGTGGCTGCTCTGTTGGGAGAATATAGTCTCGTTGACAAAGGGACTTGGTGGTCTGTGGAGCCTTGGATTAGGGAGAAGTTGATGGTCTTTGTATGAACTCCCGATGCTTTCTGTATGGGGCTGAGCGCTGACAATCACAATCGAATAGAAACTCGGTGAAGACGATGAAGATGACCCATTGCTGAACCCAGCTCACGCATTAGTCTCTTCGAAATCCGATAACAAGGAACTTGCACACGAGTTCGTAGATTGGCTGACCAGCGAGGATGGCGGTCAGGAGGTAGCAAGGACGTTCACCAAGAACGGTGTTGTGTTGTATTCTGCTGCACCTCCTAGAAAGGGACTTCTGTCAAAACCCAAACTTTGAGAATTCAATTTCACAATCGGATGGATTACTATAGCTCAGTGTGTTTGAGTTCCTCCCCTCCAGCTCCTAACGGCTGCACCTTCCCTTGCACGATGTCCATCACAAAACTCTCTACCGTCTCAGGCGTAATCTTCTTCTGGTCATAAGGAAACGCCTGCCCATACATCGGGTTAAAAACTGCTAGTGCTGGAGACCCGGTATCCTGGATTCCGAGAGCGGGGAGCATGTGTCCGTATTCTACAGCATCGACTGTCACAAAATTTAGATACTCTTTGAATTTCTTGGCTAGAGGTTTCAGAGATTCGCGGTAGGTTTCGCGGTCTTGGGATGTGGGGGCGAAGTAGTAGACGAGGGACTTTCCGGCCTTGATTTCTATTGTTAGCTGAGATTTGGTTGGGAAGGAGAACATGCTTTCATGTATTTCAGCTCATTCCTGCGAGTGAACTCTCCAATTGAAGGCGCCGTCGCCGTCTCCAGGAAACTTTCCAGCACATCAATACCTGATGGGCCGGGTAGCACTTCCTGCTCTCCTTCCTTCGGTCTGTGTACCACAACACTGGGAATCTGTATATTTGCGGCTTTAGCCAGGGTCTTGTCCGAGGCAATACCGAAGGTAAATTTATCGTGGTTTCGGGACGCTAGCTCCATGAACGCTGCTTTCAATGCCTTCTCTTCTTCTGGGATGTATGCAATTATAACTGCTTCGTCCCCAGATTTGAACTCGGTGATGTTTTTTTGGTCAAGGGTAGAGACTACGGGAAGAACTGCGCGAAGAACTGCGCGGTTTAGGAAAGATACAATGCTGCCAGCGAAATCAATTGGCTTTGTCATGGAGCAAGAATTTATCAGGCCGACTTACGCTGAAGCCTTTCGAGGGCCTTTGTACCTTCTCACCTTCTCGCTTCCATCGAATACCCGGATGGCGGGGTATGAGATCACGCCTTGTTCTTGACAAAGATCTGCTTCAGTTTTGCAGTCGACACTTAGCAGGGCTGTCTTCGTTTGCGATGTAGCTGCGAGCCATTCTGCTTCGAGTGCCTTGCTAGGTTCCCTGGAGAACTTGTCAGTTGACTTGACCCGCGGAGGAGCGAATTTACTCACGTCCAAGGCTGGCATTTCAATCCAAATGTTAGCATATTTCGAACATGGAACCAGCGACCGGGTGGAGACGGCATACCGCGACGACTGGGAAATCCGTTAGCATGGCTTGCCTGCCCACAACTGATGAGCGTCAACTGGTGACTTACAAGCTACTAAGGCCAAAGGTTTCTCGTTGACAATATATTCGAACTTGGCTCTAGACACATGATTCCATCCCAGTGCTGATTTCACAGCAATCAGATCCAGCAGACAGACAAGGAGGACTTTGGGCAACATTCTGGGGCAGATTGAAAAGTTGGCGCCTGAAGCTTTCGATTGCGAGATTCTGAAGTTGTCCTGAGTCCCAGACTCAGGTTGGTCGAGAGTTTCTTCTCAAGTTGCGTGCAAAGTATAATTGTCTTCCGTCTCGCAGATGTCAATGGTGGAAAATGGTCGAGACGTTTTAAAATTTATATATATAAAAGTCCAAGTCTCGATCACAAAAATAAATTGAAGTCATGGAGGGGCAGTCGGGGTCAACCCTGAAAATGAACCCCTGAAGGCGCCACAACAGGGGTCTCGAAACGCCTGATCGCCGTGCATAAGCCAGGGGAAGCTCCTGTCACCCTGCATGCTGCAACATCATTGCTTCAAAAAGTCGCGAGTGGAACAAGGAAGGCTGAGAAGAGCGTCTCGAGAAGGTGATCGGATGAGCTGATTGCTGCGATGATTCCGAGGCCGTTGCAAAGTTGCAGGGATGAGGTCTGATCTCATCTGATAGCCCGATGGCAGGAAAAGGAGGGGAAATAATTTCGTTCGATTATTTCCATCTTCGTAGCTTCATCTTCGTCATTCAAAGCGAGGAGAACGGACAATCATGATGCTTTTTCCGAGATGTCTTTCCTTGCTCGTAACCGCGTTCTTTGCGAGCAATGTTCGAGGCAGCTCTGAGCAGGTCCCGCTGAGGGACTACAGCTGCCAACACCCTCCATACACAATCCACCTCTTCTCAAAAGCACCACTAGTAATCTACATCTCCAACTTTCTGACCCCCTCAGAACGTTCCCACTTGCAAGAAATCACGTTCGTCGCCTCTCCCCCTCCCTCTCACCACCAAACAACCACTAACAATCCCCAAGAAAAGGAACCTTCGCGCACTCCGCCGTGGCCGACGAATCCGGGCAAGAAGGCCTCCGTCAAACCCGAACCTCGCAATCCACCTCCGTAGCCCGCGACCCCATCGTCCGGTGCATCGAGTCGCGAGCTCTCCTCTTCCAAGGCTTCGACACGCCTCGTTCCCACCTCGAGCCCCTCCAACTCGTGCAATACGGAAACGACGAGCGATACCACCTGCACACCGACTGGTTCACGGCCGCCGACCGCGCGACGCCCGACGTCGGCGGCAATCGTCTGACTTCCTTCTTCGTCTATGTAGCTGCGAGCAACTTGACCGGCGGGGGAACGAATTTCCCGATATTGGATCAGCCGGATGATGAGCGGTGGTGCGAGTTTCTAGATTGTGATGAGCCGTGGGATAATGGGGCGACGTTTCGCCCGGTGCCGGGGAACGCGGTGTTCTGGCAGAATTTGATGGAGGATGGAGCGGGGGATTCGGCGACGATACATGCGGGTTTGCCGGTGACGAGTGGATATAAGCTTGGCATGAATATTTGGACGAGACAGGGGCCTTTGGATGAGAAGTTTAGGGGGGCTGATGGTGAAGATTAACAGCTAGAGGGAAATCTTTGCGTGTTGCGTTGCCCTTTTTAGGTTGCGGTGTCTAGTGTGTGACCGTCGTTGGCTTTTTCGCTGGGCACTAAATCATAGGGAGAGCCAAGTTGCCTCCGTGATGAGGCTAGTGCTTCGATTTATACGATTGGTCTTCTTTCCTCAGAAGAACCATGAATTATCTGCCATGCTTTCGCCGATCGTTCTCTCATTTTCCAAGCCCCTCTGGTCGCCTTTTTGCAAGCCCAAGGACCCCAGACCAAGAGGAGCAAACTGCTTCCGCATTTCCTCCAAAAGCTCCTTCAGCTCTTCCTCCTTCTTAACAACCTCGTGGGCCTCCTTGACGATCTGGCAAAGAGCCACCCTCTCCTTCAGCGACAGCCCTGCTATTTCCGGAGCTCGCGAGAAAAGAACCATCGGATCCAAGAAAACGTCAAATTGGTGAAGCTTTACGACCTCGTTGTAAATATGTCTGTGAGCGCCTTCCACATTACCCTCCATGCAATCTTTCGGCCCCATTCCTTGCCCCACTTCAACACACTTGATGACCTCTCTGCCCGCTTCTGCGATCCGGCCAAGACCGTGGTAGCAAGTGGTGAGCTTCAGCAGTCCCCAGACTTGGTCCTGTTTCCACATGCTAATGCCCTGATGTAGCTTCCACCACTCTTGGAGATGTGCGAGTCCTTTCTTGTAGTCCGGCTTGTCGGGTGGCATCATGGCAAGCCCGCATTGGAACATGTGTACTTCCGCGAGGTTCTCCCATCCAGTGGAGGTGGTGGAGCTGGGCGCCTCCCGCTGCATGGAGAAGTTCATGGCCCGTCCTGCTGCTGCTGTGTCACCAGCCATCATGTGGATCCCGGATTCCACATCACCGAGTAGAGCTTTCATCTTTTGTGAGTCGGTATTGTTCGATTCCAACATCTGGCTCACAAGTTTCAAAACCGAAGTGCCGTTTTCCGGCTTTAGATCCGCGAACACACCCATCATGGGGGCGTCGATAATGCTCTTTGCAAAACTGCCGAACTTGGACACCGCCTCTTTCTCAAGATCCAAGGCAAAGCCGAGATGATCGCCAGTTTTCAAACTCTCGATTTCCTGCTCATACTGGGTCCATATTTCCGACAAAGCAGGGCCCATGCCCTTCGGTTTCCATAAATTGGACATAGCTTGCATTCCGGCATTGAAATCTTTCTTCGCTACCTTACCGTCCCGTACAGCAAGCCTAACCACACAGGCGGCCCAGTTCTGCAAGTTCTGCAGATGCCAACGCCTAATAATGTTCAGCATCCCAGCATTAGTAGTTACAGGGTCATCGGCCAAGTTCCTTTCGAACAACTCCTTCGCTTCTCGCAATTGAAGCGACCGATCCATGATGCTTGCTTCGGCAAAACGAAGCTGGAACCAGGTGACCTCATTTGGCGGCGGCAGGACTGTCCCGGGAGGACTATTGGCTTTCCACCTCTCAAAAACTTCCAGAGCTGACTTGACGATCGGAGCTTTGCCTGACTGTACTGTGTCTTCCGCTTCAATCTGATAGAGGGCCCATGAGTAGTCCATAATGCAAAAGAGGTCCCATGTTGTCGGCACAGAGGCAGGACGCTCACTTGCAATCATGTGGACATACGATAAATGTTGGCGAATGTGTGGAATGAGCAGCCGTCTTTGTCGTGGCTTCGTCCACCAAGAGCCGACGGACGCGCCATAATGGAGGGAGAACAAGGTGACACCCATGCGCTTGACCTGCTCTTCCGGTTCACCGTCCTGATTTGCCCAGCCCATACCTTGCGCGTGCCTGTTGTGGAGAAGGTCCTCGTGTTGTTCCATCCCATCCCATACTACACCAGTCCATTCATTTCGATACTTGTCGTCCGCGAAAGGTTTTGAGGGTGTCCAAAGCAGCGCCTGACGGACTTAAGCAAACTTGGCTTCCTTCCAGGCTCCCTTGGTTACTGCAGTCCGGCCGAGTAAGGTATAGACTGGATTTACGTGGTAGCAAGGTACCTGCTGGCCATCGCGGCGCGTGATGGCAGCATGCTGCAGGATGCCAACGCGGATCAATTTTGACTCAATTTCGGGCCAATAGGCTCGCAGGTTACGAGCCATCTGGCCGTTGTTCACAATGTCCTGCCACTCCTTTGAGATCCAATTGGCATATGATGCCTCCTGGAAATACTTGGACGCAAAAAGATAAAAGAACCAGTAGTAGTAATTCAGGTCTTTGGGCATTATGTTCCAGAAAGGCGCAAAGTGCGTCGTCTGGATCATCGTGTCATCGAAGTTGATGAAGGACGGAAGGGCCAGGGCGATGGAAAGAGAGGTACAAAAGCGGGACCGACTCCATATATCCTCCGCCGGTTCTTCTATCTTATCATACAGAAGGTTATTGAAGAGAGCTTCTCCATTGTAGCCGGCTCTGCTGAACGCAGGCACGATCAGCTGGATAGCTGTTGGGTTTCCTTCCAGAAGGATAGCAACACGACGCAGGAAGTCGATATTGTCCCGGCGATGGTATATTTCGGGCGGCTTGGTTTTCTCGTCAAAGGCCAACTGCTGCAGGAGGGCCACGGAATCGAGAACCGAGAGGCCAGATAGATGGAACTTCTGGCGCTCTGAGGTAACGTTCGCAACCTGGGTGTTTGCAAGTCGAGACGCCACAATCGCCATTGATCCATCGCTTGTTGCATTGTCGATGAGCGCTCTCAGTGATCTTGCCATCTCTTCTGCGTCATCGGGGTTCTCGAGATAAAGCGGCGATTCAAAGGCGTCAGCGCTGTCAAAAACTAGAAGATACTTCCCGCTCCTTAGTCTATCGATAATCGCCGCCTCTGAGGGTTCATCGAAGTCAAGGCCAAGTTGGATGCACATCTGTTCAATATATTCTCCCCACGAAAGCAAATGGTCTTCAGCAAAGTTGATGTATGCAGACCCATTGATCCACCCAGAGGCTTTCCACCACTGACAAACATAGCGAAGGAACTCTGTCTTCCCGCAACCACCTTGGCCGTGCAAAAGGACCAGTCGTGATGTGGATAGGAGAAACTCCAGGGAGAGGACATCGATATCACGGCCAATCAGGGCTTGGTCGACCGACTGAAGTGCTTTGGTTATTAGTTGCTCGAAAGGTGACAGATTTTTGATCGAGCTCAACACCTTGTCAAGGTATGATGAGATGCTGCTGCCGTACTTGCTATTCTCTACCTTGCTGTGAGGGTTCGGGGTTGTGAAGGAGGTGTAAAATATAGGTATAATGTAGTCAGAAAGGTTCACATTGTACATGGACATTGCTCGTCTTCGCCGATTGTTGATCAGTGCCAGTCGTGCTATCCTTGATGCCTCTTCCACGGAAGCTTTATTGACGAGCAGGGACTGGTAGAATGCGTTCATAAATATCTCGACGGCCTCCTCCACCACCTTATAGGCCATCGCAAGCACGTGTTGAGTGCCATAACGCAGAAGAACTTCGGCCAGATTGCTTTCAGGACTGGAGGCTTCGAAGCTCGCAGAATCACAGGCGTTAAGGATGGCAGTTTTGACGCCACCTTGAGCGAGTTCCTTGCCGATCTCACTTCCCGTTCGGAAATCCTTTGTCATTTTGAGGGAATCCAGATGATTGGGTTTGCAGAACTCGAGACCAGCTCTATAAGACACAGATAAGGCCACTGAGAATGGACATAATGGAGGTTTCAACTTACGAAGTATGACCTGTGGAAGCTTTCCGGATCCTACCCTTCATGTCAAAGTGAACCAAGTCATAGTTATGGTCTTGCAATTCTTTCTGAAATGCCACCCATGTCGGCGGACGAAGAATTGTGAGCGAAACCTTTACATCAGGCCTGGTCTTGGAAACGTGATCAACGATAGCCACCAAAGACTTGGAAACAAGCTGGTAGTCGACATCTTTCTGTTTTCCTGGGCGGGAGACAACTAAGAGAATGTTGAATTTCATTCCTTGGAAGGACCCGGCCCCAATTTCGTCTTGCTCACTGTTCTGGACTACAGATCGAATGACGCTTACACTATTGAAGCTGTATCCGGATGACCAGATTTTTGTGTCCTCAAGGACTTCCCAATGCAGCCGTTGAAGTGTCGTCTCCACGCGGTTCGGGTCTGTTCCCATTCCGGAATCTTTAGACGCAATTTCTAGACGGATGCTCCCATTTTTGGGAAGTAGGCCAGTTTTGACAATCTGTGCAGCGAGATCGCGGCCATAATTTGAGAGAAGCTCTGTGGCGAGGTCGGCCCTAGCAGTTTCGAATGGCTCACTGGCGTAATTCTCAAGAAACCACTTCAAGGCTTTCTCTGGATCCTCACCGAGCTCAATCGATTGTCCAAAAGGGTCCTTGAGCGTAATCCGTGTACACTTTGAGCTCGTCTTGGCTTCGACATCCCACCGAGAAGAGTTCCCCTTGGGATTGATCACAGGGGCTTCATGAGCGACAGAGATAATCTCGCAGAGACGAAGTCGAAACGACATGGTGACCGTCACACAGAGAAAGGACAGCGAAACAGGGCCAGACCGTGGAGAGAATTCGTCGTGTGGGCGGAAATGTTCAGAACAAAGCGAGAGATGTGGCCGATGGTCTTTCGTGAGGGTCTTGGGTCGGATCAGGTCCACCGGCGTGTAACCCCCTTTATGGGGGCAGCTCGAGCTCCGTCGTTGCTTTTTCTGGGAGGTCCGCAAGCTGGCGCGTAGTTTTGGGTGGCCGCGCGAGTTTCTCAGCCCCCCAGTTTCAGCCCCAGCGCTGTGGCGCCCGCGGTCAATCAACGACGACCTTGAAAAGACAGCGTCCCCAGTGATGAGTTGCCCGTTTCTGCAGAATTGGTAACTGCCATGGCGCCACAGTCCTATGAACCCAAATTTTTCCTTCTCAAACGTCGTCTACCAGCGTCGGAGAGCGCGCATCTTCTCGGGCGGGTCGTTCAGCATTACCAGGACCCCACTCGCGACTTCACACCCGACTCCCCAGCGGGGAGTGTGACGGCCGAGGTATTCAAAACCTTCTTGCTTGGTGTGCAATACGACACGGACGCAATCCTCAAGGCGCAGGCTGCTCGAAACGATGGCCTCCGGGCAAAGCTCTCGGGGCTGCTGTCATTCTCAGCCGACTCTGCAGAAGGCGGCTCGACCACCGTGGAGTCCCCGCGCTTCATAACACGACGACTGAAGCTCGAGAAAGACTACTTTGATGCGCTGAAGGCCGTCCCTGACGTGCGTCGGAAGATCCTTGAGATGTGTCCGGTTGGTGATAAAGTCTACCTGATTGTCGGCACCATGAGCACCCAGACGGCCAAGTTCAAACAGACAGCAGCCCAGACCAAGGGTAGAAGTGTCTCTGGCTCCCTACAATTGCCTCTGAGTGTTGCTATGTCCGTCGGTGTCATGCCTCATCTAGACACCGTCACCAGCCCAGAGGCCAGTACGAACCACACTGAGTCATCCGGATGGTCCATGAAATTCAGCTCGACCGCTATCGGAGAGGACGGTAATTCTGGCGAGGCCGAAGAGGTCTTTGCTGTGGCCTGCAGGGAGATCTCGAGAAGCTGGCGGGATCTGGGACAGGATGTCAAGATGAAGACGAAGCCTCCGGAGTATCGGGGCGGACAGCATTTCGGGGCAGAAGAAGATTCAGACTCCGCCGACGAGGATGACGCGAATGAAGAAATGGAAGCGTTTGCGGCCGGGGGGTTGAATTTGCTGGAAGATGAATCGTCGAGGGTTCTAGACGGACTCTGATCTCTGGTCCTTGATGGGATCTGAGCTCGTTATGGCCAGGCGCCTCCTGGAACTATTTGGCTTAGAGGATGTTTCTGTACAGGTGGTGAAGAGAATTGCGAGATGTTGATTTGAAAAGGGCAGAGAAACCGGAAGGAGCAAATAGGCATCGACACGTGATTTGTCTAAGCGAGGTAACACGAATTCCCCCCTTTCTTGCGCAAATCCATAGTATACAAGACAGATACTTGTTGATGGGGCTGAAAGGGTCGGTGTTGAACTAAGACCACATGGGTTGACACTTGAAATGAAAAGCAGTGAGGCCTGACAGGGCTGAAACATCGATCCACACTTCCTCGAATGTGAACATTGTGTCTCTCCCTTCCTAGGCCAAAATTAAGCTCTAGTATATAACTACTTGGAAGGAATACGGCGAAATAGAGATTGATGGAAGAAAGACTTCAGATATCACTACAAACCGCAGACCAAGTGATCTCAAGCCGAACATCCAGTGTTTCCATCCTGCCAATTAACATACTACATTAGTATGAACCCCAGACACACCTTCTCTGAACACACTCTTCTACCCTCCACCTGTTCCACATCTCATACCTTCTCAGAATAAATAGGGAGTGATGAAAATCCCGCCTCCAAGCTCCACAGCCGAAGGGAACACCTCTGGAAAGCCGAACGTCCAAAGCTCACCAAGCAGAATAAAAAACATGGTCATATAATTAGAATTCCCTGTTCTGGAACCGGTGTGACGAAAGATTCGTTTAACCGGCCGGCAGGAAGCTTTGATAGAGAGCCGAACGTAGGGACAAGGGAACGAAGGACATTGTAGTTTCAAATATCCTATATCTATTGTTGGCTGTGACGTTCGAGAACTCCAACAGTCACTTGCCTGTCGAGACCCAACCATTTGCGAAATCGCATATCCGGCGTGGAAACTAGCGTCTCCTCATCTATAACAACGATGAAGTAGATTTGGGAGACAATCGCAAAGATGGCGATAGCGAAAAGGGCGGCCATTATAAACTTGTACAATCGTCGAGCCAATTTATTTCTCCGCAAAGAGAATTTCCTCCAAGGATCTTGGTTAGGTCGTGCGAGAACGGGGGCGTTATTTGACCTTCGCCGGTGTCGCCATAATGGCAAATTCTGGGGTTGGCCCGTTGTAGAAGTGTGCAGTGATTACGAAAACACAGGTGAAATAGTGAAGATCATAGAGAGGACAGACATCATGAAGTTGATTAAAATTCAGGTTGTGCGATCGAAAACTCTACTTACTCGATAGCGAGGCGCTACCAAAGAATCCCGTTTATGGTTGAGAGTGTCTTTCACTCTAACCAGAAAAAAAAAGAAGATAAAAAGGTTGGGAGGAGAAAGGGTGCGATACCTATTGTCGACTCACCAAAACCTCATCCAGGGGGCCGCAAGTAAAGCTTCCATGCTGTCGACCAAATTTGAAGTTGGTCGTGGACTGCGATGCTGAGAGTCTAAATTTAGTGTGCTAAATGAGGAAGTTATACAGGTTCAGGTGTTTCTCAGCGAGCCACTCCCGAGTATTAGTAAGATTGCCAATTCTGCTCCACAGCATCTCCGCGGATTTGAATTAAGACGGTGATGTTGCCTCAATAAACGCCTAATTAGGAAATGATGAGGACCAAAAGTTGACTTGTTATGCAAAAGGGGGATCGGACGAGGTGGTCGAACCAAGGTTTGGCAGGGGCCATTTATTACGTCACGCGCCGCTAAATTTTGGGCTCCCGCTACAGTTGCCTCGGGGCTTAGACTGCCTTGCCGTTGCGCTAACCACGCGATCTATTTTTATATTTGAATCCTTCCTCGCTCCCCGCACTGAAACATTGTACTCATCCAAATCTCGCTCTTTCAATGAAGCAAGTCGCTCATAACCAGACAGTCATCGCGACATCGGGAGATTATTGCCTGCAAGCCTCACTGATTCACCTGAAAGTTGAGACTCTGGTAAATAGTTCCGCCGCAACGCTGGAGCCACGAAAGAAAGTTGTTTCATATCGATAAACGCAACGAGAGCCTTCGTTTCGGACGCCATCACTGCGTGAAGCCTGCTGACTGGCCCGCTTGGTGCTCATCCTGGTGCGTGCTTAATATCTGGAGCTTGGGCATTCCCCGTTTGTATTGCTTCTGAGCAGGCAGGGGCTATACCCCATGCAGAGACTGCCGGGGCCCAATCCCTCAGCCGCACCCTGGCACTCTGAAGGATCAGACGCTAGATCAGCTGAAGACCCTAGGGCTGATCAACTCCACGGATTGTTATCGTCTCAAGTGAGAACTCTAAATCCACAAGGGGTTCAATCTTACTCTTCTGCTCGGGTGGCGCTCTTGCTGTGGAACCGATGAGTTCACAGAATAGTGTCAGTTGTCACCCTCCTTGGTCGTTTGTTTATCCAGTCATATCTGGCCCGGGATATTCGCGTCGGACCGTTGAGAACCCACGAGCCTGGGAAGCAGGGCTTCGGGTCGGGTCCAAAATAGGATAACGGTTAGCGGCTTTGTCTTTACCTTGCCAATGACAAACAAAAGCACACTATTGGTGCTGTCCACATGTGCAGGCCCTGCCACTGAGGCTGTTCACACCTTGTCAAGCCTTCCGACTTGGCAGAGCACAGTCTCACCAGATGGGGGAGGTTTGAGCCGGATTACGATCACAGCCGCTGGGGCTCCCCGTCATCCGAAGTTTCCGCGCTCGCGGACACACTGATCCGGCAGGATCCCACAATCTCTCCAAGAGCACTTGGCTGCAGCAAAATCTCCACCTATAAGACTTTAGAGAGCTTGTTCATTGCACAAAGTCCCGTGCACAGCCCGGTGAATATTTAGAAACTCCGGACGTAGATGATGATGAGCGCATTGATCCTATTCATGAAGGTTGTCCAGCTTGGCAAGCTACGTCATTGTGACGACCGACCAAAGATCTAGATACTCGGCCCAGCACAAGCTTTGAAATTGAGCTCTGCTCAATATGGTCAATGGTCAAGTGGCATCCTGCTGAGGATCGTTACATTCAGCGGGAAGTACTCTTCCTCAGCTTCAATGTAATTGCTTTGGCGGAAGGCACCACAGTTTCTCTTCGACATTCATGATCCTTGCTGTACACAAAATTTCTACTACTGATGGTTGAAATATATCTCCTGACTGTTAGGCGGCAAGACGTGGAAAATGAGCAAACCTCCAGAGGAAGTCCTGTCTGAAACTGAACTGGCGCATGTAAAATGACAGCTTGAACATTATGACTGCTACTCCTGACTTTGAGGCTTCATCACATCGAGTCATCCACCGACTACTAATGCACCAGGCAAAAGAACCAATTGGTTCATGAGAATAAATGCTGCCTGGGGCGTATTCGACCAGAAGTCTGCCCTACTGAATCTGTAGGGCCTAAAGTTTGGTCTTGCCTTGATGAAACCAGCTAGCTTCAGGCTTCGACTATCAAAATCGGTTGGTCACAACTTTGAAACGGTCCGCTCTGTCCCGAGAGCGAGGACGAAGAGAGTCAAGAGCTCTTGGCAAAGTAGTGCGCGCGTGACTAGTATTAAGCCCAGCCCTACCGGGCGTCCTCGCAATCAGGTGATACCCGAGCCCCAGGAGCCAAGAGCCACGATGACTACCTCGGTCTCCGAACTACTACGTACGACTGGTTGAGTCGCAAAAATGGCTAAAAAGGGTCCAGTACCTGCCCCAGAAGAACAAATATCAATAAGTGCGTTCACAATAACTGTCGCCTATTCGCGAGGAAAGGCAGAATAAGAAGGATCTTAGGGTTCCGCGTCTTCAGCTGCGCAGGGTTCCCGCTCTTTATCACCACGTCCGCAATAAAATGCCACAGTTCGGAAATCTCTGCATAGAATCCCATCACCATCCCCAAAGCAGGATCCGTGGCGTTCAATTAACCGTCTCTGAGCCACCTCCACCAACTATCTCGACTAGGATGGCCTCGCGAATGGGCATGCACAGGGCTGCAGGTTGCCTAACGGGCGGCCCTGTGACTGGTGCGCAGTCGGGGAACCGCACGGCTGGGTATGCACTGGGCGGGGCAGACAGTGCTTGCGCCCCCACCTCGGTTGCCGTTGATTCACATATACCGAAATTCCTTCCGGATGCAGCACCTCACCCACTCTGAATCCTTCCCCCATTCCCCATCCCCCCTTTCGAGACAAAAATACCCTTCCACAACAAACGTGGGAAATGGACAAGCGAGCAAGCCACACAGGCTGCCAGATCCGGCCAGCAGAAAGTGGATGCAAGACTGAAACGGCTCGTATACCTTGGGACTCACACCTCAGCTTCTGCCTTTGGCTTTTTATGCCCGTTTTGATTGGTCATGATGTGACCAAGACGGAGATGTATCTTCAGCTATGAGTAAAGAGGTTGAACTATAAACTATGACTTTCAGCCATCGTCAACGAAAAGATGTCTCTTAATCCAGATCCAAACCAGACGCCAACGCCAGTCTTAAGGTCCTCCGTCGGAGCTAACGCCAAGAGGACGAGTACGAGAAGTTCAAGCCGTATTGCGTATTCAGCAGCAGGCCAGAGCCGATCATCCACAAACCAAAACCGAGTCAGAAAGACTTACAGAGAAACCGACAAGATGCAGGCTGGGCTGCGTCCGCGCCAACGAACCTTCACCTCCTGCACCGAGTGTCGCCGGAGAAAGCAGCGGGTAAGTTCACACATCCCTATTTGGCCTCCTTCCTATCCAAGAAATTTCTAGCGAAGAGGACTGACGATTGGAGCAAAGTGTAACCAAGCGAAAGACCGTCCTTGCAACAACTGTGCGAGACGATACCCACCAGTCGCCTGTACGTACGAAAGCTCCAGGTATGTTTGTTTACCTCCTGCCTGTTCGAGGCTGCTGTCGTTAGAATAAGCATGCTGATGTACGTAATCCAGCCCGCCCCCAAGCATCGACAGGATCGTGGATTTCCACGACGACCACGGCCAGGGGAGAGCGAGCGTGCCCAGCACGAGTCCGGGGCCGTCTTACGTGCAGACGTCATCCCCAGAGAACATGAGCTACGCAGCGACTCCTGCAACCACAGATGGGTACTACAACTCCTCCTACGGGTACTACTCCGCACCTGCAGCGCCTAGGAATGACTACCACTCTTATTCCGCCGGAGGCTCGTCGCCGGGCTACGCTGTACCGGCTTATACGACGAGCGCGGGCTATACGCCTGTTTCCGCGGGCTACTACCAGAGTGCGACGACGAGCTATACGCCAGTTACGACAGGCGGCTATTATTCGAGTTCGCAGCAGGATAGTGCGTGGTTGAGCACGGCGGACCCAGCAGCATTCGTGGGTACCGGGAGCGCCGATTACTATTATGCTGCGGACCCAGATCCGGGACATCATCATGGCCATGCTTCTTCAGGTCCTTGACGACCTCCCTGAGGCCAAGAAGCGTCAAGAGGACGCTTGGAACTTTCTGTTGGGAATCTTAGAGGAGGCGAACCGAAGGGGTGCGCGATAAGGGCTTTGGGGGTGGATAACGACAAAGGGAACGGAGCCTCGGCATTGAGTCGAGCTCGAGGGGAACTTTCAGAAGACGTCAAGAGGAAGAAGAACCCGGGTCTCTCGTTTTACCGGTGGCTTCCATGAAGCTTCTGCGTGTCACAAGTGGAAGTGATGCTAGTGATGACTTGGTGCAGCAATGGATGGAGGATGCACGATGGTGCAGGTTTACCCTTCGGAATGAAGAGCAGTGAAGCAGAGACTATATGGTTCTGGGAGATAGACCTTGGCATGGACGATATTAACAAACTGGGGGTGGGACCTATTGACGCTTGTTGGATAGGAGGTTTTGGTCTTATTGTTTTAGTTGTATAAATATAAATTCCTTTCGATGCTTCAAATCGTATGTGTCTAGAAGATGTAATGAGAGACGGAACGATATCTGGCCTTAGATGTGCAAAACAAACCTCCCAGTAACAATACACTCTTTTTCTTAGCCGCAGGGAGGTTGACTGTCACTGGGATGGCAATTAGATAAGCCCATTGTACCGGAGCGACTTCGGACTTTCGGCCGATGTGCAACAAAACCAACCACCCATAGATTGTTGAGTCCGCAACTCACCCTCCATTTTAGAGCGTATTCTCAATGTAGCAAGCAACTTCGGACATGTGCAACAAACCCTCCAGGCATGATTCACTCGAATCTTGATCTTCACAACTCATTTACATCAGGGCGAGGTCCCAACCCTGGCCCGAATGGCCGAGGAAAGCGTGTATTACTTATTGTTATTTGACTCGGAACTGCTTGGGCCGTGAAAGAGGATTGTGGAAGATTCAGTTGGTAGCTTCATAGCAGTCGTTTACGGGAGAGATGAAGGAACCAGGCAATTCTAGTTTCGTGTTCATCGTCTGGACGAAGTCGAATCTAAACTCAACGTAACCGCTATCTTTCAAGCACGTTTTCCAAACTACGAGAAAGTAGTGTATAAGAAGGCCGAATGTTCATTCTGTGACCCGGGTAAGAATGCTCTCCCAGACGTGCAGGCCATCATGGACGCTCCCCATGGTCTTGGCTTGGGACTTTTTCTGCCCTTCTTCTCTTCCCGGATAAGCAGGAGTTGAAGCTAAAAAGGCGTCCATGAGAAATTGGCAGGCGAAAGAAGTAAAATGCTCATTCCCTGACCCAAATAGAATTCTCCTCCACATCCATACGCCGTCATGCACATTCTCCATGCTCTTCGCCAACGCGGTTTTCTGCACTTCTTCTACCTCCATATACGCGCGAGTTGCAGCCAACAACGTTTTCGCAGAATCCAATTCAACTCGGGGTGTCCTTGGAACGTCATATCGTGTTCGTGTGGTTCAAGAAAGCCTCGTGTTCTTCCGCCAACGGCACGAAACCTTGCGCTGGAACCGTGATCTCGCGCCTGTGGAACTGGTGGAGATGGAGAACCGCATTGCGTGGGAACATCTTGCATCCTTCCTCAGTCAACTTCATCCGTTTGACCCCGATCTCAGCAGCATCCATGCTCCCGACAATTCCTCTGAATGCAACGCATATGGTCTGATGTCCCCAGCATACCCTGACAATCTTCTGCTGCGGGTAGCAGTCGATCGTGGTATGAAGAAAGTCCTGCAGTTTCAGCACCCATGGGTCAGAATCCATTGGACCTGCCGTTCCTCCGCTGAGAACAATCAAGTCGAAAGTTTCTGGATCGGGATAGAGTTGGGCGACGACGGGATTGAAGAAGTCGGTCATGTTAACGGTGGAACTTAGAATCGAGAAGCTGGCAGTGTGATGACGGACACGAACCAGTCCAGGACTGCAATGGGCCAGCCAGTGAACAGGATGACGATTCTGAGAGGTGTGTTCGTAGCCATGGTTGCAGGTTGCTCAATCGATGCGTAGGAAGGTAAGGGCAGATTCGATCTCGATTATGACGCTTCGAATAGCAGTCAATGCGCCGCTGTACAGTAGTTACAATCGTGAGACGCTTTGAAGAAGCGGAACATCGGTGAGGACTGTGTATACTAGCCGGTTATGATCACTCTTCCAGGAACCTGTATCATTCTCCACCGATACGTGATCGCCAAAGGTAAGGAGAAGTGTGACGTCGCTTTGCCGTCGCTTTCGACGAGAGGTTGCTTTGGCGCAAGTCAATTAGGAGACATGGGGGTCGTCAAGAAGAGCTGAGTAGATGACAAGGGAAGAAAAGCAGCAGGAACGGAGCTTGTCAGTGTAATGAATGTTAGTTTGGCATATCAATAGTCGAACGCAGAAGGCAGCGTCCTTTTCTTTCTTTCCTCTTGGGTTGTGTGTGTTGAGAAGGAAGGAAAAAGTTGAAGGGAGAAATGGAGATGGAAAGGGAAGCCGAGCCGAGACCAGATTGTTGGGTCGTCACGTGCGGAAGCCTAATTTACCACCTCTCCTCGTTCATTCCCATCTCCACGGACAAACATCTGGACCTGCATTCGCCCCCTCCTTCTTGTGTTCCTAGTTCTTATTACGGCGCGACCTATGATAGCAGTCTATCAGACACGTTCCTCTCATCCGATCTTCCGATCTTTCCCATGTCAGCCTTAACCTAATCCGGCAATCAAACCCAGAGATTTGCCAAGCATCTCTTATCATCCTCATATCAAGGTTCTGACAAACACCCTTCATCTTCACCAAAGGCACAGTAGATCCCATGTTTGAAGCTTCATATCCAAGCAAATGTCACTGCCAAGTAGCTTGGCTCTACGAAAAGAGTATGGCAGGCGAGGATAACGATAATGAAGTGTAAGAACGACAACGGGAAGGACGGGCAGCGGGCCTTTCCCAGCAGGAGAAGAATGGGGTACTTAAGCTCGTCCTTTCCCACCGCGTAGTACGCGGCCTCTCGTTGAGAATTTGATTGTAATCATTGCGATTTTGGAACCCATCCTGAGCAAAGAATGAGTTCGGTAAGAAGCATCTCCACCGTCGCGAACCCCATTTTGTCTAACTTCAGCAGCCAGCCTTCAATTCATCCGAGCCGAAAGGCGGAGATCCTCTCTTCGTGGATGTCAATGCCCAATACGTCGGCTTCGAGTACCACTACACCTATCTCGTGTTCTGCGGCTTCATCGTCTGGCTGATTATTCCCGGCATCGGACTTCTCTATGGCGGTCTCGCGCGACGCAAGTCCGCTCTAGCGCTTCTATTCCAGAGTTTGATGGTAGCGGCTGTTACTACCTTTCAATGGATGTTCTGGGGATACAGTCTTGCTTACTCGAGGACGGCGGGGCCTTTCATCGGCGATCTGGCCAATTTCGGAATGAAGAATGTCATGGCTGCCCCGTCCCCAGGAAGCGCTGTCATCCCTGAGATTGTTTTCTGTCTGTATCAGTTACTTTTCTGGTATGTTTTCACACCCAAAGATGGGCACATGTGCTGATATCCTTCGAAGTGCTTGCACAGTCCAGATCGTGGTTGGGGGTGCATTCGAGAGAGGTCGTATTGTTCCCTCGTTGGTCTTCGGTTTCTTCTGGGCGACTCTCGTCTACTGTCCGATTGCATGCTGGACATGGAACCCCAATGGATGGCTGTATAAGCTTCCATCTCTCGATTTCGCGGGAGGTGGACCTGTTCACATCTCCTCCGGCTGGTCTGCGCTTGCATATGCCTTCGTTCTGGGAAAGCGCAAGCACTCTGGCGATAAGTCACATGGCAAACCCCACAACACCACACTCGTCTTTCTTGGAACGGTGCTCATCTGGTTCGGTTGGTTTGGCTTCAATGGTGGTTCCGCTCTGAACGCCACAGTTAGGGCTATGCTCGCGGCTTTCAACACCAATACAGCTGCCTCCACAGGCATGATTGGATGGGTTACGGTTGACTACCTAAAGTACGGCCGAAAATTCAGCGTGGTAGGCGCCTGCTCGGGTGCCATCGCTGGACTCGTCGGTATCACACCTGCTGCTGGCTATGTCGGAGTCTGGCTCGCGGCCGTCATTGGATTCATCACCGCGGTCGTGTGTGCTCTGCTCCAGAACTTGAACGAGTGGCTTCATATCGATGAGGGGATGGACGTTTTCAAACTCCACGGTGTTGGTGGCATGGTAGGAAGTTTCCTCACTGGCATTTTCGCCTCTGCCTCAAGTAAGTCTTGCACGCATCAGACTTGATTCATCTTCTAACCAAAACCAGTCAGCATGCTCGACGGCGTGACCTCAGCACCAGGCGGCATCGACGGCAACGGCATCCAAGTCGGCAAACAATTCGCCGAAATCACTGCCATTTCCGCCTACTCATTCCTCATGTCATGCGCTCTTTTGTATATCCTGAAATACATCCCTGGCATGCACCTCAGAGTCACAGAAGAGGCTGAGATGGTGGGCTTGGACATCGATCAATTCTTCGATGAGCAGATTGGCGATTGGGGAATGTTTGAGGAGATGGATCGGAGGAAGATGGCGATGGAGATCAGTGCTCCAACAACTCCGCCAATGCAGGAGGTTCAGGAGCCGGTCGATGGAGAGAAGAAGGTTGCAAGTGTATGAGCATTTAAGCACGAGCTTGAGTCATACATGAATTATTCAATTAGACTAGACCTTCTTTGCTTTTAATTTCGGTTATGCAAATATATACACTCTCCCAGGCTTTGCCGTTGGCGTATGTTCGAAGAAGTCACTTTGATACCTCATCATTATTGCTAGGCCTGACTGATTTGTTACTGGGAACATTTTCCGAAAGAGACTAGTTCGCCTCCATAAGAAATCGTGCCTTGGGTATTACACAAATCATCACATTTCAACGCACTTCATTTGGGAGGCGGGCTGTGGGAGATTAAGTTGTTCAAAGGAACAAATACAAAGGGCGGGGCACCTAGTTGGATTAGGTTGAATATGAAAGTCTGAGCATATATCCATTGTTCGTGACTTAATTACAGCATCGTCCACCATTCGCGCAGAGCTACATTTCCATCGCTAAATCCCTTCCTCGCCAATTCAGGGGCTCCGTTCAGCCCAACAAGCGAGAAAATTATCTGTCCCATGCTATCACCATTCGTCCTACTCTTGAGAAGCCTCGAAACGGCGATCCAGACCTAGGAGCGAAACTCCGAGAAGTAGAAACAGACTGTTAGTCCCTTTGCCCCGAAGGCAATGGCGGGACCATCTTCTTTCCTCCTTGAGCGTCATTGCGGCGGAAGTATTCATGCGTGGAATTCCTATGCACGAGGAAAATCACTAATCATTTTTTCGTCTGGATTTGGAATTCGCACAGGGGGAGTTGGAAAGACCGGCGGTAGAGATGGGTTGATATCCCCTTTCCCCCAGTCACGTGGTTCGAGACTTGCCGATTAGATTCGAGAAAGTCAGCGGGAACACCTTCAACAAGCTTACTAAAGCGATTATACGGAACGATTTTATCTAGCAGTAGCAATGGACATTCAACCCAGAGGATATTTCAACAGAAAGTGTATCTTTTCCCTGATTGCGAGGTTGCTGTATAGTCTTCACACTCGTCAATCTACCACACTTTCGGGTATTCTGCCCGACCCCCTTCAGCAAAGCGACTACTTATGCTATGTAACCTCTTCGTTTAGCTCAGCAAGGATCTCCCATATTCTCCCTCTTGTTTAAATCGATCAACAATAAAAAGGGGGGTGACAAATGCACCTCCGAAGCCTCACATGGCGGCTTGTCTCAGCAAGGACAATTGCTAGGAGAATCCTTTTGAGCCGTTTCGGAGAGTTTGCACCGCCAATCGCTTCCCCCCTTTTCCCACTGCCAAGAAAATATCCCACGAGTAAAGCACAAATGTGAAGCTGCGCCCAAATGCAATCATACAACGGTTCAGGGTCGCAGCATTGCACCAAAGGAGAAATCTTTCCGATCCCCTACGTGATACTCCTGTAAAACCCTATCTTCCTGGGGGCCAGATCCTCTGAAATCCTCCCTCTTTTCCTTATCAATGCTACCTCGTAGTTGTTCGACTCCACCATGATGTCTATTTATAACTGTATACTCCTTTGGCTAGAATACTGACCCCCAAAATTCCCCAACGCTAAATTGGATCATCTTCACGAATCCGCCTCCGGTTAATGAGTCCGCAAGCTGAAGGTTGAATTTCGCGGCGGGGCAATTGTTGGACGCCTGGATCAAGCGGGCCTGAAGGATTGATTTCGCTCAGACTCACAGGTGGTCCGCAGAAGGTCGCTATTGCGCCGTTAATGGCCAACGATACGTTTTTCACACCAGCGAATTCGGACTTTGCAATTGATCTTGCAGCGAAACCGACGACATCTTCTTCGACTTCTACGCCCAGTAGTACACCGATGGACTACTATCCGACGTTTAGCACTCCTTCATCGAGTCCAACGCCAACTCCTAGCACCACACCGCCGCCAGCAAGCGGAGGCCTCAGTGTTGGTGCAAAGCTGGAATTAGTGCTGGGTCCGGAGCTGTCGGGCTTGCTCTTCTTGTCCTGATTGGTATTCTGATTTTCCGGCGATGCAAGAGATCTGCGGCAACCTGGGTGCAGGCCGAAGACAAGACGCTGACCGCGGACGAAAAGGAAGAGCTGAAACGTTTGAGGAGGACTGCTGTTGCTGAGCTGGGATCAACTCCAGCATCCGTGACTCACGAAATGGCGGGAGGGGAAAGAGAAGAACTCGAGGCACTGAGGTGACAGGGGATGCTCTATGAGAAGTGATGTCGAATTGCGGAGATGTGGTGATTGGTTCTGGTGTATATATTCATCGTTGGCCTTCTGCAAGCCTTATAACCTTGAGACCCTGGATGCTAGGTAAATCGAGAATTTGCATAATTTGTCCGTACAATCGATTCCTTTTCTTCCTTGAACCAAGGCCGAGAGTAAGGCCTTGTTAGCAACTGCACATGATGGAGCAAATATGTTGTGAGCTGAGTGACGGAATTAATCCTGCCTGGGTACAGAATCGCGGCATAATCTTGAACCAGCGGGTTCCCCAACGCCAATATTTCGAGACCTTATCGTATGTCCATCATCTAGCACCTCATTTCAAAGGCCGCAAATCACCCGCTAGTACTCTAAAAGACCACTCCATTGACCAAGCCCAATCTAGAAGTACCATCTCCGCAATGCCTGCAACAGAAGTCACAGTTACCCTGTTGCCCTCTGCGATCAACCAATACCATGAAGCCACCACACTGAATCAATCACCTTGAGTAATGATAAATTGCGAGTCAATAGCGCTAGCGCACGAGCGTCTTTCAGTTCGATAAGTCCGAGGAATCTTCCTGGAAGCCTAAGGGGCATTATTGCCACTTCTCGCTGAAGAGGCACTTGAGGTCCTCCATTACAGATAGAGAGGTACATCGATGCTAGCTCTGCGATAGCCTCTGCGTGAACTAGCTTGTCGCTTGAGTTTGCGTCTTCTCGCCGAAGGTTGCTGAGAAGCTTGCCAGGTCTTCTTGGCTGCTGAGCAAGAATGGGTCGATGCAAGCCACTTCTACAGTATCCTCTGCCGGTGTCTTTTCGACATAGCAAAGGTACCCTGAGCCGGCTGGCCAGGGGTACATCTGCTCAAGGAGGACCTGGATTTCTTGAGCCATGTAATAAGTTTGCAAATAAAGCTCGTATGGTTCTTTGTCGCTGTGTGCAGCAAGCCATGTGTGGTGCGTAATCCGGATCGCTGTTGCAGGCACTGCCTCCGCAAATGTCTTGTCCACTTCACTCAGCGCCTTTCGGTGATTCCTAATTACTCAGTCAAAGTAATATCCAGCTGCATATGAGAGCCACGGTTCTGTTCTTCTGGGGCAAGTGCTCAATGATGTAGGGCCGAGATACCTGTTAAATCACTGAGGACTGGATCGGATTAGAATTCGAGTTTTGGTATGTCAATGGACCACACATAGTTTGCTTTTCGAGAATTTCCATCTGGCAGTTCCTTGCATGTGGATGTAGTGTAATGGTGCATGAGGTAATTCCAAAACCCGTTGTTCTTTTGAGTGGCTGATTCCAGCGGGCTTGGTAAAGATCGATATTCCAACAGACGTGAGATCGGCGACGACGGCCAACTGAAATGCTGTTGTTGTTCTTTTTCGGTAATTCAAAGAAGTGCTCGAAATCGTCACTTGCTAGGCATGGGTATCATCTAGAGTAATTGCCACAAAGAGGGTGCTTTTCATCACACTGTGGCCTTTGAGCGTATGCTCTCGAATTGGGAAGAGCGTGATTCTCTACTCACCTTTACCTTCCTTGCTTTACAAGTTCTACATCTCGTTCTGCTCTTCTTGAACGCTCTCCTGAGGGGCGGGAAAATGTGATCTTCGTGCGGAGGAGTTGAAGCGAACGTAGTGTCAAAAGTCAACATTCAGGTGCTGTCGTTTGGTGTCTTCCAAGACCAAGGACGCACGCTCAGGTAGGTACGTATGCCAACTAGGAGGATATTGGAGAAGAAGGAGTTGTTTGCCTGACATCACGTTCTGGAATGAAGGTTCAGCTTCGTTTTCGAGTGACGAGGGTGGTACTAGTTAGCTCCATTGGCAAGATCCTTAGGGAATGAAACTCAGTCCGTGAAGCTAAGTTTGCCCTTGGAGTCTTGGAAGACAGTGGATCTTGTCCTCCAGTCGGGATAATGGGTTCTGTTTCTGGCGGAGGGGCAACTATAGAAATGGCAAGAAATGGGAACGCTGATGGAAAGGGCAATGTAAAACGAACCCCCCTCCCTCCCCCCCGGGGGTGTCGATTGGGGGCCGGACTAACCTAAAGCAGTGAGGAACACCAAAAAAACTAGTTTTCCTTTAAGTTTAATTTACTATATAAAGAATTATTATAATTTAATTATTTTTTTACATTATAGAAAGCCAGATTATAAGCTAATATGACATAAAAATTTTATTATATAATAATTAGTGGACTTAAGAAAATTTAAAGAAGGTAAGGAAAGTCGGAATTTTCAAGGTACTATGAGAGCCTGAAAATTTAGTGATTAAGCGCCTGGAACTAATTTACCTCGTAAGCAATAATCGCCTCGCCCATTCTACGCCCCAAATTAGAGCTCTTACATACAAGCCTCCTTATACCTATATTAGGAAATCTGATTCAAGAGAAGGGCTTAAGTAAGTACAAGCAACTATTTAGGCATTATTAAAACTCTAAAATCCATTGATACGCCTAATCGACACCCGTGGGGGTGTCGTTTTACATTTTCCCCAGGATTGACTAATCATATCTTGACGAATCCATGGGCCTCGCTCGTAAATCACGTGCGGCTGAGTATGGATGGAGGAACTACCTGTCAGTAACTTTCCGAAAGGCTGCTGTAAGCATCGCGTTTAGAAGGTCCTCTGAGTGTCTCAGCCTTTGACTCAGCTATGCGGAGTTAGACGATCATTTGGGTTCAAAGTCCGTAAAGGAACGTTGTTTCTGGCTTATAAAATATACAATGCGTGCTGACTGCAACGTGGCAGATTTATTGGAATTCCAAAAGAGCAATAAGATACAAAACACAAAAGGCTCCGCCATACGGGTTCGTAAGGTTGATGCAAGGCTGGCTTGGCGTTTGAATCTGTAAGTATAACATACCGGTCGTTGTTGATTGGATTCTTCGGATAGGACCTGCATTCCCGTATTGTAGCTTTAGTGAGGCCAATAAAGTTAGCAGATTGATTTCTCAAAAATGGGGATGAAGGAGAGAAGAGAAAGTGAGACTTGAATTTAACTTTATTTCACGTGACCCAGCCTTGCCGATTTCTCCACTTTTATTTTCGCTGCCTTCAACCTGGAGATTCCTCCACCTCTCATCGACACTTCAACTCCACCTCCCACACAACCATGGCTGGACGCCGAGACTTCCTGAACCAGCCCGCGCCCGAGAACTATGTCGCTGGTCTTGGTCGTGGTGCCACAGGATTTACAACCCGTTCAGATCTTGGTCCGGCGCGTGAAGGCCCAAGTGAAGACCAGATCAAGGAAGCTCTCGCAAAGCGGGCCGCCCAGCTCGGAGCTGCTGCACCAACCGCGTACGGTGCACCCGAGAAGAAGGAAGAGGACGACGATGATGAGCGGTTTCAGGATCCAGAGAACGAAGTCGGGTTATTCGCTGGCGGGGCATACGACAAAGATGACGATGAGGCGGATCGCATCTACCAGGAGGTAGACGAGAAGATGGACAGGAGGCGGAAAGCTAGAAGGTTGGTCTCTCCACCCCCTTTGTATTACCCCTTCATCCCCATTGCAGATGGTTTATCATATATGCGTATAGATGAACAGATTACCGACGTTTCTACCTACAGGGAAGCACGCGAGCAAGCAGAGCGAGAGGAGTACGAGCGGAACAACCCGAAGATTCAACAACAGTTCGCGGACCTAAAACGAGCTTTAAGTACTGTTAGCGATGAGGATTGGGCGAATTTGCCAGAGGTTGGCGATCTCACAGGAAAGAATCGGAGGGCCAAGCAGGCTTTGAGACAGAGGTTCTATGCTGTGCCAGACAGTGTTATTGCTGGAGCACGAGACTCGACCGAACTCGGTACCACAGTTGCAGATGAAGGCCCGTCTGGAGGAGATGGTCCGGATGGTACGATGACGAACTTTGCGGACATTGGAGCGGCAAGAGACAAGGTTTTGAAAGTCAAACTTGATCAAGCTTCTCAAGGAACGGACTCTGTTGCTGGCAGCGCAACAAATATCGACCCTAAGGGTTACCTAACGAGCCTTGCGAAGTCACAGATTCAAGAAGGGGAGGCACAAGTTGGTGATATTAACAGAGCTCGAGTCCTACTAGAATCCGTCATCCGAACAAATCCTAAGCATGGTCCTGGATGGATTGCTGCTGCAAGATTGGAAGAGCTGGCTGGAAAGACAGTGGCAGCTCGAAATGTTATTGCACGAGGATGCGAGTTTTGTCCGAAGAACGAAGATGTCTGGCTGGAGAATATCCGACTAAATGACAATCATAACGCCAAGATCATTGCTGCGAACGCGATCAAGAACAATGACCATTCGGTGCGACTCTGGGTGGAAGCTATGAATCTGGAGTCAGAGTCCAGAGCGAAGAAGCGAGTCATCCGACACGCGTTAGATCACATCCCTCAATCAGTTATGCTCTGGAAGGAAGCAGTCAACCTGGAGGAAGATCCCGATGATGCTCGACTTCTACTTGCGAAAGCTACTGAGATTATACCCCTTTCAGTCGAACTTTGGCTAGCTCTTGCACGACTTGAGAGTGCCGAGAATGCGCAAAAGATCCTGAACAAGGCTCGCAAAGCCATCCCCACGTCGCACGAGATTTGGATTGCCGCAGCTCGGCTGCAGGAGCAGACGGGCAACTACAAAATCAATGTGATGAAACGTGCCGTTCTCGCACTTGCGAAAGAATCAGCAATGCTGAAAAGAGAGGAATGGATTACTGAGGCTGAGAAATGCGAGGAAGAGGGCGCTATCATGACCTGTGCCAATATCATTCAGGAAACTCTCGGATGGACACTCGATGAAGACGATGATCGAAAGGACATTTGGATGGAAGATGCACGAGCCAGTATCGGACGTGGAAAGTATGAGACTGCCCGTGCAATCTATGCCTATGCCCTTCGAGTTTTCGTGAACAGCAGAAAGTTGTGGTTGGCGGCGGCGGATTTTGAAAAGAATCACGGCACGAAAGACGCACTGTGGCAAATGCTGGAGAAAGCAGTTGAAGCATGCCCCCAGAGCGAAGTTCTGTGGATGATGCTAGCTAAGGAGAAATGGCAAGCTGGAGAAATTAACAATGCAAGACGAGTCCTCGGCCGGGCCTTCAAACAAAATCCCAACAATGAGGACATTTGGCTCGCAGCTGTCAAGTTAGAGGCTGAAAATAACCAACCCGAACAAGCTCGCGACCTCCTCACAACAGCACGACAAGAAGCCCCTACCGACCGAGTTTGGATGAAAAGTGCGGCTTTCGAACGCCAATTGGGTGATGCTGAAGCTGCGCTTGACTTGGTCAACCAGGCACTTCAGTTATTTCCCGCTGCTGCTAAGCTATGGATGATGAAGGGCCAGATATACCAAGGCGAAGGGAAGCTGCCGCAAGCTCGCGAGGCGTACGGAACAGGAACCAAAGCATGCCCCAAATCGGTACCACTTTGGCTGCTGTACTCGCGCCTGGAAGAGAAGGCTGGCAATACTGTCAAATCCCGTGGTATACTTGACCGAGCACGACTGGCAATACCCAAATCACCTGAACTTTGGACCGAATCGGTACGTATCGAGCGACGAGCAAACAACATTAGCCAAGCCAAGAACCTCATGGCGCAAGCTTTGCAACAAGTTCCCAACAGCGGCCTTCTTTACAGCGAATCCATTTGGCACCTCGAACCGCGGACCCAACGAAAGCCGCGGGCCTTGGAGGCAATCAAGAAGGTCGACAATGACCCCATCCTGTTCGTTACAATCGCGCGAATATTCTGGGGCGAGAGAAGATTAGAAAAGGCACAAAATTGGTTCGAGAAGGCAATTCTACTTGATAGTGATTTGGGTGATACCTGGGCTTGGTACTACAAGTTCTTGTTGCAGCATGGAACTGAAGTAGGTTTCTGGCGGTACGATAGGCGGTTCAACGCTAATATTGCTACTCAGGAAAAACGAGCCGATGTAGTAGCGAAGTGCATCCTCAGTGAGCCCAGACACGGCGAAATCTGGCAGAGTGTAGCGAAGGAGCCGAAAAATGCGGGGAAGAACTTGGAGGAGATTCTCAAGATCGTGGTTGGCAAGTTGGAGTAAAAAGGCGCAAGGATAGTGTATCATAATAAAGGGTTGGGTCGCTGCTTCCCAAAAGGGTTGCAAAGGGCAAGCAATATGACTTGACGTTCAATAGCCGTCATCTTCTATGTTCCTATTTTGTATTCATCGTTTTCACGGCCCCGTTAGACTCATTGCGCAATGCCCATTGTCTGGATGCGGAATCCCACTTTCGCAATGATTCTTTGTTGCCCAAGCCACACCGCTTCTGCACCTTTCGGCCTTCGTTATGGGAGAAATTGTAATCCCGAGCAAATACCCAAACCTGCTTTGGCCTCAAGTCTCCCTAAAAATTGCCCAGCTCTAGTTTTGGCTTGATCGGGGGGTGGTCGTCAACATGTGGGAAGACGCAACAGACCAGCTTCTGCCCAAAGGTAATGGATTATTTCCTCAACTCTTCTATGCAACATTTAACTCTGATTTTACGCAGACCAGAGAAGAACCACCGGGCGAACAAAACTAGCACAGAAATACAGCTACCCCATCGGCACAATCGACGCCCACAACACACGATTCCCCCTGTCTTACCGCCATTCCCCACCTCCCTCCACAATTTCAAACAGCGAATGACCATCTTGCCTTTCACGAACGCCTGTACGCCTAATTCCAAGAATTCTAGGACCTAGACTTCGCCACAATTCCAGGACTGATCAACGCGTTCTTGCCACCAACAGACCAGATACCAGGGTCTGAGAGATTGAGATTGAATTGATAGTTAATGCGTGTGCGTGAGAAGAGAGGGGTGTGTGGCGCTCCGACCGAGGGGTATTGTAAGTTTGGGAAGGAGGAGATGGCGAGAGATAAGGAGATTGAGTAGGAGGCGGAGGAGTGTGAAGGATTGATGAAGCAAGCGCTCGATGATAGTGGGATTGATATTAATGGAAGCTTCTATTTGAAAAGTTGGAGGAGCTGGAGGGTGATGGTTTGGGCATTGAGTTGAGCGCGCTTGGTTTAGTGGGAGTCGAGTCTTGAGGGTAGGAAAGAATCCCAGTGGACTGGTTTATGTTCCCCGTGGCTCCATATGACAGAAAGAGGTACGATGGTTTCAGGGATCCCATTTTCTTGATTTGGGCAGAGAAACAAGTGTTCCATGCGCATAAAAGGCCAAACCCTCATATGTTCAAGCGGCAAAATTGACGAAGGTATCTCTCAACCAAATTAGGTATTAATTGCCGTCTGCAATCTATGAAATTTATGTCCCTTAAAAATCCAGCCACATCCCTAAGCTACCCCTCATCTCCCAAGAAAGCTGAAAACTCCGAATTGTCTTTAAAGCGTTTAAGCTGATGCTGGCGGGTTTACCAAAGCTCTGTTCATCAAGTTAGCATTTCCAGATCCACAAGAAACAGAGAGGATTCACTTACCCCCAGCTGTCCAATGGCGGCGAGGTATTGGCTCCTGTCAAGTCCAGCCAATTCTTGTAATTTCCAGCAGCATTTCCTTTCATCGAGATCTTCTGTAGCTTGCAGGCTGTCTTGTGACTGGTAGGGATGTACGGCTTGGACTTCTGAAGGACATCGGGAGCTTCGATGATAGTAGCCGTCAATCCAGCCTCGACGTGCCACTCAATGTGGCAATGAAACAGGCTGACACCTGGATTGTCTGCCACGAAGCGAATTGTCACCGAGCCACCGCCTGGAATAATGATAACGTCTCGGCGCATTGGCGTCACCGGCCACGGGTTGGGCATATCAGGGATGCTTGGTGCTCCTCCAAACCGGTTGACGACTTGGAAGTTATGGCCGTGGAGATGAAAAGGGTGGTTTCCCACGTCGTGGTTGTCGATTTGCATCTCGACAACGGTGCCGAGGGGAAGAATGGTTGGGTTTACCTGACCATAGATGGCGGGGTTGTATAGGTTAGTCAGGGGTGCGCTGAGAACCGTGTACAGCGTTGGGACCTGAGGCACGTTAGCTCTTGTTCTCTACATAACCTCTTGAGCCATGCCTTCTGAGCAACATAGGTCTGTCCGTTGATATATCCCCGAATTTGATTGTTCTCATTGGCACCGAAGGAGACAGTGTAGTAGATCCTATGAATGGATTAGCCCATATAGTGAATGAGAAGGAAATTAGCCATACGTCTGTATCGTAGGCGAGTTGAGGAGAGGTTGTGCATCGTATGGCACTAGTTGTGTATCATCGAAGGGCTGGGGCGTGATCTCGAAGGGGTTTGGAAGTGGGGCCGCAGAATTGTAAACAAGCCAAGAGGTAACCTGCCCGCTGTCAGCGAGACGACCTCAATTATGACATGAGGATGCTTACCGATGGCAGCATTTTTGGCGAAATCTTGCTGGGATCGAACATGTCCATCGCCATGGTAGCCACGATCGCGAAGTTTTGGACAGCAGTTGGCTTTGCCTTGACAAGAACACTGTATCGTTGCGCTGTTGCCATGAACAACATAGGAACATCGTATGGCTGAGTGTAAACTCCATCGACCTCGACAATAGTCATAGTGTGCTGGCCAAACTGGAGCCATTGACTTGCGAATGCTCCCATGTTAATAATCCGAAACAAGTAGGTCTTGCCCGCCACGATAGGGAAACGGACATTCTGCGCTTCGTTGATTAAATTGGAATCTGGTACTGGTTCCGAGCCTGAGTTCTCCGGTGATTGATAGTAGTGGACCAAGTTTGGTGCCTCATCATGGTACAAATCTGAGAGAGTCATGACGATTTCTTGGTCGTACTTGAACGGTGGTGCCGGGTCATGAACAACAATGGGCCCTCGAAATCCGTCTGTAGAATATCAACAAAAAGCCAAGAAATCAGCAAAGAGGATTATACCAACATACTGCCCGCCAATGTGGGCGTGATACCAATAAGTTCCAGTTTGGGTCACCTAAAGCCACAATCAGGTCTCTGGTATTGAGAATATGCCTCCACTATTGATTGCCTTACTTTAAACTCGTATACAAATTCTTTGAAAGGTCAGCTGGGTATCGTCGTGCTGAAGTTCTTGGGACTTACTTTCTCCTGGAGCAATCGGGCATTGTGTGACCATCGCTGGCCCATCCATGAAGTTCGTACCATTCTGGAAAATTCCATGAAAATGTATGGCCGTGCTCTCATTTCCCAGACCATTATAAGCATTAATCTTTATAATGTCCCCAAGGTTAACATTAATAGGTGGGCAGGGCCATTGTCCGTTGATTCCGACGAAAGGTCGTGCCAATCCATCAGGAGAGGCTGATACCCATCCGATATTCCAATTAAAAGTTCGCAATTTGGCAGAGACAGCTAGAAACTGAAGAGCAAAAACGAGTGTGGTAGTGAAAAACATCTTGAGATGCTGTATACACTGTAAGAATACAATAGAAACGAGTGTAGGTTGAGGTTTTGAGGTCTCTGCTGAGTAGTACTGGCCTCGTGGTACTTGAAATATGCAATAGAGTGGGAGAGGAACTGAGGACAATAGTTTGCCCAGACAAGTAATTTCCAACCCGAGCCTCGCCAAGTATTGAATCAAGCAAGACGAGGGACGGAAAAAAAGGGGTGGGGAAACGCAACGAGTTGGGAAGCCAGAATCTATTTGGGTCTACGCCTTCTCATAATCGAATCGTCGCGTACCTGCAGAATGGGCTCAGGGTGTAGAAAAAAGCCATTTGCCAAGTTGCCAAGTCGCCAAGCCACGAGAGCACTCCGCCAAGCTCCTACGTAGTGCAAGAGACGAAAAGCGACGTTATTTCTGCCAACCAAGATATTCTGGGCCATGATAATCCGCTTTGTCTTTCTCCAAGGAAGAGCGAATGATGCCCTGAGCCCAAACTGTGATCTCATCCGCTTTACAGCCGAGCTAAGCAGCTGACTTTCCCCTTTATCAAATTGGCTTAGGAGAAAAGAAGCAAAGGGTACCCTGGGCAAAAATGAGACACAGTGACATACTGCCCTTAATTCATACGACGTAACACCGCCACCGGAAAACCCCGACCTTTACACCGGCAGGAACAGTCCGCCTCTTTATTGATTGTTGTCATTATTCTAGAATTCCGCCCCTTTGCTCAGAGGCGTTTAGGGAGTCATTTTTCAGCTTCAGCTGGATGCAACAAAAAGAAAGGGAACAATTGATGCCTCAGTGTCGAAATGTCAAAATGTCCTCAAAAAAAACTTTTTTGGGGGCAGTTATGGGAGTCGTTTATTTAAGCTTACCGCATCCCTCGGGTGTTTAAACTATTGGAAAAGACTGAGCTCGAGGTTCGACAGGGGCCGCCAAATGACCGTCTAGGAGGCTCGCTAAATGTGAGGGGTCATTTAGCGACCGAGAACTGGATTTTGGTACGAAAGGGGGTCTCAAGAAGTCAAAAACCACCCCCTAGTTTTGCCATCGCTGTTCGAGGGAAATTATGGGGTAATGGCTAATATCCTATATTTTTGGTTGGTCTGAGCGTCTCACCGCCTTGCAAGGGTGGCTCTTGACTTCCTGAGACCCCCTTTCGTACAAACTCAAGGAAGATGGAAGATACCAGTGAAGGATGTGAATAGACTCAGCGCATAAGGCTGGCATGGTGAAAAAGATTCTACGTTCTATAAATCTGTATTTAGCGCTGCCGCGACCTTCTCTATTCTCAATGATCTCTAAATACAGCTGGTCAGTAACAAACCATGCTCACGCCCTCTTCAAGAGCATTAACTAACGGCAAGACATTTGCTTGAAAACGAATCGAATGGATCAGAATGAGTGTTTCAAATGACACACAAGATCAAATAAAGTAACACAAAGGCCTTGGGTTGGCATTTCATTGTTCCAGAGCTTTTGGTACATTGAGTGTGCCTTGTAGAAGCCTGGTTGTCTAGTAAGGGCTGAGCATTTGAAGTATTCAAAAGTGAGGATTGGGAAGAAAGATGTTTTGTGAATGCGAAGAGTGACTTACAGAAAGTACCGCCAATTAATATCTTGTGGTTTCGAGAACCTCGCTGAGTGGCCCAGAACAAAGGCGGCTTAGAATAAAGGAGAAAACGGCTATTTTCGACACGTACTGACTAGCCTTCAACCATAGGACTGTGGCAGACTTAATAGGTGTTTCCCATGTAAATAAAATACTCTCTTCCTTGCCACGTTGTCATCTTCGACCCTCGTTGAGCATATTCCGGTTGTAGTAAAGCAGACCGAAACACACCGAAAGGAAACGCCGCTCTGCTAGAAGCATTTTCCTTGTAGCCCCAAGCCAAACAACAAGGATTCGACATGCATAGAAGGCAAACGCACTGTTAGCTATCACTGTTTGCTTTATATTTGTCGGAGATAGATATGAACCCCTAGTACCTCCTTTCATGATATGTGCAGTAAGGATAAGTAGCAAATTGGCCCTGATTCGAAAGATGAATTCCTTTTTCGAGTGCTAGATTATCGTAGCATCTTGTGTCGGCGGTACATCAATTTGTCGACGTAGCTTTCGCGATAGATACTTGAGCTCGCCCTCCACCAAACCTATTCTCTCATAAGTTCCAGGCATGTTCGGAGCTTTGATAAGTGCAAGCCCAGAAACGATTTCCGAAGCCAGTTCCCAGATTTGGCAGACTGACAGCAAGAGAAAAAAACAAGGAGTCTTGATGAGAGCATCACTTATCTCACTTTGGAAGCTCCATTTAAAAGGCATCTCCCTTCCGATTGCAGCTCCACACCAGGGTTTTCTCGTTATGAAATATTCCTGGATTCTTAACTCGAACAGGTGACCTTTTAATGTCAAAGAAGTGAGCTGCGATGCAACTCTATCGTACGATTGAGTTGCTGTAGGAGTGTTCAAAGCCAAAACCACCTTAGGAGAGAAGCTGTTTGTGATGGTAATGGACCAACTGGCAAAATAATACCCCACCGGGCCAGTAATACTCGCCCACGACCAAACCGGGGCTACACCGCTCCTCTTGGAACTCCAAGGTGCGGAATTGTCTCGGCTATAACTCTCCCAAAGCAATTGCTGAACCAAAAACGGTGCCCAGAGCCCATAAATATTTTCCCAGTCTCTTTGGTCGCTCAGCCGCCGAATTGTGCCACTGATAGCCATCAACCGGTCGCTCTTCTGTGTTAACCTAGCTTTTGTAAACAGCCGCACAATCTCGTGATTCCATACGAAGAGGGCACTTTGGCTTTGGCTAATCCCTGGTTGCTCGAAGCTATCGAAGATATTCTTGATTAGAGGAGTTTCCCTCGATTGCGTCAGGTCAGGCTTAAGTTCTGAGCATATCACCGTCTTGCACTCCCAGCTTATCAAAGACCCAAATTCAAGCGTCCTTGGGGCAAACAGCCTCTCCTGTAGGGCCCAGCCTCGAGTAGAAAGCGGAGATGGAAATTCAGACTGCCGAGGTGTTACTGACACAGATGCCGTTCTATTTCCCGACCCAGTAGGAGGAAGCTCGTACAGTTTACATCCTGCCACCTGGAGCGGGTCTCGAATTGTGAATAGGCCTTGATCGCAGGAAGAGGCACCCGATGCTGCGATTGTAAAGACACTATTGGCATAAACATCTGCCATAAGAGTAGCCTCCCGTTTCTAGTCGTTATGGTCATCTTGTATAATGCAGAGAGCATCGATCCAGATCCGTCGCTGTCCCAAGTGGAAAGTAAGATCGATTGCATGCTGCATAGTCCTTGGAAGTTGGTAGCTTGGGACCCCTTTGCTTGAAAGCTGCTCGTAATTTTTATGTAACAGTCTGACCTTACTTTCTCCTCCCCAGCAATAGCTGAGAGCCACATAAGGCAGAGAAACATCGCAGAATCTAGTTGATTCAAGCCTCGCCATGCGAGTGCCATCCTTTTCGTCGATAGCGATCAGCCGAGTGGGACGAAAATCATTGTTGAAGTGCTTTGAGCAGTTAGGATGCTGATCAATGCAATCCATAATCCATTTAGCTGCAAGCCGAAGAACCGGGGTAGAGCACGTAGCAGTAGATATTGGAAATACCTCTCTTTCGTCTGTCCCTCGTTAGTGCAAAGACAACAGATGAGCATATTTTCTTTGAGATCATTGCAAACAACCCGGTTTCGAAAATTAGTATCATCACCTCTGTAGGCTCCAGCCACAAAAAAACTCGCCTGGGAGCGGTCTTGAATCAACTGAACCGAGTTGATCATAGTCCCCGCGCTGTTTCTCCGACTGAGAGAATAGAAAATAATGTTGCACAAATGACATCGTTTTCCATAGGACTCATAGAACTCGTTCCAATTCTGGTAAAGTTCGAAGGATATCTCCTTCCCCTCCCTTTCAGTATACCGCCAGGGGACCGACCTCCTGTACCGCACCGCCAACTTCTCAAACCGCCCGGGGACAAGCCTTTGTAACAGTCGTACAGCCATGTTGGGTCTTGATGGCTGCCAGTATTGATTTAGTTCATGCCATTTTGCAAAAGCATGACATCTTTCACACATAAACGAAGTGACGACCTCAGCCTCTCGCGGTTGAGAAGGCTGGCTAAGATGCGCCGGTGAAGGAATGAAGGATTTGTCCCATAGCACCGGTCTTACGGCAGCTGTGATTTCTTGAGTAATCAGGTCGTGTGTTTCCATATCGAATGAGGGGTTTCGAAGGAAAAGATGAGTGTTGAAGGGAGGAAATTGGATGAAGAGACGAAGGGGAGTCGAAGGAATGTGCAAAGGCTTCGCCAGCCTAGGCCCAGTTCTCAAATGTACGGAAAGCGCTGGACTTTTGAGCACAGCCGGCCAAATCAGCAGGGGTTCAAAATACTCAGGTAGGGTCGAGGCAAACACTTCGTAAGATTTAGAAAATTAGCCAATAGCCTCACCAAAAGAGTGGAATAAATGGGATTCAAGTCTATCAACTATTGTATTTCATTTGACTAAAAAAATCTTATTCATGGGAAGGCGTTGAAGTCTGGAAGTGTCGGAGAGACCTAGCAGCAAAATAAGCGGAGCGGCGGAAATGCATAGGATATGACATTTTCAACGTCAACTCTTTCTGTGTATTCAATCGACTTTCAGGATGACTTCAAGAAACATCTATATATCATAGCACTCTCTAAATTATCTGATTTTTTTCTTTCGATTAGGAACTCCTATATCTTGAGAGTTATTATACCCGCAGTGGGCTGGCTTTAACAATTGGTTGCCTCGCAGGATGACCCCAGGAACCGAACAGTCAAATATAGTCATCTTCCTTTTCCTACTCCCCGTCCGGTTTTAACATGCTTCGATATTGCACTCCGGTGGCTAGCTCCCATTACTTTCCTAATACAGACACCCAGCAAAATCTATTGAAGCTAAAGCCTAAACATGTCCCAAAAAACTTGCAAACACCCAACGAACAAAATATCTTTCCCATTCGTCGTCGTACTTTGCCACGGCTCCCACCACACACCTGAACCCACCTCCCCTTTCTTAAATCCCTAAAAGAAGCTGGAATCGAAGCCTACTGACCCCAACTCCCAATCTCCGACCTCTCCAAACTAAACGTGGGTGACATCTCCAGCTCCGACCTCGATAGAGAACCACCAACAGACGGATACCTACAGACCTCAGACGGCGTGGAGGTAACCGCGACCCTTCTCAACCAACTCATCATCTCGGAAAACAAAAATGTCCTCTTGGTCAGCCACTCATCAGGCGGTTTCGTGGCAACAGCTTCCGCTACCCCTTACCTTCAAGGCAAACACAGAAAAACTCATAGTTTGTTTGCAGGAGCGATTGGGGTTTTTAACGCTTGTGCTTTTGTAGTCTCAGTACTTGTGATAGGGTAATCGATCCACAGTCTTTTCTAGCCGAAAGATGAAAGTCCTGCTGTGACGCCGCATTTTATCAAGTTCCTCGTGAGTTTCCCCTCAAAGTCCAAAATTGGACACAGAGTTGGCTCTCGCAACAGAAACACGGCATTGCAGGTCTAGGCACAGACATCGAAGCTGCAAAATTTTTCTTCTTCGGCCTCTCGAAAGACACGGCCGAGTATTATGAGTCAATAATGACAGCATCGCATGTGCTCTACATAGTCCTACCTATAGAACGATGCGGATTCTGTACTACCGTGTGTTTATCTTGTGGCAGAAAACAACTTGGCCTTTCCCGCCGCTTATAAGGAGGACATAGCTGTGTTGCAGAATCTGAGGGAGGAGATGGATATCAAGATTGTGAGGTGCCTGAGCGGGCACTCGCTGTTTTTGACGCGGACTGAAGGCCTTGTAGCGGAAGTGCTGAGATTCGGAAACAAGTTGGTTTGGCGTTAAGAAATCGAAAGATATCAACACAGACTCCACAAATCCCCTACATGGCCCCGAGACGTTAGTGCTCATTACAAGAACGAGCTACTCGATCCCTCGTCGAAAACTGTCCCGACTCCACCTTTTGAAACAAATCCAGTAGTCTCCTCGTAAGTCCTTTGGCTGCTCCTCTATCACAAAGTGCTCACAACTTTCAACCTCCCCACCCTCAACCCTGTCTGCCATCTCCATCGATACCATCAACTCCACCGCCGCTTGACCCGCTAGAGCCAGTACTGGCACCCCCAGTTCTTCTCCACAAAATTAAATTCTGCTCCGCACTCTTCTCGACATCTCGATAATACGAAAAATCACTACTCATAGCCCCTTCCCTCTCATAACACTCCACATACATGTCCTTCTTAGTCTTCGTAATGCTCTCCGGATGCACAGCCTTGAACTCAAACAGCCAGTCCAAGAGCTCCCTCTCCCTCTCCTTCGTCAATACCCATGTTCCTATTCAATGCACTAAGCCTAGCTCTGAGCATTCTTACAGTCTTCGAATGCTCGCTTCGAAGCCAAATTCCCAAATGCGAGTACAGACCGGCCACACCATTGGCAGAGCATTCGCCAGAGTGTTGGGATGTAAAGAGGTCAATCACATTGGCTGCCTTCCTCAGCTCGCTCAACACCAGCTGGTTTCTGAACGCGTCCTGCATATTCTCGTCCTCGATGTTGAAGGTCCCCATTGAAACAGGCACCTGTGCGACGGCAAACCCGGTGGATTGAACCAGGGTAGGCGGGCTCACCGTATCGTTTTCGTGGTCGGCTGTCACCCAGGACGGCGGCGGTAAAGATGAAGAGGCACTACCCGATGGTGACGAAACGGCCACGGCAGAGGGTCGAGATTCCGAGGAACTGCTCCCGGTGCACCCGGCCGCCTGCTGGTACCATATGAGAATGCGAGAAATAATAGAGGCATGCACCATGATCCGATGTCCTGATTTGGCACAAGGACATTTCAGCAGCAGGCGCAGACGGTTGATGGCATCGCTATTGAAATGAAGCACCTCGTCCAATCGTGCCAAGACCGTGTCTACATTTGCTTCGGGTGCGTGGAGGAGTGGGCTGGGACAAATCAGATCTCGGAAGAGCTCGTATGAGCCCCTTGGGCAGCTATGGGACTCGGGACTATCAAAGCTCGCGCTCAAGTTGTTGGCGGGTTCTGATGCTGAATCTGGGAGTCGACTGTCGCTTGAGAAGGATGGAAACTCTAGACTGGGGCCCCAGATGTCGAATTGAGCCCATTCATCGAGCGGTAAGGGAGTAATGAAATTCGAGTCAAGTTGGTTCTGTTCGTAGATGCTTGACGTATTGTTGATGTGAGAAGGCACCGAAAGGACGTCAATTGCTAGATCCGAGGTTTTGAGCAGTGCAGCTTCTTTGGCAGTTTGAGATTTCATTGCGCCCATTGTTGTGCGATTATCACAACTCTGGATGCTCGCCGTAGAGTTAAGACCAGAAGGCAATGGGAGGATGTCGGTCTGTGGATCCGAGGAACTGAGCTGTGGCTGTGCAGGTTTCTTGACACTTGGAGACTGTTCTAGTCCCATGGTTATATGATTCTCACAGCTTTGGGCTCTCCTTGTCACACGTTTCGCGTGCGAAACTCGTTGGACACATCGAGGCAAGCACTAAGCCTCTTCCGCGGGGGTTTGCCAAATTTGCGCGATATACCATAGACACAGGTCAGACCAAGCGCAACGCAACGACTGCACTTAGGCTGACCACGATCGCACCTAACCTTGGCGGCCCCGCAGCCCTCGCAAGAGGCTCGCAGTTTCGGGGCTTTAGATCTAGGGAGCGTGTCCGCCATGGTGGTTGGGGACCCAGGCAGAGTTACTATGGTAAGGTACTAAAGCGTGCCTGCAATAGCTTGCGATTTGGAACGTTTGGGAAGGATAGAGTCGCTGACGGCTGATATCCCGTATCAGCCACCGATGGGGCCTCTTTCAAGCTGTTCAGTAGAAGTGTACCTGAGTCAGTCAAGAGCTTATTGGAGAGGGTGGTTGTTTCTGGTACCGTTACTGAATCAAGGACGACCGCCCCTTTTCCCTGGTCCCGTGACCTGCAACTTTCGGGACCCGAAAGTCAATTCCTATTGGCTGAATATGAAGGCAGTTGGCCACCACCATGGTCTACATAACGTGGAGGTTATTCCCATTCTTATGATAATAAGTAGGGCTCACCAAGCTAATTTGCATCTATTATTCTCTCCATTTTTGTTCAGACCCTTACCAAAATCCAAAATGGTTAAGATCGCAGTGGCTGGCGGCTCTGGGCGTACGTCTCAGCACTCAAAACACAACAATAAACCACCCTGACTTTGAACCTGCAGAAGTTGGCCAGGAAGTGATCGATGCTTTAGCCGCTGCAAAGAAACATGAGATAGTGATTTTGAGTAGGAATGTAAAGTGACATCGATACCTTGTGTACTTGCATATGTATGTTACTAATGTAGCATAGAAGGCAGTCACTGGCGACAGCGCATCTGGAGTCACATGGCTTGCCGTAAACTACGACGACAAAAGCCAGCTTATTGAAGCCCTGAGAGGAATTCACACCGTCTTATCTTTCACCCAAGTCATGGATTATACGCCCCAGGAGAATCTGATAGATGCTGCCATTGCCGCCGGCGTGAAACGCTTTGCACCAAGCCAATGGGGGAGGTAAAGTTGACAGGAAATATGTATCATGGACATGGTATCTAATGGATCTACAGTGCGTCGACAATAGGCATGCCTTGGTGGGCAGGAAAAGATAAGATCAAGGAGTATTTGGAGAAGGTGAATGAGAATGGGAAAGTAAGGATGCCATCTCTTCTTACGCTCTCCAATACTCGTACTTCTTCTGACCTAGCTCGTTGCTAGGTCCTCGAGTACAGCCTGTTCCAACCCGGTCTATTCTTAGACTATCTTGCCACTCCGTACAAAACGGCCAAGTATCTAGAGCCGCTCAATACGATGATTGACTTTCAGAATCGACGGGCAATCGTCGTTGATGGTTATGACGCTATCATGACATACACCACTGTTAAAGATCTCGCTGCAGTCGTCGCTAGGGCAGCTGACCTTGATGGCGAGTGGCCTGTGGTTGGTGGTATCCGTGGCAATAGAGTGCCAGTCTCACAAATTCTCAAGATCGGCGAGAAAGTTCGAGGTGTGTCTTACCCTACCCACCAAATAAAGATTGAATTGTTCACAAGAAACTACAGGCCGCGCCTTTACCGTTGATAAAGTCAAACTCGGAGATCTTGAAAGGGGGATTTTGACGGCATCGTGGACACTAGAAGCGAGCCACCCAAGTGTTACGGGGGACCAGGTCGAGGAGATGCTAAAGACTGTTCTCATTGGCACTCTTCTGAGCAGCGCAAAGGGTGCATGGGATGTTTCGGACGAGTTCAACCAACTTCTGCCCGATTTCAAATTCACACAGATAGAGGAATTCCTTGCTCAGGTCTGGGAAGGCAAACCATAATAGGAAATGCTCTATGCTCCAAGTCCCAACTGGGTATGATATGTTTGCTGGTGTTATCAACTCCCTCACAACGCTTCTGTTCCGAAGAGGACTTTTGCAGTGCCAAAAAAGGTCTAGATGGAGCAATTGCACCGGGCTTCGCCTTCCGTTAACGGCAGTCGACCTAATCCCCCTTTTGCGCCTACTCACTCGCCATGCTCGCTTACTAAATACGCACAACGTAGCGAGAAATTTTCCTCTCAAGTGTTCCTGAGTAAAAGCCACAGGACCTTGACATCGGTCGGGTGAGAAAGGGGAAACAAAAGATGCCGCTCGGCTCCATGAAGAGAATTAGATTGGTGCTTGGGTTAGGGTGTGAGTATAGTACAAATTTCCGTCGCTCCTTTAGTGTAGGGGGTATCCAACTCAAGCCAAACCGAAAAACAACCTCTATTTGATCCGATCCTGCATAAGCTTCAAACCATGCTCCATATACCCCCCCAAATTATCGTATTTATCTTTCTATCCTTCACTCTCCACGTGACATTCTCCCTCGTCAGACTCATTCCCTGATGCTCTCCTCCGCACCAACCGTCTCGTCTTTCTTCGAGAAAGCGGCACTAGCCCACCCAATCCAACTGGCTCTCTTCCCCGCTCCATCTTCACCACTAACTTTTCTATTCTCAGGATGATCTTGCACCAACCTCAATGGTCTCGGTTTATTCCCCGCAAACGTCGTTGCTTTCTCTGATGCATGTGCTCTGGGCGGACTTTGGCTAGGTGGCGTTGTGACGCCCCCACTCTCACCACTCGAGCTGCTGGACTCGCTCTTCATGCCGGGGAAGTTGCCCGCGGTAGGGACTTGGCCTGCAGTTGCGGATGGGACACGATGTGCTGCGTTGGGGTTTCCACCAGGTTGAGGGGGCGCAAAGAAGGACTGAGAGTGTCGTGGTGTTTGGGGACCGTGGAGAGGAGGTGAGTTCGGTCCACCACGGTACATCTGGTTTACCACATTTGCGGCGCCGGCGGTGTATTGCTCGCTCATTGGGCGGCCGGTGCGGAAGCTGGAGCTGCGGGCGATGCCGAAGGGGATGCTGGGAGCGGTATCTGGGTCTGTGAGAGCGGAGTGTGTGGCTGGCATTTGGGATTGCGGGCGTGGACGCCGGGTTGCGTTCATGGCGACTGATTTTGCTCGTTGAAGGATCGAGGCTCCGCTTGCTTGCTCCTTTGGCGGTGGCGGGGGTAGCTCTTTGTCCACGTTTGCGCTGCCTGGTGTGAAGTCTGAGTTCTGGTCGAGGACCGCCTCAAAGTCCTTGTACTGGAGGAGACGCTCGATGATCTTGTTGATATATAGGGTCAAGGCCTTGTTTTCACCTTGGGATTTCTTCAATTCCACTTCGAGACGGCGGTAATTCTCGCTCTCCCCTTCTGCTGCGTCTGAGAGCTCGTCTGCTAGACTTGGTGCTGCTGTTCGTCCTTCGAGGGCATTTAGAGCATCTGCGTTGTGTGATGCTGAGCCCATGAAATCGCTCTTGGCGAAATCCCCGGTCAGGGTCTTCTCAGATAGCAGCAATTGATAGCTCTCGTTGTCCTCCATCAATCTAGCATTGGTCATTCGTGCTTCCAGAAGTAATCTCTCAACTTCTTGGAATCTGCCACCTCCCATGTTCTCCGATTCGACCAACTTAATTTGTGCCTCTGCCAACTCTAATCGAAGGGATTCAATCAACCTGTCCTTCTGGAGCAGAAGCTTCGAATTGTTTCGAGAATCGCTGCGATTCAAACCTGCCGGGGGCGCAAATTGACCATCAACGCTGGGTGAAGTATTATTTGCTAAAAGTGGTTAATGGTGAAGCCTGGTGAGAGAGGCGGTGCAACTTACAGCGTCTCGACAACCTGCTATCCTCATCCGTGTTTGACCTCCCGGCGAGAGAATCCTTCAGTCTTTGTATGATTGTCTGCATTTCCTCCTCACGATTAGACATGTCCTCCCTCTCCTTCGTCATTGAACTCCTCTCCGCCTCGTATATCGCCTCCATCTCGCGCTTTTGTCTAAGAGCATCGCGTTTCTCATTTTCTAGTGTCTCTAACCGTTCCTCACTCTCATGTAAACGATCCTCGAGCTTCCCTTGCTCCTGTAATGCTTCATCTAATCTCGATTGCAGGACTTGAGCCTGTTTCTGGAATTGCTCGGACATCGACTCGGTGTTGCGGAGGCGGTCTTTCAGATCATCTAGCAACGCGACCGTTTCTGCCCGAGCGTCATCGTCTACATCAGATGCCGCGCTGCTTGAGCTGAGATTCGAAGCGCCTGCGCCTGGCCTTTGCATAGCTGCTCGCGCGGAGACTGGAGTCCCTCCCCGTATTGATCGGCTTCGCGCGACGCCATTCGCAGTTGCTGATGTAGGCGTGGAAGCACGCGCTGGTGCTCGAGATGGCGAAGTGGAGGTTGGATCTGTCGAGGGTCTGCGGCCAGTAGGCGTGCCAGCTGCTGGCGGTTTTTTGGGCGCTGTCGACATTATTATTGATGTTGTGATGTTGACAGAGTGAAGTCTGGGAGAGGAGAATGTTGGAGGTCGTTCGCGGGAGACCCGAGGGTTGGCGCAACAATTCTCGATAAGCAAAACTTGCTGTCAAGAATAGCACAGCTCAGCTGCGCCTCGTGTTGGGTTTGAGATCTTTTTTTCTTTCCAAAGAGAAGAGCCAGACGTCAAGAGAGACAGAACTAGTCAGAGGCGCAGTTTGTAATCATCATGTGTCCTCTTTGCGTTGTTGACATTCAGGTAAATTAGCCTCCTCACGCGATTGCCCGGATTGATCCCAGGCGCATGAAGCCTCGCGTCGGCCGGATGAAAATGACACAACGCCAACCAAACAGGGGCTGCTTGACGGCTGCTAGACGTGATCTCCGGTCTCATGTAGATTGAAACACTTCCTACCCGGGAGATGCTTGGTTTCTTGCGAGTGGATCTTGAACAAGGCCGCCTCACAATGGTTGCAGCAGCCTCGAAGAAGGTTATTTGAATCACGTATGGCAGGATTATCCCAATCACGGTTACTCTCGAGGACTCGGGGTGCACGAGGTGGCCCAGTTTGATGTTCAATGACCAGATGAAGTCGGGCTAGAAGGCAGCTGTGTCCCATATTCCTAGCAGTAACATTATATGAGCACATCTATGGACTTGATTCTTTGCAACGTTCATGCATGGAAGCGTTTGCCCTTGCTAAGAAGGCCAGGGTCAAACGGGAAGGATTCAAGGATTTGAGGCTAGTCATGTGATCATGCGCTAGGTCTGAACTGGGCTAGTCGCTCGCAAGCCGAATCCGCACACTGGGGACAAACTTTGCGCGAATCCTCAAAAGAAAACTTTCCTCAAACCATCTACCACGCCGGAGCGACCACCACATTCAAGATCATCCAACAATCTTGACACGCAACGATGGCACCTACCAAGAAGACCAAGAAGACCGCCGACAGCATCAACTCGCGCCTGGCGCTTGTGATGAAGTCTGGTAAAGGTGAGAACATTCTTCTGGACAGGAATTTCAGCATCAGCATCAATTGCTGACCTCCATCCCTCACAGTCACTCTCGGATACAAGTCTACTCTCAAGACTCTCCGTTCCGGAAAGGCTAAGCTCGTCATCATTGCCGGCAACACCCCTCCTCTCCGCAAATCAGAGCTGGAATACTATTCCATGCTTTCCAAGACCAATGTGCACCACTTCGCTGGCAACAACGTACGTACATACATCTTCTTTGTCAATAAACGAAGCTTGCTACTTCTGCCCAATGACCAAACCTTCGGGTTTGCGAGGGTATGCCCAGCGATAAAGTCTTCCACGACTTTGGAGGGTATTCCTTTTGCTTACTTTTCCTGTTTCGCAGATTGAACTCGGAACTGCTTGCGGTAAACTTTTCCGTTGCTCTACGATGGCTGTGTTGGATGCTGGTGACTCCGATATCTTGAGTGGACAGACTGCTTAAGTGCAGTGAGGTGGACGACGGGCAACGGATCATGTATGCATATTCTGCATAGCTCAGCATAGCGAATGATACCCCTTCAACTGGACATGGCTCCTGGGCAATTTGTATGGGGATTCGACTGGAAGTTTGGACTGGGTGGAGGTCATTTCAGCAGGAACAGATTTGGCTCGGAGTTTGCTCGTGGATTTTCACCACAGCACCGGACAATAAAATGACCGCGAAATGCTAGAAGAATTGATCAATGTCCGAAACTTGCCTCGTATCATAAAACTCTCTCTGTTTTGATTTGCCTGGATTCATTTCGACTCATTCTGAACCATTGTGACTCTTCTCAATACCCGCGCCCCATTTTCAAAAATTTGCTGTGTGCGGAGATAAGCCCTGCTAAGCGAGCTACGTTGATTTCAAATCTCGACCATCTTCAACTTGGTACAAGACCTCTTGTCTTCTCTCCCCATCCCGCAACAACAACCACGAAGCCACCTCGAAATCATTCAAGATGGCACGAAGACCCGCGAGATGCTACCGTTACTGCAAGAATAAGGTGCGTAGGACGCGTTCCTGGCGGATGGAGGGATTTTGAAGCCGTGATGGCCACTTTCTTCCCCAGTCGCCACTTCACATTGCCAGAGAAACACGAACTGACATCCTATCTTTATAGCCCTATCCCAAGTCCCGATTCAACCGTGGTGTCCCCGATCCAAAGATCCGTACGTTTACGCCCCTCACGAGCCCGTCACTACAGTACTAATATACACCAGGTATCTTTGATCTCGGCCGAAAGCGTGCGAACGTCGACGAGTTCCCCCTCTGTGTCCACTTGGTCTCCAACGAGTATGAACAATTGAGCTCTGAGGCTTTGGAAGCTGCCCGTATTTGCGCCAACAAGTGAGCATATCCAGCGATGACGATCTTGGCGGGGCCAGCACGAAGGAGAGATTCGAAACCAGAGAGCCTGGTGTTTGGCAACCGCCAAGATGGAACATGAAAATGAATGGAGGCTAATGATGTCTACAGATACTTGGTCAAGATTGCCGGAAAGGAAGGTTTCCATCTCCGTGTCCGCGCCCACCCTTACCATGTCGTCCGAATCAACAAGATGTTGTCCTGCGCCGGTGCCGATAGATTGCAGACTGGAATGCGTGGTGCTTGGGGTAAGCCCAACGGAACTGTTGCCCGTGTCAACATTGGTCAAATCATCCTGAGTGTCCGAACTCGTGATTCTCGTAAGTTCACTGTAGTCCATTCCATAAAATCCATTCCTAACATGTTGTGAAGACCGCGCAACCGCTCTCGAGGCTCTTCGACGATCACAATACAAGTTCCCTGGCCGCCAAAAGATCATCGTTTCCAAGAACTGGGGCTTCACTCCTCTCCGCCGTGAAGAGTACATGGAGAAGAAGGCTGAAGGCAAGCTCTTGGTCGACGGTGCCTATGTCCAGTTCTTGTCCAACAAAGGAAAGCTGGCCGACAACATCCGAAGATTCCCTGCTGCTTTCCAAGAAGCTTAGGTGGGCGGCTGATGGTGCGTGGCAATTGGGAAAGAAGAAAGGCGTATTTTGCAAGGGCCGGATTGCATGATGTCTTACGGCATCCAGTTTTCTGATCGTTGTACTTAAGGAATTGCTACGACTTTCTGCTTTTACTTTGAGCATACCGATGTGATTCGTGTGAACTTCTGTACGGAGTGAAAGATATGCTAGACTGGAGGCAGGAAAGGGCATCCCTGGCAAAGCCGCAAAAGCAATAATGCCTGTGCTCGTTCGGAGTCCGCACCAGTCTGTTGACAACACGCAGCCCCAAGGAGGGCAGGGTTAGATGCGAAACTATCCCGTTCTGGCGATTGCAACGTCCATCTCATCTCACCGTCTTCTTGGATTCGCTTGAACAAATACACAAGTCATGCCATCAAAAGGCGTCACTGGCTGGGTTGGCTGTGCGAAACTCGGCCCGTATCCTGTTGTCAAAAACACACTAATTACCCCCTAACTGATTTCATCATCGCGCTGCGATAAGCAACCCGGGGATGTAACTCACCAGCGCCGGAGACGTGTAGCTGACGCCCAACATAATAAATTCACAACATAAATAATCACAGCTGATTACTATGCTGACTGCTCTTCACGGAACAATTTTGCAGTTGTTATATACTTCTTTACTCTCGCTTTTGACTTCCGCTGAGCCAGGGGCGTAACCCATCCCACGTGGTCCGTTGCATGTCGATTATCAGGCCCGAGAGCGGTGATCATCGAGCTAGGAGGGCACACGACCTGTATTCCCCCTCGAATCCCCTCACCTCAAACCTCCGTTCCATTTCTCCTGCCAGAAAGGGTCACATCAGCTACACTCCCCTGGCCCGAGCTGCACGGGTAATCAGCCTGCACCACCCGAGGCGTCCTTGCATTTGCATTTCACGATCACGATCCGGATAGTCTGATCTCGCTCCCCTGACCCAGCCTCCTCACCTCCGTCCGAACTGCATCCAGTCCCCGTACCAAGCAGCATACATTTCACAACTTCCGACGGATACCTCGTCTGCAAAGCTCTGGACATATCTTGACAGAGCACAGCAGCAATGGCCTTCCGCCAGCCCACCTACCACGCTCCGCAACGCATCTATACCCCTCCCTCCGTCGATACACAAGCACAAGCACAAGCGCACCCCACCATCCAACCTGCCACACAGCCTCAAAACCTCGCCGACTCCCAAGAATGGATCCTCTTCTCCCCGGCCGCGGAATCGACAACCGACCGCACGTACACGACCTCCACTACACGAACTCGAACCGCTGGCAGGAGCAGAATAAGTGATTTCGGGAGCTTGGATACTGCGGCGAGAAGCTATGGGTATGATGAAGATGGGGAGGAGGCCATAGAGGAGGAGGAAGAGGATGGCGAGTTGGATAGTCTGGATAGTCATCTGCATGAGTTTAGGGAGCCGAGTTTGTATAGACAAGCGGAGGCTAGTGGCACTGTTTTGCCGACTCATGATGGCCTCGGGAGTTTTAGGCTCGATCAGATGGGCATGGGAGAGGAGGTGCAGGAGCATTTGTATGCGTTTGAGAGGTTTAATCCCAGGAGGGTGAAGAGGAGACGAGAGAGTGTTGACTTGGGGATGCTGGAGCTGGAGAGTGAGAGGGCCGCGGAGGCGGAGAGGACGAGGAGGATTGAGACGTGGAGGATGGAACAGAGTCGGTTGTTGGTGGACGAGATACAGAGGGAGACGAGGAGAAGGAAACAATCGATGTCTACTCAGAGAGAAAGCATCCTTGCGGATAGGGAGCAGGAGGATGTTGCTACATTGAGTAATGTGGATTTTGGCTCTGAGCAGGATGAAGTTCCTGGTGATGAGAACGAGAGCTTCTGGAACAGGATCACTAGGAGGGTCATTCGAGATCTGATGGGTATCGACGATGACCTACTGTCAATAATCTTCGGCGAAGCTCTTCCCCAAGCAGACGACCTCTCAACTACTCCGCCGGTGGAAGAAGCCGGCAGCATCATTGCTGCCAACCGCTACGACCAATCTTCATGGGAGTTCCGAGTCCTCGAACGAATAGCCCGCGAGGTTGGGATCCTCGTAAACCAGATATCGGACCACCCAGGTGCCTTCTCGACATACCTACACTCCCAACAGACGCCCCTCCCTTACGCCGGCCTTCCCGTCATCCCAGAGACAGCAAGAGATGTCCCAACTACCACCAACCCAGAAGAGTCAACATTTACTTCCACGACAGGCCCTCAATTTCTCCCAACCCTCCAAACCACTCAACCGGTATCAATCCCCATCCCAACACCAACAACCTCTCTCGCCTCACCTCTTCCCCTCGAAGATCCAGACTCCACACCCCGCCCTCCAAATCCCCTTTCTCAACCCCTAACCCGCGAAGAGTGGGAGCGCGACCTCGACCTAAAAATGGTTTTCCGCTACCTCCGTTCCCGCTTCGTCTCTAAATTCCGCTCCTCGCCTCCCACAGATTTAGGCTTCACAGCAGGAATAGGAGGAACAAGCCACCTCGCAACAGCAAGCACAGCCGACACCGCCGCCCGCGCAGCAAGAGTAAGGCAACATCATCCGCTCGTCACGAGGCAAAAATCCAATACAGAGAGGGATCGGAGGAGGAGTATTGAGAGGTGGACGTGGAAACCCAGTATTCCTACTGGCGGAAGTGCATCGGGAATTGCAGGCGGGGGGCTGATGGGCCATGTGAGGAGAGGGAGCAGTAGTTGCGCTAGTGAGAGGTTGAGTGCCAAGGGGCTGGGAAAGAGGAGTGGGAGTTCGAGGCATTATTGGGATTTTGGGGGGCAGAGTGTGGGGAGTGGGAGTTTGGTCGCGGGCGTGGGGGGCATGGGGAGTTGGGGCGAGGTATGACATATGAGGTGTATGATTACGACGAGATGAGACGAGAGTTCATGAGATCAATACGTCTTGAGATACGATATAAATCATAGCGGAAATTTGGCTTTCGGGTTTTATTTTGCGTACGTTGGGTTACTAGCATGGCGGAAGTGGTCGATAGCGAGCGACATTGGGGACCATCTCAATAGAGACTTTCAGCAAACACACTCAATTTACAGAGGATGAAGACTTCCCTCTTTGCGTTGGTCTTGTTGCGCTTTGACCTCCATGTGTTCCATTTTGGTGTATGCTCCAAGTTGGGGAGCTAGTCTATGCCAGTGGTTGAAGCCAAGCGGGACGTATTTCTCTTCTCAAAGGCGAGCCGCATGTTCGGCCTTTCTCTCTGATGCTCCAGTTTGATCAGGAGAAGCACGCTGAAATCTTGGTAGAAATATTGCCTGGAAACCATCGTTTTTGACAATCAGAAAACGCCTCTAATTCCATTCCCATCCCACGCCACATTTTGTCCTCAAGACGAGAGCTTGGCCCCAACTCATAGTACCTCCAGTGCGCCTCATTGCATTCCGTCCCAAAATCCATGCAGACAAACTGTCCACTCGTATGTGAAGTGAATAAATACAGGGGTATATCCAAATGCCCAAAAACGCCACCCTTCATGCCGGAATCGTACTGTACACGTGAAAAAAAATCGCTTTTGCAAATGCTTCACCACTGTGCAAAGACGACAAATGGAAGGTTTAATTATATGAGCAACCGACTCTACGGCACCAGCGCAACCAGCGAGTATTTATCGATGGTAAACTCGCCCAAGAGAATCGGAAGATGAGTGCTTTCACGTATCATGATTCGTCAAATGTTTTGTCGATCGCTCCAAGAAGCATTTTCCAAACGTTCCCGTTGGAAGCGGTAGTATCGACGATGTCCCTGCATGAAAGTTAGGAAATCTGGTCCTCGAATGCTACCCGAAGCTACTCACATTGCCTGTCCAAGATTATCGTCTAGATCCTTGAGTCGTTTGAGACCAACCTCGTTTTTCCCGAAACTAATGAATTGGATGCCTACTTGCTTGGAATCTTTGGTGTATCCGAACGCTATCAACTTGTCAACAAGATTCTTGATTGCGGACGAAGCGTCGCATCCAGGTTCCCAGACGCCATCGGTGAGGACGTAAATATTCAGTGGCCGCACATAACCCATTCCTCGTGAGAAGGCGTTACTCAACTGCGACGTATAAGGCCCCAAGATAGCATCTAGTCTGTAAGTAATGTTGACGGTCCCTTCAATTTTAGACCGCCTCTGTTGTACATAACCAACAAGTTTGGAGGATGAATTTATCCCAAAGAGATTCTTGCTATTGTAGACTTCCTCGGTCATCGTGAAATGCAAATCGATACCATTTGGATCGGCCGCTTTGACGATTTTGGCCATAACCCCGAACACGGCCTCGACATCATTCCAAAGAGGTGACATAGACAAAGCGTCATCAATTATGAATAACTGTGCTCAGTTAGCAACTGAACGATGAATGGAGAAAGTGATTGATGTTTACGTGATCTCGCTGCTTCAATCGAGGGAAAAGATTTTTATAGCCAGTGAGAGATTCGGCTTTTCCTTTGGCTAACACGGAGATTGCAGTGGCAACTGATAACACGGCAGGCGGTTTGTTCTTTGGCTTTTGCTGAATTGCTGGAGGTGATTCCGGCATTGGAGAGGTTGTTTCAGGCAGGGGATATCTGCTTGGCTGCGTTGGCGAAGTAGATGTCATGGCTATGAAATCCTCAGTGTCAGCATTGCCTAACGACAGTACGGGGAAAGATCCGAACACAGCCGATGAGCAAATAGACCCTGGCTTTACTTTTCATTTATGGTAGGGACGCATTGGGAGCCGATAGAGGAAAAGGCGTGCTTGAGGAATACATACCTTGACGAGAAACATCCATCATGCTTGCTGCGCCGTTTTCAGGAAAGCTTTCCACGTGTTGTTGCATTGGGTGTTGAGCTGCGGCCACCCATCCTGGTGGAGCTTTATTTTGATTCCAATAACTCATCGGCATGTTTGGGTGATCATCCCCATTAAAAGCCTCGTAGTTAATCGGTGCGACGTTCGGATGCTGCTGTTGTGAGAAGTTCTCCTGGGTCCAGACTGGTGGTCGGCTAGGACCTGCATTTCCAGAGGAGCCATCTTCAAAAGCCCCCTGCAAGTAATTACCTGAAGGGGCTCGTCCCTGGCTGAAGTCTGAGTGCGGATACGGGTTATGAGAAAAACTCTCTGGTGCGTGTCGAAGGGTGCCGAAGGAATCTGATGTTTCGCCACGCTGCGTCCTGTACAAAGACTCGACGAATTGTCCACTTGTGCCAGGCGGCATGCTGACCACGTTTCTCGCAGCAGTGACCTGACCTGGAGAGCTCTGATCAAACTCATTTTCCATATGAGTAGGAAGCCCGCTCATGCTTCGGGTGACCTGGTGCATGGGCTCTGCTGACCCAACGTCGTGGCTTCGTGCACGAGGGCCCATATTTGGATTGAAGTTTAAGTTATTGGCATCTTGAAACTTCACAGAGGGGCGGTGGGTCTGGCGGCTTGATTGAGGATAGCGGGTCGTTACTTGTGCCGAGGTTTTGCGCTGGGATTCAAATCTACCAAGTTGGCCTCCCATCTCCCCTTGATCGAAGTTGTCGGTCTCATGGAGTGCAGGCGGGGACAAGACCCTTGGGAAGTCTCCAAACTGACCAACGTTTTCCGCCAATAGGTCAGGGCGTGACGGTGTCGAGGAGGTAGAATCAGATATACTTGGCGACGTGGGCGGGCGTGGCTTCGTGGGAGTGTTTAAATCCGATCCCACATTCCCCTCTTTCAAATTTCCCTTTGCTTTCTCAAGTATCCGTCGAGACCACCTCCAGAAGAACGTCGCTTTCGCTCGAGATTTCTCATCATAAAGCATGCACTCGATCAATTGCAACACCGGCTCCGTGATGACGTCGTCTCTCCGCAAACGTTTCTTCAAGCGTTCATGCCAGATGGCTACTGTATCCAGCACTTTCTGGCCATCGTGAAAACAGTCAGTGCCTCTGACTTCGGGAAACCTATTGGCTGCCGCCTGTCGATCCCGACAGTACTCTTTTAGGCTTTGATTGCCTTCCACCAGCCACACCGCTGCCACGCTGAAGACGGCTCCAAGCGACCATACATCGACTGTTTGTGTGACCTGGAGCTTGCTCTTTCCAAGTGTTTCGTCTGATCTGCAACACTCTGGCGCGCCTGAAAGATATTGTTAGCCGTACAAGTCTTCACGTGTAGGGAGAAACCAACCATAGGTGCGAGTTCCTTGTGAGTCTCGGTCTGTAGCATCCTCAGTCGATAGGTCTGATATCTTGAAGTGACTAACACCCAGATCGGCAAGTTTGAAATGCCACTCGTACGGCGATTTAGTGTTATCACCCAAGGATGTGACTAAGATATTGGACGGTTTCACATCTTGATGCCATCTAAAACAGTTAGGAGAATGCAACAGTAGAACTGGCTGAAGATAGACTTACCCATTTAAAGGTCGGGAAGACCCGTCAGAATTGAGAACAATTTCGCCGCCATGCACAAACAGCAAGGCCTCTATCAAGTTGAACAAGTGTTCCCAGAACGTGATTATTTCTTCTCCAGTTGTAGGGGGTGTTATCTTCTTGAAATAATCTTCGAGAGTGCCTTTATCGGCAAACTCAAGGATTATGTTATAACGATCTCCATGCCTGAAGCCTCCATAGAAACCTATCATACTTTGAGTTTTCGTTCGAAGCAGTCTAAAGGCCCCGACTTCGGCTAGGTAGTTTCGTTCAGCGTCTTCGCCGAAGTAAGTTTTGAGCACATAGGTATTCGTAATTCGATGATTCGACGACTATAGTATTTACAGTCAGCGCAGTAAGAGACATACTTGCAGAATGGGCATCGACTTACTTGTTGAGCACCGTTCGAAGAGTTAAGCTGATTGTAAGTCGGACATATCTCGATCTCGTAGAGATGTGCACTCACACCTCCACCAAGTCTCTTTATAAACTTGAAGGGAAGAATCTGGCCATCTTCAAAGATTCTGTGCTCGCGAAAGTCAATCTTCGGTGCGCAGACAACCCACTGTTCTTGGCAGAACCGCCGGAGGAACTCGCTCTGATCTTGATCTGTCGTACATTTTGGGAAGTGTCGTGGAGGGTATTGATCGTCAAAAGGCAGATGGGAGTCCTGAAGGTGGTCGTATTCCACAAATCGCTGAATGTATTCAGGCCTGCCAATCAGTACCAATGTGCAGAACACTTGTGCGCAATTATCTGCAACCTTTTCAGGACCGATCGGAATATCTCCCACCGGAAATGCAATTCGAAGAAGCTTGTTGAGCCTGTAATGGTTGTTGGCTTTGAAATAAGTCTTCAAAACGTTCGCATCGAGCATGAAGGGCTTGACATCGCTGGCTGGATCGATGAGGCCGGGCTGACTATTGTCGCGAACCCAGTCAAGAAATTCTTGATATGCTGGGTGGCTGTCCAACCGTGACGACATGGTGGTGGTTTCAAACGTGGAGAGCTCGTAGTGGGTAGGTCAACCTCTGGGTTACAACACTTCGTGGAGGGGTAGATCATAGATGTGTGACTCGGCGCATTGGAAGGAAAACGATGTGTCGGTGGGGGCGGTATATGGGGCTGCAGCTTTCCGATGCGGATGCCCTGGGGAGCGGCAATGCACATGAAATGCAGCGGAGGCTTCAATAGAGATTTTGGAAGGTATATTTGGTGCGGATGTTGAGGCTGAGAGTCCCCCGATGAATTAATTGACTGAAGGCACCGGGGCTATCTTGCCAGATGACTAACAAAAAACAGAGGCTGACCAGACAATCCGCCAATGAAATAAAACTGATGCAGGTTCCCCGCCGTCTTGTCAATGGTACCTCTAATGGCACCAAAATATCACGCATGCCAAGAGAAGTTTGATCGTTCCAGGAGCCGGGTTGGAGCAATATGGGATCGACCAAACTTTAAACAAATCCTCCATGGTTAAATTATCTTCTTTATGGGGGAAGTACAGGAGCGCCTACTAGGGAGCTAGCGAAGATACCCACTCGGATCGGACCGAACCTTTTGATACTGTACACACGGAGAAGAAATTGCAGAAGGGGGGTGCATACAGTATTGAAGCGCCTGAGGATCTCCATTTGCCAAGCTCCATGGAAGTGACGCGATAGGACATGCGCCTCCTTGGGATGGCATCGCGGAGATCTTCCCGGCGATCCGGAGGAGGCTGAGCGCAATACAGCAACGCGGGTGATCCGACGAACTGAGCATGAGAATCTGGCCCTTGCGCATTCTTGGCCAATTGAAAAACTGGGAAGTGTGATGCTTAAAGGACTGATTCATGACTTTTGGAAGGATTTGCCGAACATTCTTTCACATACGGCAGCTTGTTTAACGTCACGTCTGTATGAGGTACCTGAAACTTCGTTCATCTCAAAGACTCAATCCCAACCTTGATTTCAAGAACACACCTTTCCCCTGAAAAAGGTATGCTAGCCCAACGCGACACAAAATTTGAGAATATCAATTTGCATTTATCGGGCTCTTTGTAAACTTACAAAAGGCGGTTGCTTCCACTTTTTGAAATGTTTGGATTCACATACCACAATATTCACGATCTCTTGGGCGATATTTAACCCGCTTCACCGGTATGTGTCAGATTTCTTCCTCTCCAATATTAAGCGCGAGGCATTCAGAGTCTACACAAAATCTTGATTTACAACTTAATACAAATAATTCACACCACCAATAGGTATATACCGATTACCGAAGCAGACCAGAAAAATTCTTGAACTCCACAAGAACAGATTGGATCATCACGAGCCAGTCCCGAGGTGCTTTTGTACAGCTTTTGCTCGCTCCTTTCTATCAACCCAAAAATAAACGCCGTACCAAGAGGCAAAAGTCAGCAACATCATCGGCAGAGTAATAGCCAAATATAACTGCAGCGCACCGAGTTGGAAAACCTCTTGTGACTTTCCATCGGCTGATACCTGGTACTGAACAATGTCCGTACTCATGATTGTCTAGCTCAAAATCAGCACATCACTTGTAGATAATTAATAGCACTCACCGAGATGAAGGTGCCGGGTAGGAAAAAGAGGGTCACTAGAGTGATGATTCTCATCGACACAGTCTCTTGCTTGGTCTTCTTCGCAATTTCATGCATGTCCTGGGTCATGATCTCCATGTTTTCTGTAGAGAGCTGAGCTTTGCTAGCAAACAACTTATTGGACTCCATATTGCGGTAATCTAAGATGCCGTAAAGCTTACTCAAGTCAGCATGAGGCAGAAGCAACAGAAGGAAACACTTACAAGGCTCTTTCGGTCTGTGAGAAGACGCAGTAACATCTTTGTCCTCGATTCCTGCATTTTAAGATCGTCGATAATGTTTCCAACGACCTTCTCGAACTTCGTTAAGTCTCTTGCGCAAGCTGACTTCAATGTTATGGGAAACTCGTCAAATGTAAACGTTTCTCTATAGTGCTCTTTGACTTTTGAGAGAGCGTTGATATTCGATTCCAATACAAGAATAACTTCGTTAGCTTTTTCCTCGAGGGACTGCACTTCCTGCAAGTCATTAAATGAGAAATCTTCATCGGTGTTCAAGCTCTCTTGGGACTCCGCGGCTGAGCTGGCTGGCCTTGGGGCTGTCGTTGCTTGACGATCCGAATGAGGGTATGAGGTAGTTTCCTTGATACTACTTCCAGAATGCCAGGGTGCTTTCTCAGGTATAGATAGCGGGGAACTTGGTACTCGAGACGAAGTTGCCCGTTGCATCATTCCCTCATCTGGACGCCTCTCGATTCCGTTCGAGCTTTTGTTGAGGTCTATTAGTAGAGCCTCTCGAGTTAAGCGTTGAAGTTCCTGCTCGAGAAAGTTTATATGCCATCGCCAATGTTCATGACACCAATCAAAGATAAGCAGATGGGATTGAAGTGTCGAAGAGAATGAAGCAGCCAGTGAGGTTAATTCGAAAGACTTAGAAGCTTGAGCTCTTCTGGCGTTTGTAGCTGATTCGATACGCCTTTTGATCAATTGGTCGCCTTTGATGATAACCCAGAATGCTTTTCCAGTCTCAATATCAAAAGAGTGGTAAGTTGCTGTCTGCCGAATTGACCACGGCCATTCTTTTTGACCTTTTGATGGTTCCACTGACTTCAGATTATAACACATCCGAATATCTCGTCCAGATCGTCCAAGCTGGGGAAGTTCTAACCCCCTTTCATTGATGGATAGTCGATCTTCAGCTCGAAAGCCACTGAATTGGAAATCTTGCGTGTAGAGCTGCTTGCCGAATGGAAACAGAAAATCTAGAAATGCCGGCATGACTTGGTGATACGTGAATGTAAACATGAGCATTTTTCTGGTTGTCCTGAGTCGCTCTCTTGAGTGGGGTGCATGTACAAATCTGTGTGAAAAGAGAGACTTTAGCAACCAAAAATCAAATCATTCATCCATCCCCCTCGGGCAGAACTCACACAAATCTACATTGGGGATCGACTCGATCAAAAGATTGGTTTCCAGTCAGATAGTCTCGCAATTCGAAATTGCTACACAGTGTAATGTTCTCGAAACCTAGTCAAGCCGATTAGATACCATTTCAATGCAGCACCCCCTCATCTGTAGCCGCCAAGAGTAGAACCAACCTTCAACGCCATCATCGTAGTCTCGTAGGCACAGGTTAGCCTTCGATTCATCGAAGAATAGCCTATCCTCCTGCTCATCGAGTCGCTCGCTGTACCCCTTCAAAATATGATCGTAAGTGCCATCGTAGGGAAGATTGAGAGGATATTCCTCCGCCGTAGCGCATGACTTTGCGAGTCTCTCGCCTTCTGCTTTCGACATCTCCTGCATGGATGATGATTGAGGACTAGGCGAATATTGATTATAGGAGTCGTGATTGCTGGCAATCCGAGAACACTGAAATTTTGTTGTTACGATAAACGCGTCAAAGAATTCTGCAGTTAAAAGCAGCTAACCCTGCCCCAATAATATGAGGCTCATGCCATTGGCGAGCAGTGCATGTGGCACCCCGAGTATTTGGGGCTGAGCGAGGTTTTCCATGTGGCTTTCTAAGGGCGATGATCGTCATTCGTGGCCTGTGTGACCGTCGGGGCCCTTGATTCGTGGCGAACTCGCCCGAGCCTGAGCAGGCGCAGTAGCTTTAGACATGGCTGAAACCAAATCATATCGATGATTTGTCAAGGAACTATCATCTACTCCCACCTAATTAAATGTAACATTGGGCAAAGTGCAGGGGATTTTTGCATGGTAACTGGACCGTACCGGGCTGGTTTTGCGGGGATCCACTATTACATCTATTTGGGGGGGGGGGGGATCAATGACTCAAACAACCCCAGTACACAAATATATTCTATCTTTAAGGCATTTAAAGAATTCATTAATCATGTGACGTAAACCATGCTACAAAGCGTTCGACAAATCCAATGTAGGCTGCTCAGCCCGTCCCAGGCCACCAAACCCCGCTAGCGTCCCGGCCCAATGCCCTGACTAAGCCCCCAGAAACCCAGAAACCCACCAACAAATTCTGACTCTCGTACCGAATGTTCACTCCTGCTGCTCTCTCTTTCCGTCAAGCTCCTCAAACTCAACCTTCGTTGCGGGCAATATTAGCACGCTCAAAGTCCTCAAGGCAGGCCGAGGACTTACAACTGTCAATTTCCGCGGAATGTAAAAGATCCAATGATCTGATTTATGCTATGATCACGAAGAATGTCAACCAATGAGACCCAAGATTCAGTACTTCAAAGTGCCTTACATGAAGTTGAAAATCGTACGGTCCAAACAACGATTCCAGATACTCTTGGACAACCTTTTCGGAGAGACGGTATGAGGTAATCTTGTCTCTCTTCAACTTCGTGCTAGCCTTCGGCATGTTGGCCAGTCTTCTCTGTCTCGTTTAACTGGATTTTGTTTCAGGGTTTCGGATTTTTGGCGTGGGCTTTGTCGTATCTTGATTCCTGGGCAGGATTTCCAGGTTGTGGCTAGGCTCTCATGTTATATGCTGCGACTTCTTGTTCAGCCTCGTTAAAGGTGGTGACACCAGCTCCAGGCTGCGGTGAGGCGGCCAAGGCAAAACGATTCACTTGTGCCAATCATTTGCAGCATTTCCTGGGTCACCATGCAAACGACGACAACCCTAGGGAAATGAATTATTTTCCCCCGGCCTCCGGTGTGTCAAATATGATGCGAATTTCACTGTGCGTGCCAAAGATCCGGAAACCCCAACCAGGGGCAATTTTCAAGTGCCGCAGAAGTCAGATAAGGATTTCGCAGTGAGGGAAAAGACTGCCCAATTTGTATTTTTCGTGGAGTCGAACCTGTCATCCTCCCCTAGAAGTTAACCCATCCGCCAGGCAGGAAGGAGGATGGAACCTCTGTTCTTATTTCGGGGCAGAGAACTCGTGGCCGACCTTTGTATCGTTGCCAATGCCAATTGATTTCTCTCCTTTAAGTCAAGCGGCCTACTGAATTCTGTCCTAAGCTCTGGGCTGGGATCTTGATTAGGGCTACCTCTTGTAAGCTTGCCACTTGCGTCACAATTTCCTTCCTTTCCGAAGACTATAATGAGGATTATGAAATTTGTCAATTCAGTTTCTTCTTTTGATTCAGCATGGCGTAATTCGGGGATGTTGTTTGGAGAGGGGTCTTCTGGTAGTAAAATGCCACATGCAAAAGCAGAGTGTCTCTCAAGACGTTTGTCGTAGAGGTATTGAAACGTTGTGTCTTTATTTCGGATGCCTTATTATTGTTTTCAAAGGTATTTCGCCTAGAACTAGCCAAATTAGTTAATAACTATTACTTGAGCTTTAGTTATCTATTGCAGAAAGCAAGGAACAGTGATTTGCATGAATGGCTATTTGATTAGAAGCTCGTAAGGAGCCTCTGGATCTAGCTAAATAATGGGGAGCTGCTGAGTAAGCTAAGCTAAGCTTCCTAGTACTTATATTCGTATAATATTATCTTATTTATAAGTAAAAGTAAAGAAGCTTTTTATATTATAAAAAGTACTTAAAATTATTACTTTAAATTTCTTACTAATTCTAATTAGAAAATTATATAGTTATATAATATATATTTTTAAGAACTTATAATTTGCTTTTAAACCTTAGAAATATTTTATTAATTTCTTTAAGGTTATTTAGAGTATTATAATATTATATTTAAAAAGTAATACTAAATTTCGCGAAATAATACTCTAATAATATAATATATATATAATAAAATTACCTATTTAAAAAGCAGCTTTTTTAAGATATTTTAAAAGAAATAAAAATTAGTTTTATATTTAATTTAATTAATCTTTTATTAATTTGATATATTTTTAAAAGTATAATTTAATTCATTATTTTAAAAAATATCTTTTAATAAATAAGAAATAGAAAAGAATCTTAATATTTAATAAAACTTGTTTTTAAATATATAAGTAAATTAAAAATAACGAGATTAATACTTTTTAATTTAATAATACTAACTTTTCTTTATTTTATATAAGCTAAAATATAATAAAATTATAAGATATACTTCTAGATTTATAATTATAATATTCTTTTAAGAACAAGTATTTTTATTACTAGTATTATATAAAGTAATACATAAATTAGTATAATTAATTAATATTTAAAATATAATAAAAATAAATAATAAATAAAAGAATTTAATAAGCCTAAAATAATAATAATTACTAGTATTAATTATATGCTTTAAAAGAGTAGTTTTATAAGTTTAAAGGCTTATTTATTATAAGAAATAGAAATCTTAATTATTATTAAATTTATAATAATGAAAAGCTTTTAATTATATTTCTTTTAAATAAGTTTAATTACTATTATAACTTTATTATTATTATTTCCTTTATTAAAATATATTAATTATTATTAGAATACTTTAAATAATAAGGTTACTTATTTACTTTTATAAAATTACTTTTTTTATTTATTTCTTTTTATAAAAATCTTTAAAATATATAATTTATTAATATTAGCTATTTTTTAAAAAATACTTTTATAAAATTAATTATTATTTTACTATAATTAAATGCTTTTAGCTTCTTTATAGTAATAATAAATATAATTAGCTTCTTTTTTATTTTTTTATTTTTTATAAATTAATATTTAAATTAAGTTTCTAAAAAGTTATTAAAAATATTATTATTTTTTAAAAGAAATAATAAGAGTAATAAAAGAAATAATAAAGAAATATATTAATTTACTAATAATATTATAATATTCTTAAATTTAGTTAAATTAATATATAAATAATAATATTTTTAATAATTTTTAAAAGTTAGAAATTAATTTTACTAATTAATATATAATATAATATTTAATTTACTTATTAGTTATTAATATTACAGGTATAGCATTTAGTATTTGGAAAACAAGGTAAAAGATTCTTTATAAAGACAATTTAAAGCTAAGAAAGAAAAAACTAGAATATAGAAGGCTATAAGGAAATATATATATCTTATAATATACTAGTCTTAAAGGGGCTAGCTTCTAAATTTCTCTAGTATATTCCAAGTATATTTCCCTAATAAAATAGCTATATTATATATATCTAGAAGGTATCTGGGAATTATAATAATTAAATCCTTTATAAAAGCTAAATAATATATTTAATATTTTAAAATAATTTAATATAAGAATTAAAAAGTACTTTTATTATAAAGTAAAAATATTAACAATTTCCTAAATTATAAAGTCTTTATTAGTTTTGAAAATCACGTTTAAACTTTTTATATTATATTAAAAGTTAATTACTTATAGTCTTATTACTAAACTAATTCTAATTTATAAAATAAATAATATTTAGAATATTTTTAATTTAATATATTTCTCTAATAAAAAATAGGAATAAAAAAACCATTTTAATATAAAAAAGTAATAATTATTATATAATTTAAGTAATTAATATATAAATATTATTATTAAAAATTACTAAGGCTTTCGAGTTTAATAATTAATAGTTTACCTTAAAAAATATAAAAATATATATTTAAAGAACCCCTAAAATTTAATATAAATACTTTATATTAAGAGAAAATAACTAAAATAATATTTATTTTAGTATTAATAATATTATTTGGTATTATTTTAGGCGAGAAAATACTCGAAGCAAAATTTAAAATATGCTTTCTATTTATATTTAAGGTTCGGAAAAATAAACTTATAAATTAATTCTAAGTTTAAAAGAGATTTTAGAAAACTCGTAATATAACATAAAATTCTTGTTTTGCTTCTAGTAATTGCGCTATGACTTGGAAGTGAAGTCAGTCTATTTGCATCGACTGTGCAGGTCATGCAGCGTCTGACAGTCTTTTGCCAGTGCTTCGATAATGCCAGTAACTGAAGCAGCTGCTCCGATAATTGTCAATGGTCGACCATTGTTTCCGAGCACTTGAAGGAGAATTTCGAAGCATTGATGAAGAGACGTTAACGAGGTTGGCACTTGACGCAGTTGGAAGTTTTCTGAGTGACAATGAGGTTGCACAGCCTCCAGCTGGGCGTGCATCTTCTGCAGGCCGCTTCAGGGGGGGTCTTGGTGGCCTCGGTAAATGCATTCGCAGTCTTATAACGCGAGACGACAATCCCTTGACCTCCGCACTTCATCTTTTCATCAAAGTTTTGCCCACAGCAGTGCATGCCAGTCTTCAAACACTTACTATCTAAAATTATTTCGTCGAAGATTCAAAGTCATGGCGCCAGCAATGTACACACAACTGGATCGCGGAACGCGAGAGATCCGCCTTGCACATCTAGAGCCGAGTCTCAACCTCGAAGATCAGCCGTCATGCTCTCTTCATATCGTGTCGTTAGACGAAAATCCATCGTACGAAGCTTTCTCCTACGCTTGGGGAGACCCCACGATCACAGTACCAATCCAACTCTGGTCATCTCCTCAGACAAGTTCACAATGCGCTCGGGAAGCCTCAGCCTTATCAGCTCCCACCGAGGATGAAGTTTACGGCGCGCAATGGCCGGTGACGACGAATCTTGAAGCAGCTTTGCGTTATTTGCGTCATAGATCGGAGGTACGGATCATCTGGGTTGATGCTATATGCATAGACCAGTCGAATATCGAAGAACGAAATCACCAGGTCCCGTTGATGAAGACAATTTACAGCAATGCGGTAGCTGTTCAAGTCTGGCTGGGCAGCCCTTCGGAAAGAAGTGACGGTGCTATGGAAATACTCAAGCAGATTTTCCAAGGGGTTCCTTTTATTGAGATCAAAGTGGGAGATTCCCTGCTGCAAGACGATGATTTGTGGTCGGTAATTGAGCTCATGAAGAGACCGTGGTGGAGCAGAACGTGGGTTCGACAAGAGTTGATCCTCTCAAAACGAGCGTTCATCCATTGCGGGTTCAGTTCTATTAGCTGGAACGAATTAAAGTTCGCTGTCTTACGAATGGAATGGTTATATTGGTCTGAATTAGCACACGAATCGCATGGATTCACTCAGGGTACCTTAGGTCAGCTTGAAGATAGTCTCGGCCTTTTCTTGCGAATTGGCGCCATGGCCAGATATGGTGAAGGGAGTTCCGACTCAACGGTTTGTGTCAATACCATTATTCTAGCCCTTGGCCGACTGTGCGATAATTCGGACGACCGCGATTCAATCTATGGGTTCCTAGGCTTAATGAGTCAAAATTTTCAAAGGAAAATCAAGCCCGATTATCAGTTGTCAACTCCAGAAGTCTACCTAGATGCTGCAATTCAACTGGCAGTTTGTTCAAACTCATTGGCCATCCTCAGTTTGACGAGATATTCGGCAAAGAACGTTTGTTGGCTTCCCACCTGGGTGCCTAGTTGGCAACCTTTAGGCACGCTCGAAGCTAAGGAATGGGATGAAAGAACTGCAAACTTGTTTGGACACCAAGGTTTCTCTGCCTGCGGGGAAAACACTCTTGAGTTCCAGGTAGTGGATGGACGAATCTTAAAGGTTTCAGGCGTCAAGCTTGATCATGTCTTGAGCGATGGTATCGCGGGGTGCAATGAAGTGTCATTCGGGGAAAAGGAGATTTTGGTAATGCAGCGGAAGTGGAGACGTCTATGCGGTCTAAATATGCATAATAGGTCAAACTATATGGCGGGTGGCAAAGCTACTAATGCCTTTTGGCGAACTCTAGTGAATGACATGCTTGAACAGGGAGATCTTACCATCATAGGGAGATATCAGACAGAAGATTACAAAGTCTATCGGATGTGGGTAGAAGAGTTGGAAGATTCAGACACACCGTATTGGAAAAGCAGACATGTCCAGAGTTACCACACGGTTTTTAGGGCAGCCTGCTCAGGCCGTCGATTCTTCGTTACCAAGAAGGGGTACTTCGGTATCGGACCTGCTGAACTCGAGGAGGGAGACGAAATTTACATCCTTGCGGGAGGGAAAGTCCCTCTCGTTCTACGACCATTGCCCGAATCACAGCCCAACACTTTCGAACTGGTCGGCGATTGCTATGTCCACGGGGTCATGGATGGAGAAGCAGTAACCGAGCCAACGCAGCGCTCTGGCCAAAGTCCCTGGAAGAAAGCAGTTGCGACAGCAAAGAGCTTTATTCGATCCAGAACTAAATCTCTCGACCCTGATCTACCCTTGCGCGACTTTCACGACGTATTCATTGTGTGAATCGGAAGAGTGCTGAGGAGGCTGGATAGAGCACAGAGGGCAGGGCCGTTTCCCCGGGCCAAGTCACTCACGGAAACTCAGAAATTGGATACACACATTTAGTCTCTATGATGGCGATGGAACTGGAACTCCACTTGAATGTAACCATACTTGGCAATTTTGAGACACTTGGAGGTCCTTGCGCGAGTACATGGGAAACACAACTCATGTGTGTCAATCTTCTATGAGCGGGGGGAGTGGTCATTGCATTACTTTGAAGGTCGGGTGTGAAGAACATGAGGACTTTGTACGAGACCGAATTCGTCTTTGGTTCGGAAGATATTTCGTTGGTATATCCTTTGGAAAGAATGAACGCCGAATGTCAGAGTTGTCAGAGTTGCAATTCCAACAGTTCCAGGACACAGGTGGTGGAGAGCTCAGCTACAGGCTGATCACAAGACGAAGTTTATCACAGCTATCGAATGCACGAGTGCGGATGGTCAATTTCTAAAACCCTCAATTATTTGGCCCACTCATTTTCAGGAAATTTGGGAAGGCTCCTCTAATTTTGGTTGGTACCACGAACAGTCCAAAGATGGGTATCTGGACAGAAATGTCATTTTAAAATGGATCACGGAGACTTTTGAGCCCCAAACAAAGGCACGAGCTAAGGGTAGTATTCCACTCTTGATAAGCGATGCTCTTTCCGATTACAATACACGATTTGTGGAAAAATTCTGTGAGAAGAAAACATTCGTCTATGTCAACTTCATTCATTAGCTGTTCAAAAGCTCCAACCTCGCCATGTCGGCCCTTTTGAACACCTACAAACTGCACTTCAAAAAGAATTCAAACAATTATACACTCGATGCGAGAATAGTGAGAAGGCACTGTTCACGGTTTCATATAATTATGCACGACATAAAGCGTTTGAAGTTCATACAGCTCAAGCTCAACTCTATGGTTAGGATACCGCAAATTTGTTAAGCGAATCCAATACGGAGACGCAGCATAGCCGAATTCTAGGCTTCGATGACAGTCTAAAGACCACAGAAGAGCTGGTGTTTTTATGCAGAGATATTGAGGATGATTTGACTTCAAGGGTGCTTAGCAAAGGTGCGAAAGGTCGTATTTTCAAGCTGTTAGATGTCGCAAAGGCGGGTTTTGCAAATTTGGGTTCTTCGACTGAGCACACTGTCTCTATGCAGAGAAGCAATTATCTAAGCGTGATCCACCGCCATGTTCTACGGCATGGATGCCACTTAAGAGAGTGACTGAGCAGAGGTATCGTCGCTTAGGACACAGAACACTTTAGAAGAAGAGGCACCACAGTGACATAATTCAAGACAGGCTTCAGACAAGCTGACCAAAGCAATCTGACTCGTGTGGTTGCAAGACAACACAATATATACACATCTTAGAAAATGCTTTTCGGAATCTAAACGAAGGCAAGAACCCTGAGTTATTGATTTTGCTGTCTCTTATGGATTACTTCATAAACTGAATCCTATGTCCTAGCATTTCTTGAAGCCATTTTTTGAGTCTGCTACCCGGTCCGATCAAAAATAATCTAAAGTGATATGTTTTGTATTCTGGATCAAGTTGAATCTCGGTTGCAGTGGCAGGAATAGAGCAGGACGCCTGATGAGAAAAGTTGTTATTATTTCAGCAAACAATAAAAAGTACTCATGCTAGCCCAAATTTCAGACGTTTTGCGTAGGAGAAAATTTTCTCATGAAGATAAGCGACCCCTTTAACCCGAGCAAGGAGGTGTGACTCCTCAAGCCAGTCGATAACCAATGAAGCGATCGAGCCCGGAGCTCCTTCATTGTTAAGCCTAAAAAGCGGAATAATATTCAAAGGTTGAGAGAACATAGCCTCAGAGTGATATTCATTCATCATTGGGTCCTCGAAGAATCGGACGTCGTAAGTCAATGTCTCATGCAATTTCATGCACTGATCACCTTGCATTTTGGGCGGGCAGTCACAAATGCAAGGGTCAACCGACTTCGGATGGCTTCGAAGTCTCACTTGGTGTATTTCTGTCTCATTGTATAGAATGTAAGATAGGGGAGGATACCGGTCAGATGCTTTGAATCTTTGATATAATTCACTCAGAGAGGTCCGGTTTCCAGACGCAAGCTCAGCCAAAAAGCAGATGTTAAAGGACTTCTGATCCACCTCTTGTATCCGGTATCAGAGGAGATATCACCGCGATGTTTATGTCATCGAAGACCATTCCAGCCAGCCCAGGACCAGCTAGGAAATCCGTGACGTCGATGGTATGGGATGTAGTTTTCATTGACCTTCAGAATATCGTGCCAGTTGTCTCCCGGATTCTCCCACCAAAGTCCTCTTGCAAGGCCGATAGAAAGGGCAATTTCAATTTCCTTTCCGTCCGTATCATCTGGAAAGTTACTATAAGTAATCGGTATACCCTAAATATTCATGAAGTTTGATCTTCTCAATAGCACCTGAAAAGCATTCGGGGAATCCGATGGGTGTGACAGATCGCGGCTTTTGTAATAGTGCAAGTTCTCGAAAAATTCCCACAGGCCTTTTGGTTTTGGGCCGGTTGCCATATGATTACCCAATGTATCGTTCTTGACGTTTCGCTGCTTAAGGGACGATATATCCACATCGAAAGAAGTAGTAATAGCCTCGCAAGAAGACATACTATTACACAAGAAATGTACTTGCTCGTCCGTGAAGACAAGCCATCGCTCAGACAATGCCGCTTCTTGATATGTCTAACCTCGAGTGATCCAGCTAGAAGCTGCTATAGCGACTGAAGCATGTGATAACGTAGACACCAGCAAGTGATGTCCAATCTGCTCAGCCGGTTGCTGTAATACGTGCCAACGATTGACACTTGGCAGACCAGGGCCCGACTTTTCGAAGGGGCAGCAACAGTCGTTGCAGCGGCACCCTCATATATTTTATCCATGACTTGGATCTGACTTTCTTTATAATCGGAATCCCATTGCTTGATGCAATATTTATCAACCCATAGAAATTGTCGTCCCAGTTTTTGAACCACGGTAATGGCATCTTCAATGACTTGAGGTACACCGAAGGAAGAGTGGTAGCCCTGGAACATCCTTGGCCTTGTCTTTAGGACCATTACTCACATGTCAGCCCAGACATAACTGAGTGCGTAATAATCTTCTCTCGTACTTATTTTCTTTTTCATAGCTTTATTCTCGTATTCTTATAATATAATTTTATTAATTTTAAGAATAGTTTTTTTTTAAAGCTCAAGGCGAAAATTTAAATAAAGAGCTTATATATACGTAGTAAGAAAAATACTAGAAATTTTATTTTATTTTAAAATAATTTATATAAGAGGACGTAGATTTAATTATCAGAGTAAGTAGTTGTGTTTGAATTAATTAACTAAGAGTACGAATTTTACAAGATCGCAAAAAATCAGAAAATCAAAACTCGCTTCCGAGTTTTGTCGACTGGCCATTTCCTGTCACTATCTACCTAGGTAGCCTTTGACTTTATCTTGGTTCTCATGCCGCCGAGACTAGTAGCCGGGCTCAAAACGATCCATTTGGTGGTTTGCTTTCGACTTCCCAACTTTCGCTTCGGTTTACATTTGCTTCTCAGCAGCTCACCGCTATTAGGTTCGCCCTGTCAGGTTCGCCCTGGCCTGCTTGGGCTTTCAAGTCCTTGAACGCATGCTTAGAAGAGGATGTACAAATACCGGCAAAATTTCGACAATGTCGCGTGGGACAAGAATGACGATGCCGAGGAGGAGTCCCAAAGGCGACTTCGGAGAAAAGACACCTGTGGCCAGGTCGAAGGCCTCGTCAGGCAGAAATGCGGCAAACCCGCTACACTCATATCACCACTGGTCATCGGTGGCCTCAATATCCATTACAGGATCCATCTCGAAGGCGAAGACTCATCCTCCGACGTCATGGTGCGGCTGCCCTGGCCCTACGCAGCCTGCTTCCCTGGCGAGAAAGTCGTCTACGAGGCGGCGACGGCGAAATATCTGAGACTGAACACGCACATCCCCACTGCCCAAGTGCTCCATTATGGTCGGGATTCCAACGTCGGGCCGTTCCTTATCCTCCGCCGGATCGAACACCGAGGTGATATGACAGACGCTCTTGCCGTTCCCGGTCTGGACCCCAACCTGACTCCCGTTCTGAACTTGGAGCTCCCCGAGAGCAAGCTCCGAAGTCTGTGGGGGAATATCGCGTGGTGTTTACTGGAAGTAGTGGAACCCACCTTCTCCCGCATCGGCTCGTTGGTCGAGGTTGACGGATCCTTCCGCATTGCCGCTCGACCTCTTACTCAAAACATGAGCAGCATGACCCAGCTCGCTCATATTCCCCCGTCTATCCTTCCTCTCGAGAGCGAGACCTACGCAACAACCGACGAGTGGTACGAGGCATTAGCCAATATGCACCTGGCACAACTCATCTTTCAACACAACGACCTCGTCTCGTCCGAGGACGACTGTCGGAACAAGTACGTCGCTCGTCAGATATTCCGCAGACTGGCTAAACAAGGTCGGCTATCGACATTCGGATTCGTCCAAGACGATTGGTCCGCCTACGTCAAGACGGTACATCCAAGGTGTCCGGCTCCGGACAGATCGGGTCCCTTTCGCCTCTGGTGCGATGACTTCAGACCGGCCAATATCCTCTTGGGCCCGGACGACGATGTGGCTGCCGTGATCGACTGGGAGTTCACATATGCTGGGCCCACGCAGTTCGTCCTCGACCCTCCTTGGTGGCTACTATTCGAAACACCGGAAATGTGGCCTTCTGGCATCGAGGAGTGGAGCAAGGCCTACGAACCACATTTGAAGATTTGGCTCGAGGCGATGGAGGAGAGGGAGAAAGGGGCTGCGTTTCTCGACGCCATACCGCTCTCGGTGCATATGCAAGAGAGCTGGAAGATGGGCCGCTTCTGGCTCAACTACGCAGCCAGAAAGAGCTGGGCGTTTGATGCCGTCTTCTGGACGTACTTGGACGAGCGGTTCTTTGGCGAGCGGGACGGAGAACTTCTCGACAAGGACTTGTGGAAGACACGACTGCATCTCTTGAGCGAGGAGGAGCGACAGGCCATGGAGCCGTTTGTACAGCGGAAGATGGACGAGTCTCGGGAACGGATCCTGGTTGAATGGGACCCGGCCGAGGCAAAGCAGCGTTTATCAGAGCTGTTGTTTGATTAACTGCCTGCCAGGCAGGGAGATTCGGAGGATGCTAAGGGCCATCGCAATCGGAGACCAGCAAGCTAGAAGAGCGACAGGCGTTGCTAGTGTACAGTATGGCAAAGAGAGCCACCACACTATAAATTACGACTGGGCCGAGACGCCCTACCACCTCTTGCTTATGTAGTCTCGGAACCTAGGACAGAATCTAGTTATAATCGCTTCTCAGAACTAAAAGCAGAGCGTCTTGAACCCTCTCCACTTCCCTGAAGCCCAAAATAGCAAACTCTATAATTCCATTGGGCTTAGAAGCCTACATGTCAGAATCCGAAGACAGGAACAAAATCCTCTCGATGCCTCGTCTAGATGACGACTTCGCAGCAACGGCCGCTTACTATATCCGCCTGTTTCTGCTTGCCGGCACGACGCTGCCGCAAGCACCATCAATTTTATGCAGCACTTCTTATCCAAACAACCCCACGATCGCACTCAACTATGAGGAGTTGTCTTGGGAAGACGTTGAGTTTGAATGAGTTGAGGATTGTGTTGGTTACGACGGCGAGGGCTTTGAAACAACGCCTTCATATGAGGTATGGGATATCGTTCAGACCCAAAATTCGGGGTTGTGGACAAGGGTGACGAGATAGGTGGGTGGGAAGGAGGTCAATACTGTAAGAGAACCGGGCGTTTCGGACGTAGAAAGCGGGTGCTCATCCTTTGAGGGGTATCCGTGTCGAGTGGAACTGGTGGAGTAGAAATCCATAAAGATATTCTGGTTCAAGGAATGTAATGAACAAGGGATTTGGTAGAGATAAAGTCACGGCAAGATAGATTGTTTGCAGAGAAGAGCTTCTTGGATTTGACGAAGTACTTGAAGCAAGCTCTCTCTGACCAAGACCCAGACCCAATCCTCGTTACAGCCAAAGAACAATCCTCTCGGTTCAGAACAATTCCAGCCCAAACCCAAACCCGAACCCGAACCCGGAATCAAACCCAAAGAATTCTCCTCCACCTCATTGCCTCGCTCTCAACTTTTCCGACCACCTTGTGTTTCCTTCGCCTTCGCAGCCAAATCCTCGTTTCTTTGCATTATTGCAGGCAAAGAGAATGTGTTCCTGGATGGGGTGGTGCTGGAAGACATTGGAGTAAGTAATTGATGAGAGAAAAGAGGAAGGTGGTAGACTTGCCAAAGCAGATCAAATAGGTGGATGGTGGAGTTGGAATGGCTGAATGCGCGAGACGGAGAAATGTGAGATGAATTTTTTTCGCCGAAATTTGAGGTGGACGAGAAGTTTGAGACTGCTTAAAGATGAGGCCGGTTGAAGTCGAGCCGGTGCTAACTTGAAGAGATGGCGGAGGTGAGATGATTTGAGGAGCAGCCAGACTTGAGCAGCCAGACTTGAGGAGCAGCAATCCTGACGTGGAAGACTTGGTTGAATTGAACTCCGAACCTTGAAAGTTAGCAGGCAATGTCACTTGCGGAGTGGAGACACATACCTTTGATTTGAAGAGAGGGATTGGTGAATTGCAAGGGAAAGGTGACCGCCAGCTCGGTGATGTCGACTTCATTGGATCTTGACTTGAGAGCGAGAAAGAAATTGATGTCGTCATAAGCTCGGGAAGAATGAAGTGAAAAGCTGAAAGGGAGCAAAGAGAGCGTCCTTGATGATCTGAAGGAGTTAGCTGGCCAATGTTTAAGGAAGATCGGGAATACCTACCTTGGCAAGCCACCCGTTCCTCAGTTGTGAAGAATAGCAGAGCGACATCGAGGTGTTCATGATTTTTGACAATTCCTTCGCTCCATGGTCAGAATCCGATTCTCTTACCGAGCGTTGTACTACCGAGCAAAGCTCCAGTCTGGTTGTTTGACCGTCCACAATCGGATCGTGCCAAGCTTCCAGAGTCGACCGTCCACAATCGGATCGTGTCAACTCCTTCCGCGCCAAACCTTCACCTTGCCTGGGCACGCGTGAACGGACTCAAAACCTCTTCATCCTTCCATGGAGCTCCAGAAAAGCAAAGTGAAATGAACTGAGGGTGATGATCTGGATAACAGCTACTGCTGTCAGCACGAGTGTAAGGAAACGCAGAAGTAATGGACGAGGATGAATGAGAGCGAGATGTGGAGAGTAGTGGGCTTGTAGATATTTTGGTTTGAAGGAGGTGACGACGATGACTCATCAGTGGTTTGACCTGACCATAAATAAAAAGGTGAATGCAGACAAAGGAAATTTTCGCGAAGGTAAGAGTACTCCAGTTAAAAGTGAACTCGCAGCGTCGCCAATGACGTCGATGAGGTCAACTTGAACCTCTTCGAGACAGATCGCAAGGAAACGTTTTCAGAGACGCTAAAAGAGCGCGATGGAGAGGGAATTGAGTATTGTCGATGTTGCCGATCATGATGTTGATAATGAAGGAAAGGGGAAGGGGAAGAGGGAAGCTGACTTTACGTGAAGATGGTTTTGGCATCAACGACGTAGTCCAAAAGCAAGGGAGCAATGCGCAAGGAAGGCTAAAAGTTACGAAAAGAGTGATTAGACGTACCAAGATTGATGTCGCTCGGAGCCTTTGATGACTTGAGGTGATGTGGTTGTGAAGGTTTGACCTTGTTTTGGAGGTTTGATGTTGTATTGAAGACACGATGTTGTGATGGAGACTTGATGTTGTATTGGAGACATGACGTTCTGATGAAGACTCAAAGTTGAGATTATGGATGGAAAAAAAGGTTGTAAGAAGGGAGAAGAGGTTGCGGAGGAGGGAGAGAAGGGCCTTTTTATAGACGAGGGCAAGTCCTCTCTGGTTCTCTTGCGAGGTTCGGAACAACTCGCGCTAGTGCTCTTGATACGGGGCTATCACAGCAAGAGCATGCTCATTTGGTTTTTCGACAGCCAACCAGGGATCTGGGAACACCGTAAAAAGTGGGTCCTTAACATCATGGGCGACAGACGAAGCTGTTGATGTGAATAGCCTCGCGCTTTTCGGCCTTCAATATCAACAACACTTCAACGATTCTCAGCGATGACTCATCTACCGACGTCACAACCTCTCACCTGACCAAAGATGCCCCTCTATTGACGTAGAGATCATCCGATTTGCGACTTTCTCCCACGAGGCAGACAAACTCTTCCATGCTCGCGTATCACGTGACGTAAACAATCCAAACGAGAATGGGAACGATAACATTCAGGAAATGGACCACAAATTGCGTATTCTGTTGAGATAAAACAAAAGATAACCAATCTGATAACGTTAGGGAGTAAATTAGAAGACATACAGCTAAGTTGCGTGACCAGTTCAGAACCCATTCTGATCATAGATGGGCGGCCCTAAATAGGCTTGGCTCCGCCCCACTTCCCCTGAAAGTTGAAGCGAGGACGCCGAAGCTTCACATTTTCACTCATCAACTTCTTCCTCACTCCTACTCATCTCACATAATGCCTAATAACCCCAACTACCTCCCTGAAACCTCGATAACCTTCCCGTGACGTGCTCACGAAAATGTCTTTTACCAGCGCGCAATGAATGGCATTTCAATATGCTGCGCCTCGCCCCAAAGACACTGTCCGCCCCGCCGCCCCGATCATCGAACTTGGACAGTGCGAAGAGCTCAACGTCCGACATTTGGTGGCATGGGAAGATAAGACAGGAATGGGGGCCTCAATGTTGTTGTGCACTGTCGTAAGCCATAGGGTTACGCATTCAGGTGGCCGTTTCCTCCTGAGGTGGCTTTTCTCATCGATCGCGAGCATGCAGACTCAGTTTGCTGCTGATTTGACAGCCTGGTTCGGATGTTGCCTCGCAATGGAATGATTGGCCTTGACGAACGCGCGAAAACATGGGTCCGCCACGATGTGCCCTGCAAAAAGAACTTCAACCCCATCTTGCTCCGTGCCTGTCTTCCTTGACTTCAGTGCGTTCAAATAAACAGGAAAGAAAGATGTCCTAGTCGTCAGATATATATCGAAGACTCCTCGCCCCTTCTCCCCACTTGTTTCTTGTGCTTCCTTTTACGGATTTCGAGCGACAGTGAATACCAAGCCCCACAGCCTTGCGGAGGAGCGGAGCCTCACAAAGTCCAAATCCAACTGCTCTCATCATTCCACCAGCCCAATGGCGCCGAGCAAGCCTTGTGGACGACCGAAGATTGCATGGGATGCTTCACGCAAAAGAAAGCTGGTTCGACTCTATTTGATGACAGATCTGAAGATCGCGGACATCCAGCAGGTCTTGTCGACGGAAGGCTTCACCCCAAAGTAGTGCTCTGCCCTACATGTGCGAGATTCGTTGGGCTTATTTCTACCAGGTCGAGAAATATTCAAACCCAGTTGAGTATTCTATTGCCAGAGAATGCGAAGGAATGGAGACGATACAGACCCAACGGAATCAACAAAGGCAAGGATCGTTTGACGGCATTGAAGAATTGCAGAGAATACCAAAACTCGAAGCGTCTCCGACATACTCCTCAACCGAAAGCCAAATTGAAGAAAGCAGACATGACTGCTTTTGGTTTGAAGCAAGTGCAGGTTGCGAATCCATTTTACGACCCTGGACGCCATTACGATAGTATTCATTGCAAAGGAGTGCCATCCCACTCTACCTTCCCAACCCTGAATCAATCCTTTTGGAACCAGTCACCTTCAAGATCTAGCAGCGGCAGCGACAGTGACAAAGAAGTGGTGTGCGCTGTTTCTACGGATACTCCCAATGAAGGAAGAACTACTTCTGACATGCTGGACAGCCGATACTACAGCCAGTGTGACAGCAAGGCACCAACACCAACTGCTCGGGAACCCGTAAGCAACAATGGTATTGCCGACACTGATTCGAGTCAATCCGAGTCTCATTCCGACCCTCGACGCGACGATGAGGTCGTCCCACTTGTGGTCAAAGTTGGAACTCCGCCAGCGTTCAACACGACCAGCATTACACGGTCAAGCTCTAGAGCAAGTCGAAGTGGTGGGGCAAGCATAAGAACAATTAGTACAAGGATTTCTTCCAGAGCATCTATCTCATGGAGCCATGTCAGCTCTGTCCTCGCTGCTACTTTGTCCTCGGGTTTCAGTCATCGATATTCGGCGAGTTCATCCTTCGCTGACCTGTCAAGGTTGGACAACACTTCCACTCTATGGTCTCGTGACGAATTCGAATCTTGGAACGAACTCGTCGACCAGACGAGGCTGCATTCAGCCCCGCTTCAACTATCCTCTCACGCAGGGTCTTTGCACGAAAGACCTTGTTGTGGTCGCTTTAAAGAAATACCCTACACCCAGACGATCGAAAAATGCAATGTCTGTGGATACAACGGAATATTTCAACTAGCCCGCCACGTGAAAATTCGTTTATTCGACTCTGGTACTCAAGATCGATTTGGGAACACTGCTCTCCACCATGCTATGGCAGCAGGAAATTTGTGGGTCATAAAAGTCTGGATGGATGATACGGAACACTCCTCAAATGTAGACCTGTCTCATCGCAATACATCCGGGGAGACATTCCTCCACGTATGCCGGATTCAGAAAAGTGAACAATTCATCACTTATACCGAGATCCTCAAAACTGTTGCCCAACGAGGATTTGACTTCTCCATTCGAGACCACAGTGGCCGCACAATTGCGCAGCGACTCCACGAGCTAACAGATGAGTGGGACAAAATCGATGAGAATCAGTTACTTGAGGCTGGAACCATCTTTAGGATGAAGAATCAGTTACTTGAGGCTGGCACCATCTTTAGGATGAAGAAAAATCCCAACGTCATCGATTTACAAGGAGATGAATGGCAGCTGCCACATTCTCTCGTCCTTCCTCCTCCAATTGAACGGGGAACACTCCTCTTGAATAGACTTAGACAATCCCCTCCCACGCCAATTCGTGGATTCGAACTCCAGTCTCTCGTGCAACATTCCGACATACATATTCGCGATGAGCGTGGCTATACTGCACTTGCCAGCGCAGCTCGGCTTGGCTTTACAGATGCCTGCGATCTACTCCTACAAAATGGCGCAAATCCAAACACTCGAAGCTATCAAGGGACCAGTGTGATTGCGCATGTGACGGCTCATCTCATTCAAGCGCAACAGAATGACGATAGTGGATTATATTCTCGAATTCTGTCGTGTATTGTTCAGCTAACAGACCATGGGGCAAAGCTTATCGTGTCGGATCATGATGAGTTCGCTATTGATGCTTTAAAGGAGGTCAAAAGAAAGACGTCTATTCGCGACAAATTTCTCAAGCCGCTCCTCAAGTCGACATCAATAATGATGCGCAAGAATAAGAGGAAGCTGGGCATGATTGAGGAAAAACCATTGGAACTCGAAGGCATTGCCGGAGTATCAGAACTCGAAGGCACCGACAGAGTATCAGAACTTGGAGGGTACCAAATACATAAACTTGATACCTACCGCCCATCAGTACTTGCCGATACCAGCAGAATACCAGAACCTGAAGCTACCAGTTCCTGGTCCGTTCGCACAGGGACACTCACAGATCAGTCATCACTGAACTGTGTAAACTCGTTCAAACCACCTGATTCTTCTCAGCGGATTGACCCAAGTGCTGGCGACGACTGCAGTTTCAGCATCTATGCACAGCCTGCCACAAGCTCATGGCATACTCGCCAAACTGGGGTCCAGCACAGCCAGTGCGACGGCCCCGCCGAATTCAGATGCCAACCAGTCATTATTGATGGATATCTGTCTCACCACCAGCCTGTATCTTTGTCAAAAAGTATGTTTGTAAACTGACCGCCTTACTCTTCTTTCCTAATTACGCTTTTCTCGAGAGCCCGGCTCCTGAGACATCTCTCTATAGCAATACGATGTGGGAGTTAGCTCCACAGTTCGGAAACCCTCGGGCTCGAAAACTTGCAAATACCGCCTGCTAATGCAATGGACAGGTCTAGAACATGTTCAATACGGACAAGATGCTTCCGAATCCGTGGTGACAGATCCAAATCCTGCTGGCGGATGTCCCACATCGGATAATACGCAAGTAGGAACTGCATCGACCATGGTCCCATTCTCTTTCTCTGTTCGAGAATCCCAGATAACTCTCGGTTTTCAAGAGGTGGCTGAAGCCCTATTTCCTTCTACAGCATTGCCTCACACAGATTCCGCACCGGCTACGTCCTCGCAATGCAAGGTACTGACCGCCGGAGCTCTTTCGATGACAGATTGCAAGGGCCTTGGTGCGTTCCTTCCGAGTCCAGATATAGGAACGCCGTCAAACTCGCAGCCTAGTTGGCGTGACATCGGTGATAATTATCCGGACGTTGATCCTCGAGAAGAGAAAAGCTACCTAACTTCTGGTCATTGTGCCTCCCAATTGTGTGGAATAGAGCCAAGTTTCTCAAAGTTTCAACAGCAGTTGCAGCAACCAGTCATTGACGCATCGGCAAAAACCGCCACACAAATAGGTCCGGACTCATGCGTTTCTCGCCTACGAGCAGTGCCGCCGTTTGCTCCGGAGGCTGATTCTTGCTTCACTTCACAGTTTGAGATCCAAGCTTCATCAGTAACATGGGGTGTTCCCCCGGCCAGTCAAGATAATCACAATTCCTCCAAAGTGTTTGAGAACGAGATCACGTACCATCCAAGAAAGCGTCGACGACGATCTGGTCCAGCAGCAACGGAACCGGTACTGAAAGCATACTCTGTTCCTTCACAAACTCAATTGCTAAGCGTGGAAATATCGCACAGTCCTTTCGATGACATACCCAGCTCTACGATGGACTTTGCGAAACCCAATAATCGTCGACTCATCAAGAATCGGTCTTTAATGACGACGGCCATGCCTTTTCCGCCAGGGTCGCCTGAGCCACCACGAAAACGGCATCGCAGGAAAGGAGACTACGTAAAGCCTGGAATGGCGTCAGACTCAACTGGAATTCCCTCGCCAAGGTTCACAAACTCTTTTGGACAACCTGCAGAAGCTCAACTTCCTGGTACGGGTTCGCAGGCACCAGTTGTAGGCATTCCACCTCTCCCTACCCCATCCTGCAGCTATTTCAGCATCGATGAAACCTCTTCAATATATGATTCAATGACTCTATACACACAGACCGAAGACTCGGGGCAAGAACTCTTGATCAATCCGTGGACAAACGATGTCTCAAACAACGGACGGGCGAATTTGGATCCAGATCCTGGCGACGCCTTATTCGTCCAAGATTCGTCGATCATGCGCAACGACTATCCTTTTGAGCCAGACTTGACAGCAGAATCACCCTGGATTACTCAATCAGAAGAATACCACCCACCGATATCCTTCCTCAATAGTGGCAATTCCGGAGACGCACAGGTTATTCCACTGCCTGGTGATGGTCACCAGGGGCGAGAGCCTGGATGAGAACAACGACCTATTGGGTTATGATTGTGACCTGGGAAAGAGAAAGGACTTTGTATGAGAGTCGTAGCTAGCCATTTCTCTTTGCGTGATGTGAATTTTGATTTATTATCATTCATTCTCCATACTAAACAATATTACAATAATTCATATCGCTGGGACCCCTTTTCCTTTCACGAGCCCCTGAGAATCAACTGGCCTACCCCAAAGGCGGCGCGCTCGGATCCTCCATACACTGATCCACCCTCATCAACTGCTTCCCGGTCTTCTTCGCAATCGCAATAAATTGCGGTATATAACTAACCGTCGTATTATACAAATAATGCATCACCACAAGATTCCCCCCCTTATTGACATCGTTCTGGAAATTCGTGATCTGGTTTTCCGGCGTGGAGCTCAAGGCCCACAGCCAATCCTGCACGTCGACACTCCATTCGATGAACTTTGAGCCGGGGATGAGCGCTGCGAGTCGTTGGCGGATGCGTGCTCCTTCGGTGCCGAAGGGAGGCCGGAAGTAGGTCGATGTTATGCCGAGCGTAGACGAAACGGCGGAGATGTCGTTGCTGAGTTCCCAGTCGATGGCCGCAAGGGAGGGGAGGCCTTCCATGGGGGGATGGGTGAAGGAGTGGTAGGCGACCTGGTGCCCGGCTGCGAGCATGCCTTTGTAGACGGCGGTGAGGTTCGTGCTGGCGTCGAGGAGGGCGGCGCCGACTGTGAAGAACGTTAAATGGATGCCGGCCGCGGCGATGGCGGAGACGACCCGTTGGGCGTACTGTGGGTCGCCGTCGTCGATGGCGAAGGCGAAGGAGTTGGGGCGTGTGCAGGCGAAGAGTAGGGGGGCGGTTGTGAGTTTGCTGGGGACGAGGAATCCTGTGGGCACGGTCTTGACGATTTCGATTTTGGAGAAGACGGTCGAGGTCGTGGTGTAAAAGCCTTTGAGGGCGAATCCGACGGCTAGGGCACGATTGATGTTGAAGTGTGAGATGGGTACGTAAACATCCGTCTTCGCGGTGTTGGAGTATCGGGAAGCTTCAACTGAATCCCATGTGAATGGAAACGGATTGATGTTCGGATTACAGGTTGGATTATGTTGTTGGAGGGCGATAGTGAATGCATTGCTACCAGTGTATGCAATGTGCAGGTAACTGTTGTCATTTGGCGTGAAATCAGTGCAGCCGTTGGATACTTGCGAGTACCACGAAAGGTCGGAGTTCCCCTTCATGTTTATCGTCAACTTGGCGCCGGAGATTGTGTAAGTGGTCGTATCATCGCCACCATGATAGAAGCCAAGACTGTTGGTGTTTACATTGGCAAAAGCGTCAATGACGAATGCGGAGGGGCCGGTAGTAGCTGGAATCGTGGATGTGGGCTCAACCACTGCGACTGTGGTTGGTACCGGATATGCTGTTCCTGTGGAGCCGCAATAGAATGCTATTGGGCCGAAAGTGACAACGTTACTGATCGACGAGAAGAGTACGACAATCAGGTGATCAGTGTCGAGTCCTGGGAACTTCGAAAATGGGATAGTGTAGAATTTTTCGGTTCCATCAAAGGTCCATCCGAGGTCCGTGGACAAGAGATCATTCAGGACAGGATTATTGGAGTTACAGGCCGTGGAAGTCTGAAGCTCGATACCCATCGTCGTTCCTTTTGGAGCCTTGATCGTCAAGCCAATTCCCCCATAGACACCTGTCGCTTTGACACAGCCAAACATCGAGTACCAATAAGAACCTCCACCGGATGCGGAGGTCAATGTGACATGGTTGTTTGCAACTATCACACTAGTACTCGTATCTGCTCTGTCGGCCACTGGTGCCATGGTACCATCATCGGATGATGGCTGCAGCATTGCGTTGTAGAAAAGGAAAGTTAATCGAGATTGAGATGAAAAGTCGTCAATCAGAAGACTGGTACATTGTCCGTTGGTAGCAGAAGACGTCGGGCTAGTCGTCACTGACTTGGAGACGGTGCTGGAACTGGCGGCTGTCGATTTTAGGGTCGAGACCGTGGAAGAAGTTGGAGACTTCACACTACTGCTACTCGTAGAGGGTTTTACCGTGCTGCTGGCCGACGATACCGTGCTTCCTACGCTGCTGCTCGAGTGGACATTGGCGCATACCAATTGTGTCTGTCCGATTTCCCATGCGCCGTTAATGCTGAACGATTCAAAGAGAATGCTGTCAATCGCGTTCAAATTTGCTCCCGTAAAAGCGCTTAGCAGGACTGTGTATGTTTGTGTCGATCCGGTTATCCCAGTTAAGGATGTAAAGTAGCTTGTATATGCAGTCGTGGAGCAGGAGGCTGAGGTCTGTAGTTCAATTGTAAACTTCGCTCCAGCGGGACCTTTAATTGAGAAAGTGATGGCATTATATTGGTCTGTTGTAGCTTTTTCACAAGCGAATGTGGTGTAGAAGTAGCTGCTGGCAGTAGTCGTAAATGTGATCTTCTTGTTTGCAACATCTGCTTTGAGGTTCGTGGTTGTGCCGTCATCTGCTCAAAATGTCAATTCCGTCTTGAGAGCCGCATCTGGCACACTCACCACTGGTCCATTGACCCAACGAATTGAGATTGTTGGCGAAGTTGGCATAATTGTCAATCAGAAGATTGGTGGTGCACGCAGCTTGAACTGCACCGGCACATAGGAGGGCCAAAAACGCGCCCGCGGGGAATTTCATGACTGTATTTGAACGAATCTTGGGGGAGCGAAGGGACGTCGACAACGAATAAACGCGTCGTACAGGCTAAAGACAGTGCAGCAATAATCCCACTCTGTACGACTTCAAACGAGGGAAGGGAAAGTGCGAAACAGGATGAAATAAACTTGGAATGACATTTTAAATCACGCAAGGCCGCACGAAGAGACTTCCTAGCCGCCGCATTGTCATTTCTCACGATCAGGCGATGGCAGGTTTTCATGCAGGTCGTCGACCCAGACTGCAGCCAAGCTGCATTTGAACCCCCCCAAGAGGCCCTAGCGAATCCCTAAATAGAATAAACATGCACGCCGTCATCGGTTGCTCAGGGGCACCATGGCACTGGACTCTTGGCGTGTTGTGGCGTCTCGTAACCCCAGGATCTGCTCGAGTGCCTAACCGAGTTATGCTGATGTTCGAGAAAGGATGGCCATTGAGTGGTGCCAGAACTGCGTGTCTCTCTTTTCGTCTGGCCGCATCGAGTATCGATATATGCAGGCCATATTGCCACAGCTCGACGTGGCCAATTTCTTTTTGGTGCTTACAGGTGGCGTGCTGCTGAAGTGATGTTAAAGCTACTGCTCTGCACTGCAGTGGAAACTTTCCGGGAGCGAAGTGAATCAGGGGCCTGGGCGATCCCGCACAAGCTTCACTTTACGCTTTAAAAATCGCCTATTTTCGACAGCCTCGGTTGCCTTTCAGGGGCTGACCATTGGGTTGGTTCGCTGAGTGCACGTGAGAAGCTCGATTGGAGGTCCTTCTGCAAACGTTCCAGCTGCACAAACCAGTTCTTGCTTCTTCTCCATCTTGATTGAGCATTGTACGAAGTTTGGGGGTTAGGTTGCCCCGCCATAAGCGAATACGAGTAACCTTAACCCCGCAGCTGTCTTTAGTCACAAAACTTCGAAGATTGAACCCCTCCCCAATGACTGCTTGGTTTTATTTATGTTTGAAGAATATTTTGTCGCCAGTTAATATAACTTAGCCTGAAATAAGTCAAAAAGTGCCTCTAAACGCGATGCCTAGGGCCTACTGGCTACTGATTGCGAAGTAAAGCTGGATCTTCACATCCGGCAGCCCATCAACCGTTGGACTGTTTCTTTTCAAGCGAGCCAGTATCCAGACAATGTATATACGCTTGTCTAACTCTGTTCACAGCCTTATAGGTGCCGCATCAGGCCTTGCATAACCACTAGAGAATCCCTAGTCCCAAGCCTTCCCACTTTTTGACCAGGCCGGAGACCCCGGCTCTACCTCTTCAAATTCCGTCGAATCTGTCGAATAACCCTTATACCTCTTCAAAAGCGCACCTTGTATCCCTACCGCATAGATTCTCCTTTCATATACATTTTCCTCTAACCCCGTGTCCTTCCTCGCAGACCTCACTAACAGCCCCTCGATAGCATGCTCCCCATCCGCAATAAGCAGGAAGAGCAGACCCCACCATAGTTCGCAATAGCGCAAGAAGTCGTGAAAAACGCGGAATTTCAGCCAGGAATCAGATGTCACCTTGAGATGGATCCTGAGTTCGTACTGGAAGGCACTCGCGAAAACGGGAATGCATAGTCTGGAGACCTCAGTATAGCCGTCTTTTCCGACCGGACCGTAAGGGTTGTTGCTGGTGAGTTCACAGTGAATGTCAAGGATCTTGAAGATAGATGAGATCTTGGATGGTGTGGGAATGTGTTGTTCTGTACAGCTTGATTTGGAGATGCCCAGGACCAGGTGGGTGCATGGCAAGGTGGGGGCACTCTGAAGTCAGTCCCTCGAAAGTGAAGGTTCCTCAACGGCGCTACCTGGATGCCAGGATTCCAGGTGGGAACAAGTAGTCGACGCATCAAAGAGCTCTTTTCATGAATATATAACATCCTTTATATTCGTATTTGCATCGAATCTCGCAAGTCACACTCTTCAAAAGCTGTATGACCCCAAAAAATGATCCTCTGATCATATGGCTTAGATGGCAATGTCAACACCTCAAAATACAATTCAAACAGCTGGAGTAATTTTACAAATGTGTTACAAGCTACCATTTGCCACAGTCGACAGTGTTGGGCACGCATCTCCTTGTGATGCGCCTGAAAGTGTAGCATTTATTGCTGAATATTTGGTTCGTGCAACCAGTAGTAAAGATGTTGCCTGTCCATAAACATCTTGGTTGAGAAGAAGTAAGTATGGTCTTGAGATCGTATATTTGTGCCTTGAAACGGCAAGTTCAAGAGCTAGAGGAAATATCTACTAAAAAAAATCTCTAAAGCATAAGCTTCCTAAATCTTCACCATGTTGTCCTATGGATCTTCATTCCTTAGAACCTACCACGAAGGAACTCGTTCTAGGCGTTGGCTCAACTTACCATTCATCTTCGCTAGACCTTCCAGTGCCTCAAGAGACCAATCAGGGGGCTGTGTTTCCTCCAAGCTGATACTTCAAAGGTTAAAGACAACACTTTTTGTAAAACAAGGCCTAACTAAGATGCCGCGCTACGACTTCAGAGCTCGCCTATTCCAAAACTTAGAGCAAGGTCATGACTTTGAGAGTGTGGTTTCTTACTTCCAAACAATTGTGCAGGCAAATCATTCTCCGCACAGGCTTAGGAGGCGTATGTGAGGGGCCTTTTTTTCTTGGCGCCTGCAGAATCACTTGAGGGAGGGAGGCCTATGGATTTCCTGAGTACACGAATTCTGTGATACGGGATGTAGTAAACAAGAGAAACCCAAGTTCTTCCATCAGTAATAGGCATTGAGCGAGCGAAGGCCGTGCGGAAGGTTCGTCCCGTGGAAAAATTAATTTTGCGGGGTGATCTGCAAGCTACCCCACCTACCACATTCGGCCATTATCCGGGGGTTTGTCATCCGAACTTCAACAACAGCTCCTGCAAGGCTCAACAACGATGTCATCTTTCGGAAGAAGTGTTATTTTGCACCTTTGCTGGGGCTGCCATTAGTTGGAAGTGACCAACAGGCGCCGATGTGGTGGTAAATGAAATTTTGGCTCTACATAAAACACCTTCACCCCTACATTAAGCTCCAAACAAGTTTCAAGAAGCCATTTCTATAATTCCCCATAAGCTCCCAGACATAATGACATTCAAGATGGTCGCCATCATTCCTCTACTTTCTTTCTTAGTCCTGGCAATCAAGTTTGTTTCTGGGGCCTCCCCGCATCCTCCACCAAGAAGCAAAACCTGTGTTGTTCCATCAAAATACCTCGCCTCGAATGGCACTGCAGATGACTCCCCCGCAATCGTTTCAGCATTAGCCAAATGCTCGAAGGACGCTGTAATTACTTTCTGTGAGGGAGTAAATTACAATATCTTCAACCCAATATCTGCCAAAAATTTGTCGAATGTCGAAATTCGAATGCGAGGCAACCTCCATCTACCTCAGAATATTACTGCTGTTCAAAAACTTGTCAACATTTCGAATGCTCTCACATATTTAACAACTTTATACTGGATCGCCGTCGCTGGTCCGTCTATAGACTACGTTAGTACAGATAATGTTACGAACGGTTGGATCGACTCCTATGGGCAGGCGTGGTGGGACTTGAATCCCGTCAATGGAACAGGAACGCTGCTTCGACCTCACCTGCTCAGCTTCAACACCACGAATGTCTCTCTCCGACATTTCAAATCCCGCAAACCTATTGCCTGGAACGTCCAATTAATCGGCAACAACATCACCGTTAGTGACGCAATCATCGACGCGTACTCAACAACTGCGAGTTTTCCCTTCAACACCGACAGTTTTGACGTGACGGGAACGAACATCAAAATCACTAACAGCGTAATATTCAACGGTGACGATTCGATCGCTGTACAGTCTGGCTCACACAATGTCCTTTTTGAGAAAGCCACAATCGGATACCAAACCCACGGAATGAGCATCGGTTCCCTCGGCCAAAACCAAGCATCCTTCGCCAACGTCTCAAACATTACTTTCAACGATGTGGCAGTCATAAATGGTGTCTATGCAGCACGGTTCAAATCTTGGATCGGAGGTCAAGGTCTTGCTAAGAACATCACATGGTCCAATATCCGGTCTTACAACGTCTCCTTCCCTATCTTTGTCACACAAACATACTTCAACCAAGGGTCTTCTCAAACACAGCTTGAGACTGGTGGAGTTGTTGGTAGACCAAACAATTCCACGGTCATCATGAAAGATTTCATCTGGGTGAATTTTACGGGTACGATTAACACATTCAGTCCTGGCGACGGAAGCTGTGTTACCGACCCATGTTGGTACAACGCCGGTCTGCCAGACTTGAAGCACACTGAAGCAATTATCGTAGAGTGCAATACGAATTCTTCTTGTTCGAACTTTGTGACGAAGAACATTGAGTTGTTCCCGCAGGATATGGAGGCTCCGACGGTGGTGTGCTTCAATGCCACGGCGGCCTTGAATCCGAAATTAGGGTTTGATTGCAGGAATGGCACGTTTATTCCAGCGTAATTAATTTTCTTGCAGATTTCATCTCAACAGAAATCCAAACATCTTCCATTGCAGCAAAGTTCATCTCGTGATTTCAAAAGTGCACAATTCCTAACTAAAACTCAAAGCCCTTAATGGAAAGACTCCTAATTACTATCCAATTTGTCCATTTCCCAGCCCAAAATGTAGGTCCATTATCCCAAACACATTTCGCAATCTCATTCGGATATGCCTGTTGCTTCGTATAGTAAATATTTGGACCCGAAGCCTCCACAACCTGCCCACTTTATTGCTTGAAAGAAGTCTATTGAAGGCGCATGATGGTGTTCATTAGAGTTTCGTATTTGTCAGGGGTGATTGGGATGGGAGGCGCCACGAGTGGGGATTTCATGTTGCCTGGGTTGGAGTTCTAGATACTTTTAATTAGTGATAAGCGGCGAGGGCGAACATGAGGAGCTTACTGCTGTGATGTCATAAGTTTGAAAATATTCTGGTCTGAGAGCGCGCATAAGATCGACAAACTATTATTGCCTTGGCCAGTGGTTGGAAAGTGTAATTCTCACTAGGAGTTATACACCATACCCCTTGCTTGCTTGCAGCGTAGACCGGATCGGGGTGAGTGCGTGAAGACCTCCTTTTGAGCTTGTGGTGACCTATTTTCTCGGTCAGAAAATCGCAGATGCTCAGAATGAAGTTTGAGGTACCCTCTTGAAACATAGTACGTTGAGAATCACAATCTGCAATATCAGTGTGGATCACAACACATCAATGCCCAGCTCTTTGGCAATGATTTCTCCGTTTTCGTTAATATCCGTCATTACAACCCGCCATTCTTTTCCAAAGTTCTTTGTGAGTACGAGTCCCACTCCTGACGCTGCTCCGGTGATGGCAGCCCCATTTATGGCTGTTTGGGAGTTGATTTTGGCTCAATGAGTTCCAGAAACTTGAAGAGAGACCAGTACACTACCTCGACTAGATCTGGGAGTCTGGGAAAGTCTGTTAACCAAATTTTGTAGTGTAATGATGAAGTACGTCAATATTGTTTGGTAGATGGGTTGGTAAATCGGTGGAAAGATGATGGGATATGGGTCAACAATGATGGAACGAATATGGGAGGACGACATAGCAGGATACGTAAGTTTCTTGAATAAAGCTGAATCGGATCAACGCTGCGTTAAATCATAATTAGGGCAGCAATACAGGCATACAGATTTTGGTTTCTGGTAAAGAGAAATGTGTACATCAGCGAGCCCTCCGCCGAAACCCGCCCAGAGAATTGTCAAGCCAAATCAACTGCGCCAATGAGCTTGCACTTTTGATCGAGAAATTTGGCGATCATACCGTGGCGCATCAACACTTCCTTGGCTGGGACTTCGCTATGGGACTTGGTATTTTGCGGCTGAGGAGCGGCTAGACAGCTGACAGTTGATGGAGCAAGGGGCAGGATATGCAGGCGTCGTAAAAGCAGCTTATTTTCCTTAGCTCAAAACCAATTCAAGAGCATAAGGCAGGCTCAAAAAACAGTTCCTACCCCAATGACATAGGATTATACACTGAAACCGAAGACTTTCACAGTTTACAATCGGAAGACTGTCAAACATCTCAACTAGCCGCCACGATCTCTGTGTCTGAAATTGGGATCTCGCTTACGTCCCAAGTTCAGACCCACTTTTAAGCGAGCCCCTTTTCGCGGAGACGTCGGAGAGCCTTCGAAGCACCACCGACAGCCGAGCCCAACACAAGAAAACAACTCAAGACTTTGAACACCTCACACTGTCTATTCACTTGCCAGAAATCGTCCTCCAACTAGATTGACCCCTTACGACCATTCCTCCGCTTCTTCCGGACCATTACCATTTGGACAGTTCCCAGTCTCTCAACTTACATTCAGCCGGCTGATTCCTAGAGTAGTGTTGGAAAAGAAGCCTGCAGCCGTGAGCACAGCATTTCGAAACACAGTAAGGGATGGAATTTTCAATATGGGATGCCTAGCACTGAAAGCCAAACTCGCCAACCAGAGTGCAACGTAGTGCCACCCGCATGGCGGAATTCTCTTATACACTGGATCGTTGTTGGGCCCTGGAATTGGACAATCCCCCACGCTGACATGGTTCCCCACAAGCGTGAGCTGACTGGAGATATAATACGGATGCTGGAGAAAGCCACTACGGGCTCCGTGACTTATCCCAATGAAGAATTTCTTGTATGATGGTAGGAAATGATTATATGCGAAGGCCTCGCAAACCATGAGCACATGAAGAAAAGAAGATCAATCATCGTGTATATACCTAGACCCCTGCTTGCATCCCCAACAAAACCCCAGAAAACAAAGGAAGAAAAGCCAGTGAGTTTATATACTCTCTAAAATGCCTAAAACCTCCTCCAACACCGCCCCCCTCTCCCCGGCTGCATCGATCGGCACCACATCGCCTTCCTCCACACCCCGGCCCTCGAGGGCCTCAAGCTGACTCTCCACCATCGCCGTCCCCATATAATGCCCCTCCCTCCCCCCAAGCCTCTCCCTCAACACCCTCGCCTCAGACTCCAGCATCAAAAACACAGCTCCCGTATCCCTGCTCTTCCTCAACTCATCCCTATAACTCCTCTTCAGCGCCGAGCACGTCACCACAATACTCTCCACCTCAGCCTCCCTCAACTTTAGCAGAGCGGTAGCTTGGATCGCCTCCAGCCAGAGCCAACTGTCTTGATCTGTGAGTGGAATTCCCGCTGCCATCTTTTGAATTGAGGAGGCGGAGTGGAGACTGTCGCCTTCGATCCATGGGATGTTGAGGGCTTTCGAAACGCCAGTTGCGAGTGTGGATTTGCCGGAGCCGCAGGGCCCAGATATCACAATGATTCTCTTTTTCGCCAGGGAGGCAGAAGGGGTGGCCCACGAGGTGGCGAGGAAGTGGGAGACGAATTTGGAGACAAGAGATTGACTCAGGACTGGTGCGGAAGCGAGTGATGGGGAGAGGAATTGGGCGTAAGAGGTATCGTAGGTAAGACCAGTTCGAGGGAGATCATTGTCGTACTTGCTGACGAAAAATTCGAGGAGCTTGATGGGTGGGTTTGTGACGGGGTCTGGGTTTGAGGCTCGTAGTGCGGAAATCCATTCTTTCTGTGAGAGTTCTTTGAAGGAGAGACCAGCGTTGTGAAGTGCTGGCAAGAGGTCGCGTGTCCAGTGGAAGCTTTGGTGATTCACAACATTCATTACGCCTGCTCCAGCAGATCCGAGAGAAATGTCCGAAATAGTGGAAGCAACGACGTCGACTGGTAGCCATAATGGACTCTCATCGAGCTTGGGAACGGCACCAACTGTCAACGCTGCTTGCATCATCAATGGAATGGCCTCGGTGGCATTCCAGATTCCGTGAACAGTGTCGGCAATGACTTGTCCAACCCGCAACACTCGTGTCTTGATGCGATACGACTTCGCTGCTTCAACGCAGATATGTTCCGTGACGAGCTTCGACTGTGCGTATCCCATTCCTTGAGCATATTCGAGACTTTCCGGTAATGCTTCAGGAACGAATCCGCCCGTCGTACGAGCGACGGCACTGACTGAAGAGCAAAAGTTGAATGTGGCGGGTTCAGTCCGTTGCGCTTTCAAGCAGAGTGTGAGCAAGTTGTTGGCACCTGCGATGCAATCGGCCTCAAATGACCCAAGACTGAGGTTGAAATTGACGGACCAGGCGCAGTGCACAAGCCCAGTGATGTTGGATGCAATCTCAGCGTACGTCTCTGGACTAAGACCAAGTGAGGCGTCACCGAAGTTTGATGGAAATGCGGCGATCTTCCTCCGGGCATCAAGTGCAAGGCAGTGGTAAACAGAGCGCTCTCGCATCGAGCGTATGACTCGGAGGCGTGCATTGACTGGTGACGAGGCACGAACTAAACAGTAGACCTTCTTAACGTCTTCGCGAAGGACGAGTTGAGCGACAAGATGGGAACCAAGGGATCCAGTTGCGCCAGTTACAACCTGTTACTCAAAGGTTAGAAAATTAAATGCTGTCTTCCTTATGGAGACTAACCAGGTAGTTCCCTTCATTACTGTTCTCCACCGGAACATGTGGCTCGAAAACAGAGTACTTAGAGATCAGCTCTTGCATCTTATCGACAACAGAAACAATATCCGACTCCCCACCCGTCCGCATTCGATAAAGCTCCTCAGCCAATGCATGGATAGAAGGGAAATCAAAAACAATATTCAACCCCAACTTAGTTTTATTAGTCTGAATATTCTTGCTGAGCACAGTTCGGAGTTGAATCGCTTGCAGTGAATCAATGCCAATTGAAAAGAAGTCAGTGTCATCAGCAAGAAGACCCGAGGACGTGGTAGGAAGGATCTTAAGAAGCTCGATACGAATGTATTCCTTCAGCTCTGATTCCGACAAGCACAGCTCGCCAGATGGAACATCGGCAGAGTCATAGACTTTTTCGATTTCGGCTTCGAATTGCCGGTAAAAGGCTGCTCGGATCACGGTTCCTTTGTCTGTTCGAGGGTATTCAGATCCCACTGGCAGGACTTCAACCATATCCAGAGTCATCTGAGCGTAGCCTGGCATGTCTTTATTCGCCTCGTTCAAAGCGGGGACAAGCTCTCTCCGGATATCGTCATTTGATAAATCCTTTGCAGCTTCTGAGGGGACGATCATTAATCCCGGACGAGCTTTCCCGCTACCAAACAACACAGCCTCAGCAACTAGCTTCTCATGCCTGATTAAATGCTCAAATGTATTGGGAACAATCTTCTCGCCATTCACCAAAACGATGGTGTCATCCAAACGAGCGAAGTATTTCCAAGCGTTCGGAATCGTGGGGTGAGGAGTGAAGAGATCCTTGGTAGCGTACGAGCCATCTGGTCGGTTTGATGCCACCTTTGAGGTCCAGCCATCAAGGACAACGAGTTCAAAGATTCCTGGATTGCGCTCTTCCCATTGCAGATATGGCTTCACGGCATCTCCGGCACGGACGTAATCCCAAGCCTTGTCACCCGGTTCTCGGAAAGATGTCATGAGCTGTCCAGTTTCGGTGCTATCGAAATCAGTAAATTGAATGAAGACAGCAATTGGGTTGCTCACGTCCCATAATGGCTAATCAGGTTGACTCCATGATCGACCAATTTGTCACCCAAAGCATTCGGACATGCTGATCCCCCAAACATCACCACCTTTGGTTTCGCCAACGCTTCAATACCCTCAGAGCTTTCTCCAAGAAGCTTGAGCGCATACGGAACCCCATAAAAGATATCAAATCGGTACTTCTGCATGATGCTGAGAAGATTTTGGTAGGTGAGCGGTAAGCCTGCGCTATACATGTAGATCTGCTTTTTCGAATAGATCGAGCGGAAGACGCTGCTGATTCCATGGGCGTGATAGAGGGGAAGTGTGATGAAACCTCGTAGATTAAGGTTCGAAGCGTAGTTATTCAAGGCTGCACTGTGAGTTTGGTAAATCGGCTTTGGCAAACCCGTCGAGCCGCTGGAATGGATGATCCATGAGATCTTTTTGGATTCAACTTCTGGCTGGAGATGTTGACATAGTCGGGTATCAATGTTTTCGTCGTCGATCGGGAAGTTATATGACTCGGCTTCAGTAATCTCGTGAATTTCGACGGAATTGCAGGTCTCCTTGACCTGCGCAGCGGTTTCGCGGAATGAAGAGTCAATTAAAATATGCTTTGCCCCAGTTGTCTCCAGGAGGGAAACGTAGGCCGCAATGGATATCCGTGTTGACATAAAGAGAACCGTGTGGCCCAGCTTGGCCAAAGCCAGGATGCTAATGAAGTATTCGAAATTTGAAGGACCCAGCAATCCCACAACGGTTTCGGGATCTGATGAGGATGACCTTTGTGGCATAAGAATTTTATATTTTTGAGCAACACGGTGCGCAAAAATGTTGATTTGCCGCGTAGTGTAGTCCACATATTCGAGGCCTGAGGAGGGGTATGAGATTATTGCTTCTCTGGGTATTTCTTGTGAGCGTTGTCGGACAAGCTCATCAATGGTGAAGGGTGGCCTTGACTCGATCTCAGGTTCTTGGGTGGGAAGAATCGTTTCTAGTGTCTTCACCTGAGACTTCCATGAAAAGCTCTCGCCTGCAGAAGGGAGAGCTACATTAACGGCGAACGGTGGCATATTGCTGTGTGAAGAGTGGAGTGCTCGTGGTGAACAGGATGTCTTCTAGGGATTGCCTTGGAAACCACGAGATATCATGATGTTCTTTTTCAAACACTGCTTGGGTACATATGCATCTTGCCTGAGACGAAACTCACAGTGCAGGGTAGCCGCGAGGTCCGCCAAAAGCCCCCACTGTTTTCCATACCGAAGGCGATTGTCTAGTTCCGGGCATGGCAGGGCCTGGTTTGAGTCTTGGGGTGGGGGCAATGTGGTTACTCGCCCGGATCTGCAATGCGCTGGAGGGTGAAGTGGTGCCAATGCTTGGGCGTTGATCTCCGGTGTGGTAAAAGGCTGCAGCGCCGGAAATGCGCCCTTTAGGCTCGGAAACCTGCTGAGCACGGTGAAACTTAGGCCCCACAATTCGCCCAGATCCCACAATTTTTGCGCCCATTTGCCACCCTGATGGTGAAGTCATTCTGGGGTATCCAAGGCTGCCCTCCTCGGGGTTTGAAGGGTTCACCGTACCTGGTTCGTCCCCTTCTCTTTTCCGGACCCCGGCTGAGCACTTTTGGCAGCCGATCAAGTGGCCAGACAAGAGAAAGGAGGAAGGTCCAAGGTCCAGGCCGTGAGAACTGAAGCTTTCGCCGTTGATTCATGTCTTATCAGTGCCAGTTGTGTTTGCCAAGTTTATCTTTGCATTTCATGATTTCACCAGTCATACAGTCATTGATCTCACATAGAATTGCGACTTCCGTAGTGCCGGTGAAATTCAACCGCTTGAGAGGAAGGCTTCGTTGCTGTTGAAATTGTGACGCCAGACCCCCAACCAGCCTGCAGGCTATAACTCCCCGCCTGTGAAAATGGACTTGCTGAACCACCCCAAAAATAAAAACCGTCGATATCATTAAAAATAGCCCAACCTCTTGTGCCGATCAAGTTCCTTTGCGTCTCTTGGTCCGAGTCCTCTTACACTTGCCAACTATCGTATACAAGTCCATCTGGCCACGCTATTGCCTAAAAATACTTTATCAGCGCCATCACTAATGATTCGAATGGAGTAACTTACACAAGCATCAAGTTCCGCCCAACCCACAAGTTCGCCTTAAGGACCGAACAATTCGAGATCCAGCATAGAATCATCAAATGTTTGAGTAGGAGCGTTAGATATCCTGAAATCACCAGGGATATTGCCTTGGCTATAACTGTGCGGCATCAGTCCTTGATTCTCTTGCCCAAGTAATTGACCCATGGCCCCAAAGTCCATAGGATAAGCAGCGTTATTAACAGGCGTCCGATTTGGAGTTCTGCCAGAAGAATCCATTAAATAGGGTGCTCTGGGCTCCGCTTGTTCCTGGACCATAACCTCGGGTTTGCTAAGCGTGCTGTTTGACGGCGGCGTAGCTCCGTCCAGGCGGAGGAGAACTTCTTTCTTCAACTCATCTAAGATAATGTTGTATCTTCTGAAGGGCGAACTTGGGGCAGTAGTTGCATAGATATTTCCTTGGCATCTTTCCGCTGCTTCGAACTGCTGTAGATGAGGGCTCGTTCCATTGTTGGACCGCTCTGGCTGCTCGCCGGGTTGACTTTGCTGGATAGCATAGACGTAAAGGGTAGAAATAGCACAAAAAGAAATATAATGAGTGAACCAAAACGGTTTCCGCATCCTGCTTTGCTAAATGAACCCATTGACAGTTTCCACCACCGCGGACGCGGCATCAATGCATTCTTTGAGGCTAGATTCTAGCTTGCCAGAAGGAGCGTTTTGGGATCGATTTAAATCTGCAAAGCTGCTGAGGAGAGATGGAGGATTTGCAAGTATTAGGGCATTGAGGTATGCTAATCTCAACACAGTGCTTTGGCGTTGAAAGATAGGTATCAACATGGCAGGATCTACCTTGTCGGGTTCTAGGAATGGCGGGAGAGATCCTTTCCAGGCTTTCAACTCTGCAGTGATTTGCTGTGCGGTTTCCATCCAGTCGGTATTTGGAATATTGTTCGTGGGGTAAAGATCGCTGGATATTTTCCCAACAATTCTGGCCAATCTGTGATTCTGTTTAGTGTATGTAGTATCACGTTATGTCAAGAGATGGAAGGAAAAGAAATGCTGGAACATAGCGAGTGACGTACTTTGCATGGAATACTGGTCCGTCCGAAACACACTGACTCTGCGCGGCCTTCGGTTTTGATGAGTCGGAGGTCGAGTCAGCCTCATTGAGTCGCTCGGGAAAATGTTGGTCGATATCCTCATCTCGAAAAACTCTGGGTCGACCTAAGATGATACTGAGGTACTTGTCAAGTATGTATGCACTCCAGAAGACTCGTTTTCGCATCTCAACCTCAGCCAAGCTTGACGAACCTCCAAAAGATTGGGAGAATTTCTTCCGGTGGATACCCAGGGCGAGGGCCATTTGGCTTGCCGTTCCAAAGGTGTACCAAGCTTGATTTATCCGCGATGATCCCAACAGGTAGATGCATTGTGCCAACCTCGCCTGGACTGATTCTAACCGTACGGGGCCTGTTTCCTCTGCTATTCTCCGTTCAGCTGCCGCAAAGTAGACCCCACTACGAGACGTTAGCAAGATCATGATAATAGCCTAGCAAAAAAATCACCTCTGCTCGCAATCATCAGCCTCTGAATCAATCAGGGAGCCTGTAGCGTCTTCTTCATACAAAGTTGCCGTTGCAAGAGTCAGCAAAACCAGAGCAGCTTTTGCGTTTGAAAGTCGCGGTATATTGGCCGCCCTGTTTTCATTTTTGTCACATATCCGGTCCAGCCAGATTTCCACGGTGGCACGATGCAAGAATCTGTACGTCGGCATAGCGAAATCAAAGTATCTGTCGACAAGATGCTTGGCTTGCTGCCTGGGAGGGAAAGTCAAGTCGGAAGCGGAGTACTTTGGATAGTAGCCATCTCCGAAAGAGAAGACCGATGATTGCGGGGAGCCTTTCCCGTTGACATTGCTTGAAATCGTTGCGGCAAAGTCCTGTTTGAACCGTCTCTGTGCTCGATGGAGGAAGGCGATCCCGGATGTTGGACCGATATAGTGACCCTCAAAGCGGGTTTCCTCGGGCTCCTGAGAACTTCGCGAGGACTTTCTTTGCTGGTTTGAGATAGGCACATCATCTGATCGATTTGCTGCAGGTCGGGCCGAAGCCTTTCCATGTTGTAAATGAGGACTCACTGCTGATGTTGACCTGACAGACTCATGACTTGAGGTCTGAAAAGTTTCTGCTGGCTCTGGAGATGGAGGTTTCCCTCTTCTATGGAGCGCATTGTACTTGCAGGCAAGGCCTTGGCTGCTACATCGACTGCATGGCTGGGTTCCTGTGCAACGGAGTTTACGCCTAAGGTAACGTCAGTCCTTTCAAGGCTAAAACAGCAATAACGTAGTAAAGGCTGTCAGAAACTGCAAGGGCCAACCCACGACTTGCAGATGTCACATGCTCTACTGACTTTCTTTCGTTCCTCCTTCTTCAAAACTCTAGAGGAAACCGAACGTTTTCTCTTTGCCCCTAATTGGTCGGAAGTGTGTGACATTGGTGGTCTAGCATTTGAGGATTCATGAGGTTGAGCGTCCTGTGAATGCGAATCCGAGCCATGCCTTTGATGATAAACCCTCTCGGGATCATTTGTGAAGCGTTGCGGGGACTGACTGGAATTGCCTTGGGACGGATGGGGAAAAGCTTGACCTGGGGCTTGACCGTAATTGGGCAGATATTGCGGAGGAGACAAGTTCATCGTGGCCCATGGGGGCCAATGTCTCACCAACTCACCGAGATTGTGGAGAGTGAAGGTTGCTGGGGTGGTTGGCCCCAATTAACCTGCTTTTCGTTTTCCGAAGGGATACAAGGCTGGTAACGTGGGACGATGGGGAAGGAGCTTGAATGATGTTGTTGCATCCGAGCTGGAAAAGGAAACATAGAAGCTGAGTCCACGTATAGCTCGGGGTGCTGGATCAAGACTGAGAGAGGTTCGGAAATGGGAAGTGGCTGGGGTGCAGCGCTCGGAAATAGCGGCTGCGATCCATGGTCAGCCACTCAGCAGGAAAACCCGGGCCCGACCTGTCTCCACCACCCCTGCGCCGTCCTCGGAAATGTGTTCAAGATTGACCTCCCCCATTCCTGTTTCTCCACTGGGAGACGGGCTTTGGAGGCAAATCACTTGTTTGCATCCTGAATAAAAGAGCTCCATGGACGACGAGATGACAGCTATTACGATTGACTCACTGGATACTGCCAGCATCACTAATTTCCCCTCCTACTCAAATCCAGGATAACATCGAAAGCGCAAGCATGGCGCTCAACCGTACCTTCACACTCAATACCGGGGCAAAGATACCGGCGGTGGGCTTTGGGACATGGCAAGCTGCTCCGCATGAGGTTGAGAAAGCAGTCGAGATCGCTTTGAAGTCCGGATACCGCCACATCGACTGCGCAGCCATCTACCGCAACGAGAACGAAGTAGGCATGGGCATAAAGAAGAGTGGTGTCAAGCGCGATGAAATCTTCGTTACTGGGAAGCTGTGGAACACGAAGCACAGGCCCGAAGATGTTGAGAGTGCGTTGGACAAGAGTCTCGCTGATTTGGGGACTGACTATGTTGATCTATTCCTGATGCACTGGCCTTGGTAAGATTTTCCGTTGCTGTCGCCATCATTGATTGTCCATTGCTAACGAATGTTGCTTTCAGTGCGTTCGCCCCAGGAGACAAGTTTTCCCCCCTCGATGCCAATGGAGTATTTCGATTGGACGACGTTGATGTCTCGGTGACCTGGAAGGCAATGGAAGCGCTACTCAAGACCAAAAAAGTGCGTGCGATTGGAGTCTCGAATTTCAACATCCGCCGGCTCGAGTCGCTATTGTCAACCTGCTCTGTCATTCCCGCCGCCAATCAAGTCGAAAAACACCCATATCTTCAACAACCCGAGCTCGCCGAATTCTGCAAGAAGAAGGGAATTTTGATTGAGGCGTATTCTCCACTTGGGAACAACCAGACCGGTGAGCCAAGGACAGTTGATGATGCAAAGGTACACGAAGTAGCAAAACGTCTTGGTAAGGATCCAGGACAAGTCCTCGTGAGCTGGGGAGTACAAACTGGACATGTTGTATTGCCAAAATCCGTGACGGCATGAAGGATTGCCAGTAATTTTCAAGATTTTGAAATCCCGGCGGAAGAGATGGCCGAGTTGAATGCACTTGAGCATCACAAGCGCTTCAACTTCCCCATGCGATGGGGATTCGATATCTTTGACGAGGCTGGTGAAGAGGTAGTAAGGGAGGCTGCCAGGGTTGCAGGGGAAGAGAATAAGACGAAGTTTGTCGTGTAAATCAATACTGGCATTGGAGGCGCATCTAGAAAAGAGATCTTACCAACCCAAATCATCTCTATCGGTGGACCTTCAAGACTGGTTGTGAATTTCTGCGGGAACGAAATTCTGCGCTGTTTCGACCCGTCTGTTTCGACCCGTCAGTTTGACAATACATGATTTGCAGACAATGGCCTCAAGAGGCCCCAACGCCAAATATCTGCTTCGTCAATTCTGACAATTCTCGAAAGTCAGATCACGACGACCGAGCATCTGCTATGAGGTCTTACTCATTCCTCCCTACCGAAACCTTCCTAGTAATGAATTCCACTTAACATACATTGGTTCTAACACACTTTAAGATGGCTCTACGTGATCGAAGGAGCCGGCACCATGGTCGTCGGCCTCATCGCCTTCCTCCTACTCCCTACTTCCCCCGTGGCTCACTGAACAAGAGCAACGCCTCGCCGAATGGCACATCGCCGACTCCGTAAATGGGGAACTTGGTGAGGCATTTCCCATGAGCAAGGACTCTTGGATACCCTAATTGACATCAAAGTCTGGGCGCTATTCTGCGTCCAGGTCTGTCTCCCCTCCTCGCAAACGTAGACCTGCTTCTTTCCCAGAATCGTGCAAACCTTCGAGTGCGGCAAGATTCGCTCTCTCTCCTCTCGACTTCTCCAGTCTACATCTTCGAGTTCTTCACCACGTTGGGAAATTCAGTGATCGCACAGAGGACCGGTCTAAGAGCAGTCCTCATTAAGTTGCCCCTAACCCTTGCCATCGTCGGCAACGCAATGGTCATCGCCTCCCACTTGACAGCCGCCCGCTATACAGGCATGTTCCTCATGTGCGCGGGGTCCTTCTCCGCCTTCAACGTGCCTGAGGCATGGGTCGGGAGTACCGTCCCCAGAACGTGGACGAAGAGAGTGATTACTTACGCGTTGGTTAAGTAATATTTAAGGGAAAATGTAAAACGACCCCTACCCCCGCTCCACGCCCCCGGGTGTCGATTGGGGGCCGGACTGGCCATTAACCCAAGGTAGAGGCGCTCGAACAGGAACGCCAAAAATCTAGCTTTATCTTTGATTTAATTTAATTTAATAAGGAATTAATAGAATTTAATACTTTATTTTATTTTATTATAGCACTAATTAAGGGCTATCCAAATATGAACTTTTTATAAATATAAATTAGTAATAGTTCTTTAAATTAAAGAAGTTAAAATAAAAATATTTTATAACTAAAAGGCAAGCTTAAGAAAGCCTAGAAATTTAGCGAATAAGTTCTTAAAACTGGACATGAGAGCCCTAGCCTAATTTATAAGGCATATAAGGCCTAAAACTAGAACTTAATGAATTAGTATATAAAGTTCTTTAAATTAAAATTCTATTTTAAGGACTCTTTTTATTATAAGTTGAGAAGCACGCAATTATATTATAAGCCTTATAACATACTAGCTTATACTTATATTGAAAATATAAAGAGCTTGATTAGCCGATTCCAAATCGTTAATAACCTAGTCCCAATCGACTACCCGCCAAGGGGGGTGTCGTTTTGCATTTTCTCATATTTATGAGGCATAATTCTTTTTTCCGAGTAAGGTTGCGCCACAGTAAGTTAGGGGTAGGATCGCGCTGAGTACTTTTGCTTTGGGAGGAGTTTATTTTGCTGTAGCTTTGGGCGTTTTTCTGAGCCTTCTGAGGCACTTGAATTGAATGTAAAATTATCGCCTAAAAGCATACGCTGCCAAACGCCCCCTCCCCCATTCGACTAGCGTGTGGCGCCCCAGCCCTGTAGCAACCCCTGCCCGCCCCAAGCACCGCCTGTAAGGCCTGTAGAAACCCCCCTAAGATTTGTGAGAGCCTGACAGGCGCCAATATACGCTGCCACTCTGGCAGCGTATTTTTTTTGGGATTTTCCTCGTTCCCACCGAGGATTTCTTATTTTCTATAGGGCATATCTCTAGGCTATAGCTATAGGGGTATAAATCCCTTGTTCCCACCGAGCCTCCTTAAAATCCTCGTTCCCACCGAGGATTTCTTACAGGCTTCAAATGCCCTAAAGGCCCTGTAGAATCTCTCTCCGGCCCCCCTGTTACGCCAGTCCTAATTAGTCCAAGCCACAAAAAAATACGCTACGTGGCGCTGGCAGCGTATTATTTCGTAATAAATATAGTTTCTGACCTAGTAAAAGAATCCAATAGCTAATAGCTCAAACCCCCCAACCGCCCAAAAAAAAACTTCAATAGTCACTTAAATAATAATTATTTAACTACTACAACTCATTTTAATACTAAATAAATTATTTTCCAAAGCTTTTGCTACTTATTAAAATGCTTATTAAAGAAAATTATTATTTTAAATTCAGGAAGAATTCAATTAAGCTGGCTAAAGCAATAAAGTTTTAAATAATATATATATATATATATATTATCTCGACTAAAACAAGAAGAAATTAATATACTCGCAGGCATTTCCGCACCCAGTTCGGGCCAGCTCGCTAAGCTCGCTGGTTGCAGCAAGTCCGACATTGCAGCAATTCCGATATCGATTTTTAGTCGTTTTTATTATATTAAAAAATAATTATATATCCGATTAAAATATTTTTTTTATATAATTATAGCCCTTACTTAGACTAGTAATTGCCTAATAGAGTATTTTTTAATTAAAGCGCATCCGGTTATGGTAATAATTAATTAAGTAAATTATCGGAGCTTACCAAGCGGCCTCGGCATAACCTTACATATAAAAATCGCGTGTAATTTACTTCTTAATACCACTCTGTTTCCATCCAAATTATTAAATACGCTACTATACCTAAAGCCATATACCGTATAGTAAGAGAAAAGAACGAGGAAGTGGTTTAGAGGCTCAAAAAACTCCTATAGTATAAGACGGTTTAGTATATAGTACAGGAGAAGCGGATAAAGGAGGCTATATATACTTGGAAGAACCCTGCGGAAACCGAAATTACGAACCTATAAACCTCTACCTCTATATTTGATATGCCTTACTTAATATATTTTAATTAATATAAGGGGTCCAAGCTTCTTTTAGAGAATAGAGGGTATAATATACGGTTAAATGAGGCCCAGGAAGCAAGCTTGATATATTATATAGATATATATATTGAGAGGAATTATTCTTTATAATATAATATGGTTACTACGGCAGCTATATTAATTTTGAAGGCTACAGGTTAAATACTCTCTCCTGCAGACCGAATTAGAGATATATAGGCCCTTTATTAGATAGAAAAACAGAGGAAATTAGGCTAGTATTATATAGTTTATACTAAGCCTATAGACTATAAAAGAAAGGACGCTCTTATTCCCGAAATTATTATAAAGTACTTTAATAATCTAAAGGCCATAAAAGAGAAGTATAATATTTACGAGAGTAATTAATATAATATAGACAAGATTGGATTCCGGATAGGATATATATAAAGTACTATTATAATTACTTATAAGAATATAAAGTATATAAGTAAAAAACTATTCTATTAAAAATGCCCTTAAAAATATAACTATATTAACTAAGTTTAAATATTTATAAAGGATCCTATATAAAGAGAGCTAGTTATAGCTATAGAATATATATTTACTAGTTTCTAGAAGCTTAATTTATTTATTATTATACTAGATAGTATATTTATATAGAAGTATTTTAATAATAATCTAGCCCTAAATATTAAAATTATAACCTCTAAAAATAGATATATAAATAACGAGCTAGCCTATAAGTAGCTATAGTATTTCTATTACTAGACTAAGTTATAAGTTAAGGGCAGATATTGCCTTCTAATATTTAATAAATACGGAAATTATATAATATACGAATTTATTTAAGCTATAAAGTCTTTGAATATTATCTGTTTCTATCTAATTATATACTTTATATACCTATATTAACTATTAGATATTATATATTTCTAGTAGGAGAAATACTAGTATTTAAGAGTAATTAAAGACAAGATTTATAAAAGTAGAAATAACTTTACGAAAATGACTTTCTTATAGTACTATAAGTAAATTAGAACTCTAACTTTTATTAAAAAGAATATATATTTAGCTTTTATAAAAACTAGTATTTATCTATTTAATTCCGATATGGTTTTAAAGGCTCTTAAGAAGCAAATAGCCAAGAAACTAGGTAATAAGAGTACTAGAGGATATATTTATAATTATAGTAAGACTAATCTATTACTTGGAATTCGTATATCTTTATCTAATAAATTATAACTTTAAGTAAAGCCTAGGGAATTAATAATATAGAAGGAATAGCCCAAATTACATAATACCCCTGAATTCCTAAGCAAGCTTAATAAGGATAATAAAGACGATTTGGAGCTTCTATTACTTTCTAGGGCTTTGGAAATCGAAAACGAGATTGGAAATACTATAGATAATCTAGTAGAACCCTTTTCTAAAGCTAGGCTTACTAATTATGGCAAGGAGAACTCAGGAATTCGCAGACTAGATAATCGGTAGTATACCAGAACCCCCTTTTTCCAGATACCCTATAGAGTAAAGGGTATATATAAGTATATTATCTTTTTAGAAAAGTATAAAGATAAGATATTCTTATCTTCTAGATAATTATCTAATTATAAGTTCAGGAAAAGAGCCCAGATTAAGGCTAATTTGGGTATAATTATATGCGAGAACCTTACTAAGAAGAATAAAGAGAGTATATAGTGTGGGAGGGAAACTGCGATAAGACAAAAACCCACATAAAGTATACTAGAGCGCAAAACGTGACTTGATAGCAAAACAACAAATCAAAAGCGTAAATAGTAAAGCATAAATAGTATATAGTGTGTAAAAGCTTAATTAATTGAATACTCATAAAGGATTATTCTCTAAGTCTATAGAAAAACCAGCTTTCTTATGTAATTTCCGCAAGTCACGTGCAAAAGGCCGCGGCCTTTGCCATGTGACCTAAACCTCAAAACCGCCAAAACAACATGATTTTCGACGAGTACGGCCTGCCGTACCACAATAGGCTAAGTCTTTTCCTTTTATAGATAAAGAGAATCTTTAGAAGTATATAAAGCTACTAAAGAGAGGCCGAGTTATCTTATCTGGGAATGGTTTATATTAAATTAAGGCTTGTAAGGAGTAAGAGGAAGAGGAGGATACTTTAACTAAAGCTCAGAAGAAGCTTAAGAGGGCTAAATACTGCTATTAAGCTGAACTTAATAGGATTAAAAAAGAGAGGAAAGGGGAAGAGGATATTACTCGCAAGGAGTAGGAGAAGCTTGAAAAGGCTATAAGAAGAGAATAAGAGAGAGCTGAAAGGGATAAGAGAAAGAGAATAGAAGAAGAAGTAAAGAAGGCTAGAAGACAGGAGTTACTTGCTTAGGGAAAGAAGCCTAGGGAGAGAAAGTACAAGATTAATACTATTAATACCCAAAGTACGGAAACTAGTATACAGGCTAGTATATAATATTAATAGGAGGCTAAAGGAACTAATACTATACAAAATAGAGAGTAATTCCTATACTTGATTCTTAATATATAGTAAAAGTAAATATAATATAATAATTTAACCCTAAAAATTAATACTTATCTCCGTATTACAAAGGCTAAAACAGGTCGTATAAGGCCCATATTATATTATTTTAATAGGCTAATTAAGCTCTATAATAATATAAATTTTTTATTACGATATCTTATATGGTTATATTAATATTTAATTAATTATATAAAATGTCGGAGTTAGTAGTATATCGGAGTTACTATAACTAATAAGCATAGCAAGGTGGCCCAAATAGGGTAAGGATTAGCCGACGAGTATTAAGGTACTAATTAGTATACGAAAAAATTAATTAGATTAATTAATTAATTCATGAATATTTATAAATAGTATAAATAGAATTTAATTAATATAATACTTATATAATTTGATTAGATTAGAATAATTAATTATAATTATTTATAAATATCTTGATTTATATATATATAACTATAGTATGTAATAGTCTAGCCTAATTAAGTAAGGTTCTTGCTCTAGTACTGCCTTAGGGAGCTTTTCTCTCTAGAAGCAAGGTAGTACTAGAGCCTGATTCTTACCTAATTAGGCTAGCCTGTCACGTGCTGCGGTCACGTGTATATTAATCAAGTTATTTATGAATATTTATAATTAGCTTAATTAATTCGTAAATAGAATATAATTAATAGCTATTAATCTAATCTAATCTATTCATTTCTTATACTAGTACTAATAAGTAAGTACTTTATTAGTAAATACTTTAAGATTAGACTAGAGAAGCTATAATATTATAATAATAGCTATTATTAAAGAGAAAGAGTAATAATTTATTAATTTTTGTAATATATAGTAAAATAATAAAACATTATCTTATAAGTAATTCTAGCTATACTATTAGATTAAAATAAATATAAAGTTATTAGAATATTAAAAATACTATAAAGTATTATAATAGAGACTTTGATTTTATAATTATATAATGCAATCAAGTAACCTCCGAATGTTTATATAGTCCACAGTCTGCTTACATTACCCCTCTCTCTTCCTTAGTTCTTAGAAATAAACCAACCTTTACTTTCTATTTTCACGTCTCACTCGTATACTGTAATCCCATACTGTGGAAGCCCATTCAACTCTCTATATATTACTACTTGTTTTATATCACCATAACAGTATTAATATATAAAAGGATTTGCAAATATAATAAAGGTATAATTAAAAATCGAATTTTGGGGTGGGCGGTTGGCTAGTGGATTCTTCTAGGGCCCATACAAATTTGGTGTGGGATGCGTGTGAACGGGTTGCAAATCGAAAAAATACGGTCGCGCAACTTGGGACCGTAACCTTTCCCGCAACGCCTCAGCGAACCCTTAGCGTGTTTGGGGACTGCCTTTCTTCAGGAAGAATAACAATGTTGAACAGGCGGAAGAGGTGATTGGAGTGGTGAGATGTAGGTATCTTGTTTGGAAATTGAATGGAGAGCGTGCGTTGATTAGGAGCAACTATGTCCTATTCACCTTACTTCACTCTTAATCTTTAACGAGGGTAACTCGAGCCCTATTTCCAAAAGGCATTCCTCGCAGTGCCTAATGTCACCCAAAAATGTTTCAGGCTCATAGTGAGGCAGATTTGCCTAAGTCTGAAGGGAGTTCTTGATTGGTGATGACCTCGGTCCAGACAGTTTGTTGACTTGTACTGCATGAGTGGCTTGCAGGATGCCAGCGTATCAAAAGCAAAGAATCAGTCAGGAATTGAGGCTGTGTAGAGCCTTCTTTACTTTCGTCATTTGATTAAAACTCTCATTGATCTTGTCGTAATACTTGAGCCTGAACAGACCTCATTGCGAAGCAAATATTTTGCTACCCTTGGCCAAGATGTCGTTGGGACACTCCCTTGGCGATTTCATCGCGGGAGCAAATATGACGTACCGCCTTATCCGAGCCTTGTCAGAAACGAAAGGAGCATGTATGGAGTACCAAGAGGCAATGTCAGAGCTTGGTGCTCTACAGCAAACCTTCCTGCAGGTTGGCTACCTGCGACCCAGCGATACATTAAGTCAAGCGACGATCAATGCCGCAGCATATATTGTTCTTTCTTCAGTGGAGCTCATCGGGGAATTCCTTCGAAAGACACAGAAATATCGCCAGAGATTCTCCCAGGCCCGGACTGGGAATGCGGTTTCTGATAGCTGGCAAAAGATGGGATGGGTGTTGTTCAAAAGAGAGGAGCTGAGGGCTTTGAAAGACGCTCTGCACTTACGACTGACAAATATTTGGGTTTTGCTCTCGACCGCTGAGATGTAAGAACATTACACAACTTGACCCACAGGCCTTCAAACTGGCTAACATACAGATGGCAGTCATGGCAAAATCCCGCCCATTGTTGCTCAATTTGAGGGAAAGGGTTCAGAAAAGCCGTCCTATTCCGAGGGCCATGCAACAAAAGGCACCGATATTGGAGTTTCGATCTCAAACGATCACAAGTAAAAGGATGGCCAACCTAATACTAAGTCATAATGGCTAATATGTGGACGATAGAATTGGCAAATTGCCACCCTCAATCGCTCGATTTGAGGAAACGAAACTGGAACACTCTGTCCATTCCGAGGACCATGCAGTCGAGATTGAACGGCCAAGGATTGAGAAATTTCCAAGTATTTCTACTGAGACCAGTCAGCCTGTCACAAGTTCGCCTGACCTTGTGACTGTATCTGTGGAGATGAACGACGAAGGTGATCTACCAAGCAAAGAAGCCCGCGTCGAAACCACAAAAGATTCGGAACCGGTAGAACATTCCTTGGAAGTTCGAAATGGGACGCCCCCGTCGATTAATGGCGCAATGTTTGGGTGGAAGGGACCAAATCCCGAACGCATCGGTCATTCCGCTCAATCTTTACTACCATCGGCATTCACTACCTTCAGATCTTATGCTAAGGTGGACGGCAAGTGGGTAATACCAAACGAGGAGCGGAATAGCATGCCCAATGGAGGTCAAAAACCTACCAGAAATTCCGAGGAAGCTTCGCGATCAGAGACACAAACTGGTGTCAGGTCTTTAGACAATGTCACGGGAGATCAGTCTTTTCCTCTTCCAGAGCCTAATCGGGAATTCGTCACGGCCTCATCGGAGATAGACTCCAACATCTCTCAGAACAACCCAAATATCCAGGCCATTGGTCCTACGACAGGAATCAAGAAGGTTAATGGAGCCAAGCTACTTTCTCAACTTGAGCACTTTCTGAAGGAAAGTGGTTCTCTTAGATCCGACAAGAAGCCTATCAAATTCAAGGACGCCGTAGGCAGGAAGTTCTCTTTCCCATTTGAGCTTGCGGCTACTTGGGCTGTGAGTGTCAAATTCACGTCTTGTATGTTATAGACACTAATCGTAGACCAGGGCATGGAAGAACTCATCCGCCAAGCTTTCCAGCATGTAGACGGCCTTGGGCCACACGTGGCAGAGGGACACTATGATCTTATTGGCCCTAATGGAGAAATAGTTCTCCCCAAGGTTTGGGAAACGACAATCGAGCCTGATTGGGCTATTAGTATGCACATGTGGCCTCTGCCAGAGCCCAGAAAACCCTTGCCGCTTGGGCCGCCACCCCCTCCCCCTGGATGGTCTAGACATGGAGGCCCACCACGGAGTCGGCATGGTGGGCCCCCGGTCATGGTCAATCTGAGACGTAGTCCACGTAGAAGCAGACACTCTAAGTCGAAAGTTCGAGGCTGGATGAAGAAAGCCAACAAGCTGTTCAGTACCAAAGATAAATATGGTAAGCTAATCCTTTCAGTACCCCGCTTTGTTTGAGATCGCTAATAAAATGCGAAAGTAGAGTACAGTGACAGCGATAGCTTTTGATCTCGGTCTTCTGTAACAGTAATGTGATGGGGATTTGATTGTTATATGGATTTCGGACCATATATAGGTGTTGGATGCGTGGGTGGAGGTAAAGAGGGTAGGAAGCTAAATAAGTAGAAGTAATAATCTTAAGACTCTCAGTACTAGTAACGAAATAATACGAATAGTCAAAAATAAGGGGCTCCAAAGATTAATGTATTAGGAAGGCTAATTATACGTATGGACAGAGATCTTATGCAATCCCTTAAACTAGCGCTAGTATGCCTGGGAAGCAGGATATATAACGGTAGTCACGGGACAAGAGAGAAAAAACCCTACTATATAGCTCTCCCCTATTATTCGTAATTATTCCCTAATTATAGCAAAGAATATACCAAGCCCGTATAAGTATAAAGCCTAATAGAACCTGGAAACCCAAATAGTTTCTAAAGGAACTTATAGCCTATACTTAAGACCCTCTCCACTCTTTCTATTTCTTCATTTTTCCCCGAGAAAAGAATACAAACGCAGTAATAATAGTTATAACGGAATTATATATATCTTCCATAACTAGTAGAAGCTCGTAATAAAAGGAAAAAGCTATATCCTAGTAACTACAAAGAAATAATATTAGCTTTACCCCTTCCTATATCCGAGATACCTAACCCTTCTCTTCTTTTCTTCCTAGATAAGTATCCTAGTATAGTATTCTTATTTTCTGGTCCTTTATATATCCTTAATTCTCTTATTTCCCTTCTCTAAAGACACTACTATCTCTAATATAGTAAAGCTAAGTACCTTGCCTTCTAGTTTTCCTCTCTGTTTTATTTAATATTTCGTCTAATTCCCTTGCTTCTTTTATAATAGTACTATCTTTATATGAATTATCCGTAAATTACCTTTATATAACTATTTCCAAAAGAGGAAAACCCCGTAATAAATATTAGATAAACTTCTCTATTATAAAAAGGCCTTTTCTCCTCGTTTCTAATAACTTCCTCCTTCTTTTAATAATAACCTTAACCTCCTTTACTCTTTATTTATATCTAATCTCTATATCTATTAATTATTATATCTGCCTTTTCTAGTACTATTAGATTCTCGGGAACTAAAGAGATTAATAAACCCGCCCCTAGTTATACTTCCCATAATATAATACCTAATACTCTTTTCCTAATAATAATTGAAAATAGTATTATTTAGCTAAATATATAGCAAGTATATCTTTAATTATTACTATATAATTTCCTATTTATAATTTTTCTCTTTAAATAAATCTTGAATTACTATTTTAATTACTATATTATTCCTACTATTATTATTAGTTACTTTAAAAAGTTCTATTTTCCTAATATCCGAGATAATAATATTAATAAGCTTACTAATAGTAATTATACTTATTTCTATACTTAAGAACTTAAAGCTATAACTACTATAGGCTTTAAAGTTATATATACTAATACTCAAGCCTATATAAGCTACTAAGAGAACAAGTTCTACTTTAATAAATACTACTAATATTACTTTCTTAATTCTAGCTATAGTAAATATCTCTAGAAATATAATTCTTATAAATATTCTTTTTATATAACTTGCCTCTTTCTAATTCTACTTAGATTCAAGTACTAATAGTAATAGATTCTAACTAGAAAAACAAGCCTTTAGTTCCTTAGTCCCTTAAGGTTCTTTTTTTACTAAATCCTAGCTATTATAAAGATATAAGAGTAATAAATCTTATAAATAGTATATCTAAATACTCTCTAGTTTATTATTCCTAAAAAAAGCTAGTATTTTAGTAACAAAAATTAATAGTTAGTATTAAGCTTCAAAATAATATTACGTATTAATTCTATATTTTTTTTGGCTTTATTAACTTTTTCTTATAAAATCCCGGATATAGCTATTATATATATAAATAAATATCTTATAATTTTTTTTCTTTTCTTATTTTTCTCTAATTTCCTTTAACTAGTAATATAATATTTTCTTCCCTTTTCTAATTCTTGCTTTATCTAGCTTTCTTTCTTATAATAATCTCTTATAAAATACTTTCTTTCTCTAGAAAACCGAACTTTCCTTTATATATATTAGGTAATAGATATAAAACTATAATATTTACAAAATTATTAAAATTATTAACTTTTTTCTAAATAAAGAATATTTTATTACCTCTTTCCTAATATCTAATATTTCTCTTCTAATATTTAAGAATAGGCTATTAAGTATTATTTCCTTATTTCCTAGTTCTTTATATATTTCTAATTCTTTTTTCCTTTTTTCTTAAAGAATTACTTATTCTTTTTATAATAAGTCAAGAAAATATCTTTCTAGCTTTTTTCTTTTATCTAATACTTATTTAATATTCTTTTTTACTTCTTTTTAGAATAGCCTATTTTCTTTCCTATATAACTTTTTTATATTATTTCTTGCTTTCTGCTATATTTATTTCATTCTTTAATTCTTTTAAATTACTTTTCTTATAATATAATTCCCATATTCTTTTACTTTATTTTTCTTCCTATAATAACTTCTTCTTCTAAATATCTTTATTTATATCCGGCCTTTATATCTATTAATTATTCTTGCTATTTCCTTACTATTTAAGCTCTTCTTTCTAATATCCCGTTTACTATAGCTAACCCTAATAATACTTCCCTTATTATTTTACTAGCTTATAAGCCGCCTATAAAAATAAATAATAATATTATAATACTAAATAAGTAGATAATATATTTCTTTTTATTTTCGTATAATTCTCCTTTTATAATTTTCCTTTTCTAATAGATCTTGTTTTATATATCTATAGACCTTATTCTAGCCCCTAGTACTTATTTTAAAGCTAATTATATCCTTTATAACTATAATAATAAGTACTCTTTTATAGATAGTAATTATAATTTATCTAATACTTAAGAACTCAATATAGTAATTATATAGGGCTTTAAAGTTAATTAATTTAATAATAAAGCCTATATAAGATACTAAAATATTACTAAGTTCTAATACTTTAAAGTTTACTACTAATATCTTTCCTATATTAGTACTTATATTAATTATCTTTAAATATATTATGAAAATAAATATTCTTTTTATATAACTTTTTTCCCCCAAATCCTACTTAAATCCAAGTCTTAATAATAATAGATCCTGATTTCTAATTCTTATATATTAGTATTTAGTAAAAGTAATCTCTTTTTCTATTAAGTCCCGGTTATTATAAAGATATAAGAGCTTTAAATATAGCTAATAGAATAGAACTAAATAAGAATATTATTTCTAATTACCTCTCGCTTTATTATTCTTAAGGATTTAGGGCTATAGGTTAAGAAACATATAGTATTTTCTAGTAATTAAATATATTAATCTTTTATTTACTAGTATTCTTTATTAATTTTTCCCTATAAAATCCTATTTATAAGTATTATATATATAAATAAATACTTATATATTAATCCCAAATTCCTCTTTTTTCTTATTTTTTCCTAATCTTAATTAACTAGTAATATAATATCTCTATTTCTTTTCTAATTCCCTTATTATCCTCAAGATTTCCAAATTATAATAAAATATAAGAAATATTTTTCTATATAAAAAAAATACTTAATTTATATATATTTGTTTTTCTTAATAGTATTTCTTTTTTGCTTTTCCTTATTCTCTTTTTTAAGGCCTAATAATTACTATAAAACTAGCCCTAGCCAAAATATAAGTTTAATTTTCTTTTCTTATAATCTTTTCTTTTCTTTTCTATTACTTTTACCGAGTTATAATCTGGTTTTTCTAGTCCAAATTAATATTCTTTTTCTCTAAAATATTAATCTCTTCTCCCGGAAATATTACTGTCTTATAAGTACCGGGTTTCCCTTAAACTAGGCTATAGATCTGCTCTAATACTTCTTTATTTTAATAATATAAATTATATAAGGTTTCTAGAATAGTATTATAAAAGATAAATTTCTTAAAATAACTTATAATTATAGTTCCTGCTTAGAGAATACTATCTAGTTCTATAATTATAAAAGTACTAATTACCTTACTAGCCCTAAAAATCCTAAATAGTCTTTTCTAGTAATAATAAAGCTTTAATAAAGAATCGTTTTCTAGCCTAATATTATAAAGAAAAATAATATCCCTAATAAAGAAGTATTCGGATAGCCTTAAAATATAGGTATTATTAAATACTTCTTTCCTATATATCTAATAATAGTATATTACTAAGAGTACTTTATTTAGGTTTATATCTCTTTACTTAAGCTATTATATATATATAATAAGTAAGTTAGATATAAAAGAAACTTTATATTATAGTAATATATTTCAAGTTAGATAGTTTAGATCTATTAGTAAAAGACTTTCTTAATTTCCTTTAAAATAAAAGAGTATATAACTAGTAATAACTTTAGCTATTATTTAATTAGCCTCAGGCTCGGTAATAATTACTGAGTAATCGATTAGTAATCAATTATATATACTATTAATTAGCTATTAATTATAATCGATTAGTAATTAATTACTAAATAATTATTACCCTATATCCCACAAAAGCTAAGTACTAAATTTTTAGTACCTATAGCCTATAATTTAGTAATTATAGCCCTAAAATTTAGTAATAAGCAGCCTATAATTATAGGGCTTCCTTTTTCTCGTAATTACAAGTCTTAAAGCTTACTTCTTACTTTCTCTCTCTACTTATT